AACGCTCGTGGCGTCCGGCTCACAATGAACCGGACAAGCGGGACGGAGCTCCCTCGGTACCTCACGCAGACGATACAGTCAAGAATTTCGACGCTCGTAGAACTGGATGTTGTCGACTGCCACGACTTCATTCCACCGCATGAACGTCGGAGCTTTTTCGAATCGTGCGGATCATTGGAAGCCTTAGCCATCTCTGTCTGCCTGCTGATTCCTCCGCCTCTTGAGATCGACGTTCAGCTGCCCGAGGCGCTAGAAGAGATGTTCCCGCGATGGAAACTGAGGCGCTTGTTCATCCAAGGCTTCCACTTTGCCCTGAATCGGAGGGATTCGAGGCGTCGGACGCGATGTCACCAGTGTAAACAGAAAATACGGACTCTATCCGTCTCCAGGACTCCATGCTTGGGGTACTTGGAAAATTTGGAGGAGCTAACCCTAGACCACGTCGCATTGACGAATTGCGTCCTCACTGAGCTGGTCAATACGAACGTGCACACGATGCGATTGATTCTGAACCGCGGGACTTGGGCCGAAGAATGGGATGAATTCCTCCAGGAGTGTAGGAATTTGAAGTATCTGTCTATCTCCTGCGAACGCTTCGAGCTTGAGGATTGCTCGCGCAATATAAGCATCTTCGATAAACTTCGCTACGGTCGGAACTTGAGGGAAGTGTGCATCGGTCTCGGCCCTTGCTCACATATACCAACAGCGATCGATGATGCCCTCCCGAGGCTCGAGGTTCTGCATACGCATTTCGTCAACGGTCCCTTGAGGATAGATAGCCCCGATGCAGTGGTTCTGAAGTCGACACGCAACTCTTTAGGCTCAGTGTTCACTTTCGAGCCAGATTCGTTCCCTCGAGGACCCGAAAGGCCCGCAGCGGCATGGAAAGCCGAGGAGCCTGCTATGGAGAGGAATCGCGAGCAGGGAGCTGAGGGAGGAATTGAGGAGGGAGCTGAGGGGGGGATCGAGGGAGGATCAGAGGAGGAAGCAGAGGGAGGAGCGGCGGAGGGAGCAGAGAGGGGAGCAGAGGGGGGACCTCAGGAGGGAGCCGAGGAGGAGGCTTATGCACTTCATAGAGCGTACACTCGGAGCTTGCACGGTATGTCGGGACGGAGGCTATGTTATCCGGGGAGCTTCATAGGATTGATCACACCGAAAGGATGGGAGTGAACTCGATAGGAGCAAGAGCTGAAACAAGCGGGCTTCGATGAAGAATAAATAAAAAATATTTTAATCGAGGTCGCCAGGTCTGACTGTATCCGGTGTTATGGGATGCATGAACTTCCTCACTCGCGTTCTTTTTCATTCCCTCCGGAATTCACCGAATTTTATTGACGGTTTAAAAATGAGCTGGGCTCGTTTCGGAAGACCGCGCTCTAGAGTTCTCGATGTCTGATTCAGATCATGCTCCGGGAATGCTAGAGGAGAATTGCATAAATGAGCCGTGAAACCAAGACGGCGAAAGTTATTCGAATTCGCCACTCAAAAAGTTCTGGGTGTGTTGAAATAACTCTACCGTGTTCACGGCGCCAGCTCCTTTCGATATCCTGAGAGACGCAATGTAGGACTAAGAGATACGGTGCTTTCTTCGTCCAAATACATATTCGACTTGAAGCCATGCGACAGGTGAGATCCGAGTTGAGCTCACGAAGCTGAGCTTGGTGCGGCTCATACAATCCATTGTGCCTGCCAAGGCGCTGTTTCGAACCGTGAACACACAACGCTGCGATCGAACCGACATTGTACAGGAAATCGAGGAAAAAGGCCAATCCGGCTATGTTGAAAGCATCCGCAGAATCGCTCTTGTCCGAGGCATCCGCAAACGCATTCCTGAAGTTGAAAAGGGATGAACCGGTTTCTAAGTTAGAGGCCATCGCCAGATCGGCACCGACGCGAATCGAATCGAAATCCTATGGAAAAGCATCCCCATCATGAGAACCTCTCATATTATTGGTCTTCAAAAACGCCTTCACCTAAGTATATTAATGATCTCAAGGTGAGAGGCGGATTTTTTATTGCAGTGACGGGAGTGCTGGGAAGGAGACGTCGAATCTCTCTGTTGTATTCCGGCTCTCATGCCAGGAGTCTACGAGAAACATACAGGCCTCTCGAACGAGCCGATCATATCGGTTGATTCGTTCTGTCCGGACCGAAATCGATTATGGTCGGTGGATCCTTGATGATGTCGTCGTCCAAGCTTGAACATAAATTCAAGCGGTAGTGGAGCAGAAGATAGTCGGCTCCTCTCATGAGTTCAGCTCCTGAAACTCCCCGGAGTTTATTAATCGCGATCTTACATTAGAAAGCCGAATTCCACTCTCGCGGCCGATTTCACATTGCGTGGTATTTATGCGTTGACCAGCCGTCAATGGACTTCGACTGAAGCTGGGTTTCCATCGCGCGTACGATACCCGCGATGGTATCCGCGAACGTATTAACGACAAATATTTCGTGGAGCCCGCTGAGTCGCACTTTTTTTTCGTCAATAATGATTTGTCGAGCCCGACTCAGTCTTATAAAGGTTATTTCCCTGCCCTAAAATCGGAGGACCTCGGGTGGTCAGGGCGAGTTTGCTCAGAACCGAGGAGCGATTCTGCTTCAATCTCCGCCGCAAATATTTTTCGGAAGCCTTCAGCGTCCACGTCAGAGACTTGAAAAAACTCCTCGGAGGGTCCCGGTCCGCCGCGGTCGTGAGCGACGCGACGACAGACCTCGAGGATCGTTGCGTCCTGAACGTCCTGGCAGTCCCAAGCCGCGACAAGCTTGTAGAACCCTCATTCGAAGCGTTCCTCCCTGAATCCAGACAGCGCCTGAGGGAAAATCGAGAAGCTTCCCCCAACTCCAGTCTCCACGAGATGCAAAGCTTGGTTCCGAACAGCGCCCTACCACACAGAGCATCTTGAGGACTCAGCGGTTTTCGGATTTTCGGAGAATCGTGAATCCCGGCCCCGGCAAGAGGACCGGCGGGGTTCCATTCGTACAATCGACGGCATGCGAAGTCTTCGACTTAGTATTTCTACGGGGGAAGACTCTTCGAGATTCCACCGCCCTCCGACAGCTCGGTGTCTTCTGGGATTCTGACCCCTGTCCCGAGTTTTCGCTCCAGGAAACGTGAATGGGCTCACATTGTCTGCGAGCATGCGTCGGTGGAGAGGTTTCCCCGCTGATGCTTGATCAGTACTCAGGTACTCTGAGGTTTCTGGCCGAATCGCCTGATCTGATGTCCCCGATTCCCTCGGAGCACTCCCAAAGCTCACTCCGAAACTCTAGGTCCTTCCCTGCGGGAACACATTCCGACTTGGCCATTATCGAACTACGGTAGCCTGGGCGGTGGATGAAAGCTTTCGAAATGACGCGTTTTTTGACGCAACCTACCGGAAGTGAACCTCGTCGGCGTGGACTTGTACCCGGGGTTGCATCCTCACAGCTAGACTTCTGAGCTGACCAGAGGGTTTGTCTTCAGGCATGGTGCGGCGAGCCCTTGATTCTGTCAACGATCCATCCGAAGGGCGAAGTCATAGCATTGAAGTGAGGCACTAATAAATTATTTGCGGAAGAGCTTTTGAGATCTCGGTCAGATTGCCTCGAAGCAAGTGGAGTCTTTATCGAATCGATAACTTCCAGACTTTTGTCGTGAAGAGCGCTGCTTCCGACGGAATCATCTGCTCATTGCGGGAACGTTACCGTTGACTTCCTTGACCCTAGCCAAAGTCAGAATGAGCTCGCAGAACAGCTTGGAGTGACTCGTGAAGCCGCTCCTCTACGCCTCGAGGCTTCGGGGAGAGTCGTGAGACAGAGGTCTTCCTAATAAGCTGGAGGAACGACAGCAAGAAGGACGAGAGCCACAGGCGAACTGCTGATCGCTAGGAGCCTACAAGAATCGATATAGTATCGGGTTGTCAAATGAGATGGAAAATGGATATACTCCGAGAATCTTAAGCGCCGAGCGGTGTGGGTTAGCCATCCATCCCAACTACGGAGCCCTGTCAGTACTAGCGGAAACTACGTTGTGTGTTTTTCGGGACCAGAGGGAATTGGTAGTCTACGAACTCCTCGAACCGAGCAGAACCGTCAAGGCAAATGATCCGTGATGATACCAGGCGCAAATGATCGGGATGACCCGAGCTTTGGTACAGAAACGGCAAACATGGCATCAGTCACCTACAGTCATCGGAGGAAGGGACTTGGACGAGCTTCGATGAGAGATGCTGCCCCACCCGCCTAACTCGTCGGACCTGGCCTCTTCCGAGTGCCACGGTTTTTTCTTCTTGAGCCTTGAGTCACGTTCTCGCACAGCAGCGACCCGCGAATCACGAGGAACTTCGCGGACAAGAAGAAAGAAGAGCGGAGAAGGATTCCGAGTCGGACGGAGGACTGCATCGCTCATTCGTCGTTGTATCTCATCGATCAACATCGATCTACCCGGCAACGCAAAAAATGATTTCATTGACGCAAGATGGTCTCCTCTACGCCCGCAGCGCCTCTTCCGAGAGCTTCGTGGGCGGCCCAGAGCGACGGCTATGCGCTGATCGGCGGGGGGGCTCATTCCGGCTTCCATTGGTGACGCTCGGGGTGCTGCTTCTCCGGTCAGGTACAGAAATTATACGCGCATCGTGTGAAGTTCTATAGGATCTGGACGGGGGACGGATTCCGATGGGATCGGTCTCGAAATTCCGAATGCTTCAATTTTAGCTGCGGGAGTCTTCCATTGTGACCACGGAATTCTGCGTCCTCTTAGATCAATCTCACCGGAATCCTATGACATACTGATTCCTCGGGTCTGGTTCTTCGAAGCGGCTTTCTTGTCGTCACCGTTTATCGCTCAGTGCCACCAGCGTGCTTACAATTCATACGCTGCCGACCTGAACTTCACGATTGCCAGTGGGATCCCAAGTGTTCATTGTTGTGCTACCGACGTTCGGGACTAGGACAGCGAATCCTTCAATCGAAATTTCCACTAAATCTCATTTTACTAAGTCGAGTACACTACTGTGCGACAATCATGAAGCTGGGGAAGATTCGCAAGTCTGAGAGGCGAGATGACTGAAATCAGGGTCCAAGTAACCAAGGACGTCCCCCTGGGAACTGTCGAGCGACAAGTCGTTCTCGCGCATTATCATGTAGAAGGCGTTGCCGTAAACTTCATCGCTGCGTGTACCGACCGTGGGGTCCGTGTGTGCGAAATTCGGATCGGTGACCGCGAACACGTCTAAAAATAAATGAACTCGGACTGTAAGCTGCTCCTGGAATCTCATTGGATATTCTGCCCGATGAAACTCAGGAAGACATCTCCCGTATCCCGTAGCAATGGATACATTAGGTGCCTCGTACATTTATCAGGATTGAGCCGCCCCCCGATGATGTTCGAGCAGAGTGAGTTCCGGATTCTTCGGTAATCCTGCGGTTGGCTGAATACCTCGTGATTCGCTTGGAGTATGGCCACCGGGGCTGTCACAGCGCTCAAGTCGTACTCCTCCACATTATCCTGCGAGAACATAAGCCGTTTCATGTCCTTTCATCGAATACGTAGAACGAGATCTGTCGGCTGAAGCGCTCACAGGACACGGGGGATTCTTTTCGGAATGGACAAGCAGACATTCCGATCCTCTTCGGGTGGGCTAAGAGAAGTTCGAAATTGGAAAAACTCACTGAGCGCTTACCAGATTTTCTCGGACATACACCACATGGGCCAGGGCCTCTGGAACGCTGCCAAGAATATTTCCGAGACTCCTATCGTACCAAGATGGCGAATACGATTGGAACTGCTCGCTTCGAGAGTTTTGAGTGAATTGAATCAATTCACGCGTTTTAACGCCATCGGGAACGCCGCGAATGAAGACTTTCTCAATTAGGTCCTGAAAAATACGATGTAAAAACTCTGGGATACATAGGTGAGCTACCGATCGGGCCAGCCAGAATCAGTCAGAAAAGTGATAGATCACGTTCACTGGGAGCAAAAAAGTAGTGAAGGATCGTGACTCACGATGTCGAAGTTGAGGGGGCTGATGCAGTCTATGGTCCCTGTCAACAGAGCGTTGTAAACGCACCGGGTCCCAATAGGCAAAAGGTGACCGAGAAGGTCGATGGCACGGGGTACTCCGGGTAAGCGGAAAATTCCGAAGTAAAAATTTGAGTCTACAATGTCTGAGAGCGGAATTCCGAACTGGAAAGAGGAATGGGAGGGTCCTTTCAAGGAAGGAATCATTGTGTACCAACGTGATGGAGGATCTCCACTGTTCCCTTGTGACGAACGAGGAACGCCGCTACCGGATTTACTCACAGTCTTGATGGCGACTTCCAATACGCCCATCAGGCTGCTAATGAGGGCGACCGGTTTTGTGATCGCAGTCACAGGGCACATGAGGATGAGAAGTCGAACTTTCTGGTTGTACTCGGGCTTGTTGGCGAGGAGTCCGAGAGAAACATATGCGCCTTTCGAATAGGCGACTATATTGAGAGTTTCCTGGTTTGTCCTTTGCAGTACGAAATCGATCGTTGCGGGAAAGTCTTTGAATATGTTGTCGTCCAGACTGGAATGGAGGCCAGAACCGAGGGGGGGAGCGTTCAATGGCAATCCTTTCGAAAGACTTCTGACGATTGCAATCACATGGATTTTCTCTTGACGTCATCCTTCGAGATTTGTATGTTTGATGTCTAGTAGCTTACGTGGAGTTCACGAATTCATCTCTAGTCAACGGACTATACGAAGAACCTCGGAAGTTGATGATATATACATCGTAACCGTTGTTTGCCAGGATCATTGCAAAGCTTTGTTCCGGCTTATTCAGGAGGAAGACATCGCCACTCACAAGGAGAGAATGAGCCATTAGCACTGGGATCATGGTTCCATTGACTCTGGGGTTCCAGAGGTGATGAACTCTGATCGTGACGTCGTCTTGCGTCGGTACTTCAAGCCACTCGAAGCTCAGACCGTGAGCACGGACATATGTGTCCTGAAATCATAGGGAATTCCGGTAGAAAATGAATTACCATCTATCCCCCCGAGATAGGGGGATAGGGGACTTCATTGGCTTCCGTTTCATGCCGAAATCGTGAAAGATCTCTCGAGGTAATCAGCGACGGCGACAGCTACAAAGCGAGAGGATTCGAAGATATCGAGAAGATCGCTCAGCCGAAGAAACACAAGCCGCACGAGAAGCGTATGTTTCTCAACAGCGACGAACTCGAGCTGATCCAACGGCAACACAGATCGCAGAAGTATATTGCTCCGAAGTAATGCGCCAAAGTCTCTCACATGGAGATTCCTATGAATGCCTGTATATACAGCAATATAAGGATTGGCGCGGGGCGCCCGCACGGCGATATTCCGGAAGTATAAAGCGAAGTTTTTGTGACTTTGTTTCTCCTCGATGCGCACCCAAACCGCTCAACCAATTCTCCTCAATTTTGTGCAGCTTCAAGATCACATCGAGGAGGAGGATATAGGCATACCAAAAAGTGTCAAAAAAGAAAGATGGAATTTATGCTGAGCTTTTCCCGCATTTCGAACAAATGTCGTCGTTTTGTTCGGACTGGGGGGACGGCTCGAGCAGTCATTGAATCATAATTTTCATCATATCTATGTCCTCATACGAATGGGAGAAGGAGCAGAGTGGCAAAAGGAGCAGGAGAATGACGGGATGAGGAACGGGAGAACATACGAACGGGAACTCTTGAATCATGATGTCGATACTTTCATACGAAAGCTGAAAGGAACGGGAGACGAGAAAAGTGACGGGGAGGGAGACTGTGGAAGGAACGGGCAAAGGGACGCCAGGAAAGACGGGAAGGCAACTTCCTTGTCAAAAAGGAAGTGAAACTGAAAGTCCGGGAAACGCAGGACAAGGTATGGAGAGAAGGGATGTCCCGGAAACCAAGCCTTCAGATATACCATAAGTATAGAGAAAGACGAGGACTGACCGCGGTCGGCACGTATAACAGTAGAAGAGGTAGTACCCAGCTCGCACTAGCGAGAGCAGGTATGCTACCGATTCGAAAATACCGCAGTTAGTTCCAAAACATCCACCCATGCTGCTGTTTGTGTGGGATGGAGGAGGAAAGTATCCAGCACGTGCTATTAGAATGCACCCCACATCACCCCAATGAAGAGAAACTCCGTAAGAAATTGGGACTCAAGGAGCTCCTGGACCGTGGAGTGCTGCGAAATACCAAGGAACTACTAGAGCGATCGGAGAAGGAGACCCGACCGATCTGCTGAGAAATCGCCCCTGAGATAGAAGGGATATGATCCTGTGATACAGTAAAAGCTCGTTATAACGACCCCCATTACAGCGAATTTCTCGGTACAACGAACAAGGAATTTCTCATGCTTTGGCCAGCTCGCCATAGGGATAGCGTTGAGCGGCATTCGTTACAGCGAAAACTCGGTACAACGAACCAGTTCCGTCGGTCCCTTCGTGTTCGCAGTAACGAGCTTCTACTGTATAGTATCGCAGGAACATATGGATCAATAGAACCATGAACCATAAACCATGGTGAAGGTAGACGGGAGAATCAGTTAATTTGACGCGGATACGGACGGAACAACGACGAAAAATCAACACTCTATCATTAGACCAATATTTTCATCATCATGCGCATCATTCACTTCACTCAACCTATTCCATGTGGAAGCAACGCGCCGCTGGGTCCGGCTGTGCATATATATAAACACACACACATGATGTGTGCTTATTTTGTACCATGAGAATTATCTGGGAATCCCTGGTTCTCGAAAAGTCTCACAAATGAGGAACTTCGACTCGCGTAGCGCGTAGCTGCTTTTTGTTCATGCCCTTCTTCTACCGCCTGCATCCCCTGTATTCACGACGAAAATGGGATCGGTTTTCTACAATATCTACCGATTTTTCACACTCACCGTTCCCTGCGACCACAGGCTGGCATCTTCATCTCGTCCCCTGTTTCTCAGAGGTTCATAGCGAAGCTGCTGCGCGAAGCTCACTCCTAGGAAAAGGAGAAGCGAAGAAAATGTGTAGATATTCATCTCTAGAGCTCCCTGCTCGTCGGCGACGATGTCTGATCCCTGAAGATCTCCCCTTCGTGCAGGACCTGCGAGGACAGAGGAGGGGGGAAAATGTTGCCCGGATAAACCTTCGGAGCAGAGATTGCTCTCGATGATCTAGCTGGGAGAGTGAACGTTTCCGACGAGCTCTGAGTCAGGTGTCAGACGCGGTCGACAGCTTTCCACGCCGGCATCCGCGAACAGTATCAGGCGGACTGAACTTTAGGACGTCTTCCCCAGCTGTCGGTATCCCAATCTACTTCCGAGGGCGAGGACGAAAGAGTATCATACTGATTTCGAAATGAAGCCCCAACGGTACAATTGCTTGTTTCGCTCGTCAAGGGAAGGAAGGATCGAATAATTTGTTGCGGCCCCCTCGCTTCCTCGAAACCCGTCTCCGGGAGATGCGCGACCGACTCATCCAGCGACAGCGCATCGGCATCAACCCTCATCGCTATGATATGTATTGGGTTTTGTTAACAATGTGGATATCAGAAGTCGATCACACACAGATGCGGAATCAGAACTTGAACGCGTGTAATTTGAGAGGCCTGTCGGTTCATCGGATGGATGATTAGAGAACATCCGTTTTAACAGCTAATCGCGCTCTGATATGCGATCCTTAGGCCGGTGTTGTCCTTCTCCAATGACATCCCGAAGGTCGAGGGTCCCAGACAAGGATCGTCGAGAGCACTCGCGAATAGGACATTTTCTGAGGTTCCTGGCGGCTACCGTAGCTCATATTCAATCCATTCCATGCAGGTTAGAACTCATTAAGTCGAATCCTTCCGGCGGGGAGTCTCCTCAGGTTCTCGGATTGAAGAGGAAAACCCTGGATGACTGCTCAGAATCATCCATCGTTCTCTCCGATTTTCGCTGGATAGCTATCATGCATCAGTCAAATACCAATATATAATGCCAGTGGTCTCGAATAAACTCTCGGAGCTAATATTGATCCTGAATTTACTGCAATTATGGCACGACTGCAAGACCTACACTGATAAATCTGATAGACTGATAGAGATTCATGATGAGGATTCCGTCAAGTGGTTTCGGTCAACAGGGTAGTACTCATCAAGCAAAAGTACTACAGAATCAGAATACGGGAATGATCCCACTCGAACTTATGACCGGCCCCGATATTCAGGGACGTTGAAAAAGCCAACGCGACCAAATCCGAGCTCCGATGGACATCACTGGTTGTCGACGCACAGATGAAGTGAACTGTCTTTGAATATCCGGCAAGCGATGAACCCCGGTTTGAGACGATGCTTCGGGACGATGCTCTCCCGAGAAGAACTGATCAGGCGAGCTTCATTCTCCGAACGTATGATTTGGATTATAAGAGAAAGCCAGGCTACGCCTATCGCGGAATCCTTCTTCCTTCCATCGCGCCTGGCATGCCGATTGCTCCAATAGGTGTCCTAATTAGTTCAGGCGATGAATCTGGGCTAGAATTTTATCTCAACATTGAGATGTATGTAGAACTAGATCGCAGCTGCGCATCGCCATGACGGTGGTGGTGATCTCGCGATGGCGTGTTCGACGAATCCGGCGGGTTTTCATGGAAGTGAAACAATTCAGATCTTGTTCCCGAGGTCGGAGAGGCCTAGCGAATCTCCGGTCTCACTCAGAATCGGCATCGCTAGAGGGAAGATTCGCGGTCAACTCAAACAGCCGTTTGCTCGCGTAATGTCGATAAATATAGAGCATTATAAATTATGCTTGGTCCTGGTCATGGCAGAGCTCCCATTCTCGACGACTCTGCTACCGGATATAAAGTCATATTCAAGCCATATTGGAAGTTTGAAATGATAATGGATAGTTTTCCCGGGTCGCATCGTGGTGGAGGTCACGGGATCGATTTTCTGAGCGCTTGAATTTGAAATATAGAATTTTGTTTCATGCGAAAGCAGGTCAAGCCGACGTATCGCCATAACATGGTATTGAAGGAAACACTACCGCATGATGAATGTCTATCAACGACACGGCCAGCTGGAGGAAAACGCGAAGGGGACGGACAAATGCTCTCATCGTCTATACCGAGCCGATTTCCGTCCTTCGGAACCCGATCTGCGTGGAACAAGCTCTCGAAGATACAGTCGGGTATGGTATCACAGCCTTTAGACTTTTCCAAGATTAGCCCCGCTGATGATCAAACCTCCATAGACTTCGTCGTCGGATTCTTCGAATTTTGAAGAGGAACTCGTTCTTCGATAAATCTCCGGAGAGGGATCCCGATGGAGACGTCTCCGCTCCCCGGCGACCCAATCTCCATCCTAGAATAAGACCCAAATTCTATTTCTAGCGTAAGTTCCCCCGTACTCGGATCTCGGAGAGAACTCGGACGGAATTCCAGATCCCGACGGGATGTCGGGCAGTCGATCCTTGACGCCGGGATATCCCTGTTTTTGTTCTCTGATTCCCACAGCGGGAGGATCGCATCACAGCACCTGTCAGTCGAGACGAGTCCACATAACTCTCTTTGAATATTCGTCCCCCAAATAGCGCAGGGAAAGCAGCCGTTATGTATGTTCCTTGCTGACGGCCACTTCCAGAGTCCGGACAACTTTCGACACATCTGAGCGACGGTTCTGGATAGATATTCGACTACGAAGTCAAACCTGTCGCAGACTGTTACGATGAGCAACTGGAGAGCTCTGCTCAGGTGTTCAATGTGGAATGTGGGCAAGACGACCAAAATGACCCAATGGTCTGGACGGTACGTTGGCTGTCCATACTGGACGTCAACTGGCAGTATCGAACTGGCAGCTCATTTTATTACATTACTCGGGCGAAACGGAATTCATGCCACGCAGCGCTTTCTGACCGGTACCGACTTCTCGACGACAATAAACGCAATGTCGACCTGGATCCTCCCCGAGCTCTCTCCCCATCCCCTAGACTTTGGTTCTCCCCAGCTCCCCTGGTCCTCACCGTCTTCTGAACTGTGGATGGACTGGTCGCTCCCCTCGAAGAGGTAGCGGGTCAGCCGTGGAATTTCAGCAGTCCCACGTGCTTTACCCTATCCCACCCAGTCGACGATGTCATTGGATACAATCTATCAAGGTTTTGTTCAGCGACTGCGACAATCAGCTGAGGGACAGCTGGGAACTGTTCCATGTGCTTTCTCGGAGTGGAGAATTTAAAATGATTCATTTGCTCCTCCGGCCCTCCCTCTTTCGAAGTGACCCGTTTATTCGCTTGGTCGTTTGTACAAATGATCGATTACCTCCATTAATGACGGAACATTCTGGATAAGTGGCGAGCATTTGTGTTCTGACTCTTGTGACGGCTGCTCGATTTCGTCGTTCTGCCTCCCGTAGCCGGCTCGCTATCAAGTCTTCTCAATAAAATATAAATTCCGGAATCGGAGCTGAACATGTACGAAATCTCAACTGGCACAGCAGGCGAGTTCAGAGTGTGCAATCCTTCCGGGATCACGTTGATCACATCGCTTGCAGGATTCAAGCGCTTTCGAACATGGATTCGGTAACCAATACATTCTCTCAGGATTCGTTTCCTGGCCTTGATTTTCGTCACAGTGGCATTGGTTCTCGTTTATCGGCGTCTTTCCCGTTCTCCGACGAGATCGGCAGCGCTAGGAAGGTTCCATCTGGTTGTATTTGAAGCTTATGCGTCTGTTGTAAGGCCAACATAGTTTCGGGAGACACGTGAACGACCTCGAGGAATCCCTCCGATATCAACTCATCCGGGACATTCTGGAAAAATCATCACCTCAGTTACGAGAATCGAGAGTGAACGGTAATACTGACTCGGAATCGATGCAGTTCCGGCTACACTATCGAATACCCACAGCATCGAGCGAAATCACGTCGCCCTCGACCGCGTGAACCGACGAGTGGACGCTGTCCTCGGCAGCGTCTTGGGAATCTGTCAGGAGATCATTGAATTCGAAGGGATGGGCTCGTAGAAGATGATTCACGTGGTCGTCTCCATTCGTTTCGCAGTCGTGAACCTCGTGAGTATCGTCGTCGTCAGACGCCGCTATCGATTCCCGAGTACTTCCGAGAGGCGTTGTCGCGCTCCCTAGAGCGAGAGGTGCCTTGGCTGCATGCGAGGCGGAGTTTTCTCCTGCAACGGATTCCTTCGGGGCTCTGCTCGTTTGCTCGAGGATTTCGAGTGCTTTCCGTTTCCGTCTGAAGGCGGTCCGACATTTCGAGTCGATCGACAACTTGATCCGGTCCCAGTCGCTCTCACTTATATTGAAGGTGAACACAAGGTGACCTGATGAATGAGACAAATAATCCGTATCGAGAGCCCTCCGCAACCCGTATACGGAAGCGTGACGATCGATGAAAAGCCTGGAATAAACAGCTTCCGAGCGGCCGAGAGCGGGAAACTCACACAAAATAGCGTATACGTAGACTGGATTCAGTTTCTGTTTTCCGTATTTACTGCTCCCGCTTATGTTGGCATTGGCTTGGACATCGCGGGAGAACAAGAGATCTAGTAGCTTCAGCGCCATCTTCTCAGGAGTACGACACGTTGCGTTGAGATCGAGGACCACTTTGGGATCCAGCGGTACCCGAACCCGCTTCTTCGGGTCGCCGTCGTCTCCCAGCCAGGAGCCCTGCATTGGCCGGAGTTAAGGAATTATTCCGGCGGCAGGAATTTCGAAATTTCATCACAGGAAAGCTCGGATAGCGGCTCCACGACTCTTATCCATGCTGTATGCTCGCACTCACGTTCGGGTAGTCTGAATGACTGTTCAGAGCGCTGATGAGTACTGTGCCATTCTGAACGAAATACGGTGTGCCATCTTTTGCGATTTGTGCACCCGAAGATTTGGCATCGGTTCTGGGTTCGCTGTGAAACAATTGAAACATTCCGTCTCCGCATCAGTATTACCGACTACGTTTCCCAATCTCGAACCGCCTGATCGGTCTCATCTCAGGCGACTCTCATGACCAGCTTTTCCGATCGAGATCTCATCGAGCCAATGGATCGATTTTTGGGACTGGGCCAACCGGGCCATCGAATTGCTCGGGTCAGCCCTCGGCTCGGAAGCCGATCGGAATCGACACTGAATCCGAGCATGGATACCTGGCCGTGGGCTCCGCTTCGTCCTCCGGGTCGCAGTAACGAGCGCAGCATCGGCAGCCGCTGATTCGGTCTTCCAGCTTTCTGCATCTGTCACTCAAGTCAGAAACCCGACATTCCAGCATTCCCAAGCGATCCAAGAGCTCATTGCGGAACGATGTCAAGAAGTCCTAGAATAGTTAGTGAGTGATCATCTACTCTCCCGCGGAACCATTTATATGAAGATGGCTCGAGATTAGATGGGGGATCTCCAATAGACAACTTTTCTGATGGCGAAGGAAGCGCGTGTTCCCGACTCGATGAACTCACCATGATGATGCCATTATCACCAGTCATACTGGAGCTATCCTCCCCTGTGGAGTAAATGCGATACTTTGACCGATGTACATCGTTTGAGTGTGTTTCCTCATGCTTAAATGATAATCCATTGGAGGCCGATCCGTCTCAGGATACCAAGGTAGCAAAACAGATTCTCTCCTTATTCGGAACTGGTAGGACACACTCATTCGAGAGAAGAATCGGCACACCACTAACCGTGTACTTTGACCTGTTGGAGCTCCATGATCAAGACGTCACACCGAATAGTATTTCTGATGGAGATCTTCTTGGATTTCGAGCTTCTCTTCTCTCTATCGATCCCAGCGACGGCGGTCTTCGGCCGGTAGGGTCTCCTCCCCGCGAGCCCGAGACTCTACCTGAACGAGCGAACGCTGAGCTTCACAGGCAAATTACATCATGGGACAGAGATATCCCATCCGAAAGCGCTGTCTGAACCGATCAGCTGGGAACTTGGCTCGCTCCTCTGTCTCTCAATCTGTCGTCGTCGGAGTTAGACATGAAATTCGGATTGTACGCTTTTTACGGCGTCTTTTCGCACGCTTGCGCGCCTGCTCAGGAAGGCGTGATATTCTGCTTATGTCGAGCCGATGGGTAGAGCGTACAAGAAGTACGCGGGGTAAAATTCCACGAAGATGGAATCTGTCGACGGGAGAGGGCTGGCGATGATGCTAGTGATCTTTGCTGAAAGTTTGACCGGAATGGGGCGGTTCCTTCGACCGTTTTTGAGCCGTACTTGATCAGTGATCAAATTCGACGGAAAATCGTTCTTAGGATTGCTCGGTCCGACGTGATCCTGGCGTAACCATTGATCATCATTTTTATAGTAATGGATTATCCTGGTGTGGTCAACCATCGCGGCTCGTCCTGGACCTAGACACTGCAACATCATACAGCGTTCTCATGATGATGCGCCGTGGAAGTTTGATCCGAGCTGCTTCTATCGCCCTCGCTTAAAGTTTCAAGCGACGATGCGTCGGAAGCATGGGGACTGGAGAAGGTCGGTATCGCAATCCTCTCACGGAGGTTGCGTCGACTGAGATGGGACCCCTTCTCGCGAGGAGGTTCCTCGAGAGGGCACAACGCATGCCTTCGAATAGTGGACTTCCATGCCTCGCACATTTTGCTTGTATCTGCCGGACTTTTCGGGTATACTTTGGAGTGAACTCATGGAACGCGAGACCATGAGCCAGGGTCGTTGCGAGCGCCTTTCATTTTTCCCATAATCGGAATCCACTAGCTGATGGAAATAATAAAAAGGTCAATTACTGACTGTTGCCAGCGACCGGGAAGCACTACTTTAAGTGGACCACTCGGGAGCACCATATCGGAGCATCGTTGAACACACCCTGGATCTCCGACGGCATTTTCAAGCCGGCGCGGCCTCGCCCATGAGGACCGCTTCGAGTTCCTCTCCGACAGAAACCATATTCCCTGGAATGAATCAAGGATTCGGAGCTCCCAAGAGGTTTGAGGGATTCTCGTAGATTCGCACCGCCACGAGCGGGGCGATCCTTTCCGGAGAAAGATTCAGTGTCGGATATATCAGAATCGAGTCGTTTCTCAGGGATTATTGCCCGAACGAGTCTCAAGATTCTCCGACTACCATTGAGTCTCCGGAATACACATAGCAAAGGTGCACAAAGTGCGGCCCGTAGCGTCTTCCTTTGCGGCACGCGGCACTTATCTTGATATCGGTGAATATCGAATCAATATCGCGTCTTCGATGAAATCTCGCGTGAAAAGCGTGGAGATGACCAGATCCTCCCCACTCCAGTCTTAGCGAAGACTAGATGTGGAGCACAGTCGTGCCCTGTCAAAACCTCATGGACGTCGGATTCAACTGTGAGACACCCTTGAAGAAAACTTGAAGCTAATCTACACATACTGAGTTTCCAGACAAAATAACCGTACTCAATAACTGCTTTCAAGCAAATCGTACCTTCGTGAAGCTCAACGCGAGGTGTAAGTCAACTTCCATCTGACGGGAACTGGAATTCCCGCATCGAAGCTCATCACTCATCAATTCTGTTCTCTTACTACAAAAAGCATGTGTGGAAGAGCTCACGGGTTGTTTTTCGTCCGCAGGCTCGAATCCGACTCCGTGAAAGAAGGATCGAATAAGCCATGGCGAGCTACGGAAAAATACCTCCCGGACTAAGGCCCGTGGGCCTAAGTTTGAGTGCTAGATAGCTGGATTGATGATGCCTGAAGTGGCTTCTCTGCCTCTCCCCAGACATAATCCATCGTTATCATTTTTGCATGTCCTCATCGTCATCGAATGTCCTTTCATCAGCATCAGAGCCCGCCGTGGTCGTTTCACGGAGACAGCTTTCGCTTTTGAAGAGCTGTGAAGTTTTCTAGGCGAGATCTTGTCCTTCCTAGAAGAATTCATGTTTCGTGAAAATTATGGTGACTTCAACGTCGGGAACGTCCGAATGCAAGGGATCTCGCCGTCGTCGGAATCGTCGAATTCCAGGCTCCGTCCTGACGGCTTGACCCTCACGCCCTGGCGCGCGGGCAGATGTTTGGTCTGGGACGCTACGGTGTGGGATACCCTTGAGCCCTTACACACAGGCGTCGCTTTCCTTTCTTCACTACATCCTTCTGTCTTTTTTGCCGTTTTTGGCGGTGATGTTCTCTAGGTATTCCATCTGTTCCCACAGGTATGTGGTGATGTATCAGTATCGGGATGAACATGACTACGGCTCCGACGGCCATGGCGACTGCCAGGGCTTCAAATTCCGTAGGTTCGTCTCCGTGTTCTCTGTTGATCGTCAGCGTCGCCGCCCGCTCCGCCGCGGAAGTCGCGAACTTGGCGGAGAGGACGAAGTACGATAAGTATCGTGAGCTGGATGGGCGTTACATCGAACAACCGGTGGCATTTGAGACCCTCGGAGTGGTCGGCCATCAGACTGAGGCGTTTCTCAAAGACCTTAGCCGGCGGATCGAGGCTGCATCGGGAGACCGAAGAGCGACCACTTTGCTATTGCAGAGGCTAACCCTAAAGGTTCACCGCGGCAACGCGGCGGCTGTGTTCGGCTCCCTGCCTTCAGCAGGGGGGAAAGATGGCGTGGAGTAATTCATTTGTCCATGACACTTATCAGGGTAAATAAAATATATATTAAATGAGATAAATTAAGGCTGCATTGATTAGTAAAGATTTCGTAGACAATGGTCGAGCATTCTCTCCTGAACAATGATCCTTATCCTGAGTTCTAGATCCTTTTGAAGTGAGTCGTAGTGTCGATGTAATGAACCGGATGTTGATGTCTATGTTGACGGTGTTGTTGACACTTCCTCGTAGTCGCCATCACCCGCGCATCAGCAGGTGTCCGACGCCTGTTCACAAAACGCGAGGAGCAGCGATAGTGACGCGGTGCAGGACACATGGAGGAAATTCAGTTGTGGTCTAGGATACGGTCAGAATCGTGTCTCAAGCGGCTGTATCGAAGCTCCACGAAATTCGGCACCGCGGGAAGAGTTTCTGGGGAAAATGCTCGACTGATGGGGGAGTACCCCAACCTGTGGTTCCAGATGTCACGACGAGGGTTGTGAAAGCCCGGTATCGTAAAGGTCGGTACTGCTGCGTAAGATCCGTACTGTTATCATTAGTGTTCTCTTTCGTCGTCCGGAGTGATCCGAATAGAGCGGATAGGATGCGTCAAAGAGAGATAGCCTTGGCCTTGGGGCAGGTGACCTGTAGTGCATGATTCCCGAAAGTACTCATCCCATAATGGAATCTCGGTCAGTGCCGAATAACTACTACCCCGTCAGTAAGCGGCGAGCTGAACGGAACACTTCAAGCCGACCGACAAGCGTGACGGTCGAGTTAAGCTCGCACATATAGCGAACGTCCGCGAAAGCCTCGAATCTCGAGCTCTACGTCCCTGCAGATGCGGCGCAAACAAGACTTCTCGTCTCCTTGTCCCCCGCCTCCGAAACGGCGGCCCGGAATCTTGAGCAGAGCCGCCAGGGGCTCTGCGAGCAGCGCGAAACAGGAGCTGACAGAGAACCGAATGGGGACTAATTCAGAATCATCTCGGGAAGGCGAAGCGCCAGCCATGCTCTATCGTCTGATGCCTCGGGATCCTCTTCCTCAAGGAATTAGAAGTCCGAAGTCTCAGACACAAGCAGTTGAAACACCGGTCGTCATGGTCGTCAGTGACGCCAGTAAGCTTCTCTCCATTCTCCACAAATTTTGCACTTCGGAGTCAGAGCTCCCTCGAGTGCAGTGAATGCATTTTCTCAATTTCCAGACGAGGATACCAGCGGCGGATTCCGCGACGCTCAAAAGACGCTTGTGGTTCATGTCAAACAGCTGTACGACGAAACGGATGAGAGCAGCAACCAGGCTGGTACAGTACAGCCTCAGGGAGAGGAGAGACCCCTGCGTATTATGAATCACAAGAACTCGATCTGAAGCTCTGAATGTACGACAATTGACGATCTCCGGAGCTAAGGCAGACTTTCTCGTCTCAGAGAGCCTGGGAGAAGCTCCTGTGAGCGTTTCGCTAGCCGATGATGGAGAGACCCTTTCGGAAAACGATTCGGGAGAGCCGGAGAGTTTCAATTTAACAGCCGATTGCGTAGTCGATTCGAGCGGCAGGATGTGGCGTGAGATTCCGCCGCACAGAGGTGAGCATTCCTGACACGCGATTCACACGAGAACTCCGACAGCTCATTTCGTGCCTTGGCGCGATTTCGTGAGTTTTCGGAGGTATCGAATTCACGAATCCTCGCGGGAATACATCTGTCGAGGCTTTTCCAGGACTGAAGGCTAATAGAGCCGGGGTTGCACGTTGGTACGAGGAGGGCCGAACCGATCGCTACCAGTGCCTATTCTGCAACGAAATATTCGGAGCTTGCGATTTGAGGTCTCATCAATTCGATCAACATAAGTATCGACTTCCTGAAGTTGGAAAATCTGCATTTCTGAAGTACATTCGCAGAGACAAAGTTCCTGTGAGTATAGGAGACCGGAAATGCATCGACATTTCGAGAGAGGAATCGCAAGCATTCCAAGCAGAATCCATCGTCGGGAGGAGACGAGTAATATCCGAATCGATTCTTTCAGGTGGCGTCCGCTCTGACTCCTGGAACTCGAGAGGGTACAGGAGCTTGTCCGCACTGTCCTCAAAGCTTCGCTAGAAGACTCGATCTCCTCACCCATCTGAATGTCGATCATGGTACGTGAATGGAAATGTCGGGAAATTCCCTGACCGGGTTGTCGTGATGGTTCCGGTGGTCGTTTACTCTCAGCCTCGTGAACTTGAATTACTGCTGCCGTTGTCTATTCGCCAGGGAAGCAATTCGTTCTATTTGATCTGGACTTCGACTCCGCCGACGAGTTCGACCAGTGGCTCGAAATAATCACCTATAAGTACATGACGGGATACACGAAGAATCGAACTAACGTGGCCCAGTCCGGGATGAAAACCCAGATGTACCTTTGCAGGTAGCTTAATCCTACGCTACGCTCATGTAACTGATACGTATGCTGTCGAGAGAGTCGACTGAAATCGCCGAAAGCAGGGCGATATTAATTCGATACACGAGATGATTTCCTCGATCATATTCAGGATGGAGGAGAAACCGCGGAAATCGAAAGTTTTCAAAACGGAACGACGTGCTCAAAATCGAACGCGGGCTCAATACTGTACAGCGCACTTGGTAGTTCGATTTCTGGAAGGCGGCAGACTTCATGTGAAAGGCAGCCCAACGCACATCAACCACGACGTCACGTTGTTCAGCGCTTGCCGGAGCTTGGACGACGTACCCATGGACGGCCTCCCGGGGTAAAATTTTCTGCTGGTCCTCGATCCTCCGTAAGGCTTTGCGCTCCGAGGAAGAGAAGCATCGACAACGTAAAATCGGGGGTACCTGGTCCTCTCTTTAGATCTGGACGAGAAGCTCTGTTGCTATGAACGACATTCCAGGTACGCCGCTGTTATATCAGCATCATCGAGGGGTATACCGAAAACAACTATCGATGTTTGCCAGAACATTTTCAAAAAAGCAGATGCCATGAAAAGCCTCCTGGGGACCTGTCCTGCTCCCGCGAACAAGAACGTTGTGAGTTTGCTTATCTCCGGATCTCACAGTGACGTCAATCCGATTCCCAGCGATTTTCTTTCTGTCGAGAATACGCAGCGACCATACTGATGTTTCAGGTGAAAATTCTCCATAGCAATCTATCAGCGATGCTCGACCCGATCTCGTCATACAAGCTGAAGGCCGTTGTTTTACAAGGAGACTCGGAAGAAATCGACAGTGTAGATCAGTGAACACCCAGATGAGCTGTTTTTGTCTTGGGTTATCGGAATCTCGAGGGTGGGCAGGAAGCCCCGAGCTACGAGGTCATGATCGATGTCACGCATATAAAATGGATTTGAATGCCTAGGCTTGATCTTCCTTCGGAGCTCAGGAAATTCCATGGAATTCAAGTGTGATGGTTGAGAAATACCAGAAAAACTCTAGGAGTCGGTCACAAGATTTATTCTCCCGTCATGAGTCGCCAGAAGATGAGTTCCGACAAAGCTCCAATCGTACATATTGCACTACCGTTTCTCAGCTGACAATCCTTCAACATTTCCTCAACCAGTGCCGCAGCTTGATGCATTCCGGGTTGACGCAATGGGGACATCGCATTCCCAGTTGCGGAGATACACGAATGTTCGAATCGAGATGATTCTTAACTTCATCGGCGAGACCGCGAATGAAATGTTTGTTGAAGTTCGGAGCCTCCGCCCTATAGATTTTCTCCAGCTTGAGCTCCTTGGCGAGATCGTCCCCGTATTCTATGTCGAGCTCGTGCAGTGTCTCTATGTGCTCGTTGACGAATGAGATCGGCACCATCATCAAAGTATTGCGGCCCCTCGATGCGAAGCCTTTGATGGCCTCGTCTGTTTTGGGGGCCAACCAGGGCACCGGGCCTACTTTCGATTGCCAAACGAGTCTATGTGGATAACGGTGTTTGAGTTTCTTCATGACGGCCAAGACGGTCGCTCCGACTTCTGATGGATAAGTGTCCCCCCTCGCAACAATTTTCAGCGGGAGTGAGTGGGCGGTGAAGACCAGCACTAGCTCATCTAGCTGCTCCTTGGGGATTTTCTTCGCTTCGTTCTCTATCGACTCGACGAACGCGTCTATGAGACCCTCGTTCAGACTCCATCGATCGATGAAACTCCACTGCACGTCGCTGAGCTCAGGATCGCCATTAACCTCTCGCTGCAGCTGGTTGAGAGAACTTCCCGTAGTGCAACACGAATACTGCGGGTATTGAGAGAAAGCCACCACTCGTTTGACACCGTCTTTTTTGATCTGATCGAGGGCGTCGCTGCTGAAGGGTGAGGCGTACCGGAAGCCAACGTAGGCTTTGTGAGGTGCACTGGACGGTGACATGGAGTCCAGAAGTTCCACCATGAGATCGCCTTGTTTCTGCGTGTACTTATAAATGGGAGAACCTCCGCCGATTTCCTCGTATTTCTTTTGGACTTTCGGGGTCCTGCGTCTCGCGATCATTGGTCCTGCGAAAGGATCGCGTCAACGTTAGGAACTGCCACAGTTCTGGGGACCCCTGGCAACTCGTTCCCGATCCCACCCAAGCAATGCTCTGATTTAGGCGTTCGATCCCACGTGTTCAGATGAAAATCGAAAAGAGCAATCGGAGCATCAGATTCCAACCTAAGAACCTCTGAAGGGGCATGTCTATGATGTCCTTGTCCGCGAAAAGTTTTGTGAGGAAGCCCTCCACTTCGCCAAGGGTTTGCGGTCCTCCCATGTTCATCATGAGAACGCCGGTCCTCGGAGCAGCTAAAAAAACTCTCGCCGTCGAGAAGTTTCGGAGCTGGCGCAACATCTGTAAAATAATCAGACGTTCAAATTCTGGAAGCTCTCGTCAGGATATCATCGGGGAAGAATGGAATCGCTCAGCGACCATAACTCATTATAAGGCCGCCGAAAACGATCGCTGTCGACGAACTCGACATTTCGCGTGAGTATCGCGCTCGGACAGCGTATCGTGACGTGGTCCTTGTATGCCTGCCGGAAGAAGCAGTAGAAACTACGTTCGGACCTCGTGATCTCAGCCGAGGTTTTCCTCTACGTCAAATATTCGACGCTGAACTTTCCCCGGGAAACATCTGTCAGAAAAAGTCTCCAAATGTCGAGCTTGAAGGATCTTTGGAAAGAGGGACCTCTCAAGGGCGCTGTCATGGCCACTTTCTAGAAGTCGATCTATCTCGAACTTATCGCTGCGGAGCTAAGGTGTATTTCGCCTCCGTATTTTACGTAATCCCTTTGTAAGCGGAGTGACTCGAAAGAGGGCTTCGTTTGATGGGGTGGTCTCACAATATTGACGCTCTTGCTTCAGACAGTCTCGGCAGCTGAGAGTTGGAAGCGGAAGCGCTGAATGCTCCACTTCTCCGAATTCTACGCTCGGTTCTCCTCTCGGAACCGCTCGACTTTCGACAACATCATCCGACATTGAGCACCGAGAACCGATAATGCCCCATGGACACTTCTCGATGCGTTTCCTCGAGGCCGAAATCACTCGGAGCACGCGGTACGACCTACAGAAAAACGTCTGGGGTGCAGTACAGTCCCTCAGCCTTGCGCTGGTTATTCCGCTGTCTACTAAATTCCTCATAGACTCGGATCGTGCAAAGAGCCGGGTACTGATTTGTATTCGGGAAACTTTCGGTGAATTTCTCTCATCGTACGTTCAATAGTCCGGCTGTCCTGAAGTCTCAAGCGGAAGCTTGGCACCCGTTGACTTTGGCAAGAGCACCGGCGAGTGTTATCGTTTCTCGCGTCCGCGATGCCGACGTCCACCGATAAATAGTGTTCTCTGATTGCCTGGAGATGAGCCACGTAAGGTTTGTTTTTATTTTGTGTGGCCAGCCGCTGCTGAAATCCCATGAGGTACCCTCGCCTGCCGAGTCTCTCCCTTACGTCATGTTCTCGCCGAGCGCCATGGCCGACTGCCGGTTTGCCCGCTGCATCAGCGCCTAGACTGCGGCGGGCACGCAAATGATGACGTTGATCCGTACGGGCAGTTTCAGAAGACGAATCTGGGATAGAGCGCTTCTCGGGCCCTCCTCTGCTCTCACAGACCAAGAGTCCGACTGGATGATCATTGGCCGTACCTGAATCGTTCCACGATGGAGATGCCGAACAGTGAGACTCTAGAATTCTGGAGCTCAAAATTCTGGGCATCATCGGGCTTCTCTCCGCCTAGCCACAGGGAAATTCGATTCGAAGGATCTTCGGGATAAGGAGTCCGCGCATTATGGGAGCTTTGTCGGGTATCTCGCAGGGTACCTTTGTCGGGAACTTGATGCCTCGACCCGAAATCATGAGCGCCACAGGAGGAATCGCACGACTTGCCCCGACGACTCTTTTTCGTTGGAAGTCTTCGAGGATCCGACCGGCTGACTCCTCCGTCAAAGCGAACCTTGCTTTCTATACACCTCCAGACGGATTTAGTTCAATCCTACTCCTTGCTCGCATCGACCAGGAGTTCGATGCTATGTTTCAAGCGATCAACCGAATCGATTCGCACGGGGAGAGAGTCAGGGGACCGGACTGAGGGTGTCGGACCATCTTCCGGGTACTTGGCGAGCTCGGCTATCAGGACTGGTCTCTTTGGCAGATTCTTCTGATCGAACTTCCCCGTGGCTGGGCGGAGAGAAGCCCGATGATGCCCGGATTCCCTATTCCGGAGATTCTCGGAATCGGGTTCGCCTGCGTCTGGGCGGACAAAAACTCCGATGATGCCCAGAATCCTGAGCTCCAGAATTCTTGAGTTTCACAGTTCGGCATCTCCAGCATTGCACGATTCAGATACGGCCTATATTCATTCAGTCGGTTTCCGAGTCTGTGAGAGCGGAGAAGAGCCTGATCCCAGTTCCGTCGCTTGATCAATGTCATCATTGGCGTGCTCACCACAGTCTAAGCGCTGATGTAGCAGGCTAACCGGCAATTGGCCACGCGCCGCCGCTGCCGCGCTGTTTGAAATGGAAGAGAAGAGAGCTCCTCGCACGTGTAGTAGAGACGGATCAAAACAGAACAATTTTCGCGCTGAGCTCGTTTCCTGATGGCATTAAAAGATTCTGCCTCGAAACGAACGATGTCTCGGAAGAGGCCATCGACGAGCGCGGAGAAGAGCGACAAGAGCAAAAAGCCAGGATTCTTCGACTTGGGAAGCTTCGTGTCGAAAGTTAAAACGCGTGATGTCAATATTCTCAATGGTGAGTTCCTCTTGGGAAACTCTTACCGCGGTGAAAAGGTCGAGTCTGTTCGTATTGCTAGATTCTTCTTCTTCTACGAAGGAAGAAGCCGCCATGTGCGTTCGCTGGGGAGCGACTCAAATCTGACTGGAAATCTTTCTGATTCTAGAGTTGGCCTGGTTCTCGGAGTCGGCTCGAACTTTCCAGAGTACTCGGGCGACTATGGATATCGTGCGAGAATTCCTTCAAATGATTGATTGTGATCTGAGTCTGCTCACGATCTACATGGATATATTCAATGGAGATCAAGAAGCATTCTTGCAAATTGTTTTCGCCCTGGACAATATTTTCGTTCGCTTCCAAGACGACGATACATTGACAACATTGCGGGCGAAAGTTTTGATTTACGCTCAAAGGGTACTCTCGCAATTCGGACCGGGTCTCGCGGAAATGCTCGGCTCACAGGTGATGTGTTTTTGATTTTGAGCTCATTCATACGAGTGCTTATGCCGTTTGATTATGAGCAATCGTTACTTCGAGGAATATTCCTAAGATTTCGGGCGTACCGATCCCAGCTGGAGGACTCATGTTCATCATTTACAGGGTGATCCCGTCGTGATCAAGCCCGTGCTAAAGCTTCTCACTTCGATGGTGTTGGTGGGCCCCGAAGTTGCGGATGTTTTCATACAATCTGTAGACCTGTCTTTCTTCAACACTTGTTTCACCCGTGTCAGAATCAAGGAGACTCTATCGGTGAGTTACACGTCTCAATCAGAGCCTCCGTCGTCAGACTCCGGAGGCTCGGTGCGGAGGAAATTCGAGAAAACACCGTGGGAGAATCTTAAAAATCACGTTTTTCCTCATTTCAAGATTCGAACCTGCGCGCAATACCTGCTGATTGCTCTGCTTATCATATCCAAGCGAAACACTCTGTGGAGACTGGTCGACAATCGATCCGTATTCCCGTGGGCTTTCGCCGGACTAGTGCATGACAAGCCGAACGATGTAATCAGTTTCCTGCAAACAGTGAAGGAGAAGATCACCGAAAACAGCTTTTTGAGCAAGAATCAGAAAATCAACGTGCTAAATAAAACTTCATTGACTCCGGTCATGGCCCTGCTCATATGGAGAGGCCAAATGGAATGGCGGGGAAAGGAGTGGAGCAGGGTGTGAGTATCCCCTCTGATATTTCTGAGAAGACACTCGGAGCGGACTTCAGCGAGCAATTCTGTTCCAGATTCCTATACGAGAAGAAAGCGAAGGAGAAAGACTTGAGCGCCTTGATGAAAGGGAATGAATTGCTCATTGCGACGCCTGCCGATCAGAAGAGAGTGCGCTCCTGTGCGGCGGAATTTCTCTCTGCTATCCTCTTCGATACGAAACAGGTACGGGAAAATCTCTTTGCATGTCTCCCTTGTTCATTCGTTGGGCTCGGGCGGGTATTCCAAAAATCGGGATCGCCTCACAATGTTGGATTCTTCTCCTAGGGTGTCGTCTTCAAAGATCCAAGCCTCGGAATGGGTGAGAAGAACTGCAATTTCATCGTGACTCAGATCGTGGCGAGCTGCTCGCAAGTTTTCTCGGAAGAAGAAGGTGCTTTATTCATGGCGGACCTACTGGTCGCCCTTCCCGATCAACTCAAATACATCATCGTCGACCGTTATTTCAACTTTAATTCGGCTAAGCAGTCGAGAACCCACCATCATTTCTACAACACGTTAGCGAGGGTGAGCGTTTGGAAACTTCCGAGAGGTATAAAAACCCTCAGATGCCGGTATCAGTAATCTTTCGTAACATGTGCGTGGGGATTTCGATGCACGCGGAGCCGCGATTCAACCCCAACGATTATCGCAGGTCGTGACGCGACTCGACTTCAAGAGTCTGTTCGCCCAGCTGGAGCCCTCCGCAACGAATCAGTACATCGATTTAGTTCGTCACTTCTGCCTCTTCCAATTCGTGCCGAAAGATCTATCGGAGTATAGTCTGACGTCCGCGTACTCCGTGCTCACTTTCGTTGTGTCTATGCTGAGGAAGCTCACTGACGTCATGAGACAACTCGATCGTGAGACACGTCGGATTCTCATTCCCTTCATCAAAGACAATCTGATCCAACCGGCTGCTCTGACCGAGTAAGTTCGGAAAGCGACATTCATATTCGCGAAATGGCGTGAAATCAACTATATTTTCTTATCATTATTCAACTATTCATCGAATTCCTCGTTCGATTGAAGGTTACTGAGGACGAGCTTCAGTTCGGAAGACATACTCACACTCTCCGACTACAGTGGAGCGGATATATCAGACTTCGTACTGAAAGTGCTCGACACCATGAACATGATGGCCTCTCCTCTCCTCGGTTACATTACCGCTAATTTCGGCTGGTCGCTGATGACGGACGTGGACCAAATGATTAGAGAGAAAGTTTCCGTGATCAACAAATCGAAAATATATTTGCGACTCATGGAGATGATATTCAGCTTCCTTCCGGATTTCGAAGAGCAGCTCGTCAAAAGCGACATGAAGCCTTTGAGACTCTTGTTCAGTCTCCTCGCCGAAGCATCGACCGACGTCACGTTCCAGGTCGAGTTCGTGCATCACGCGATCCAGATTCTCAGAAAGTTCTCACGGCTGGCGAAACACAATCATGAGATCGAGTTGTGGATCTCGACGGTGTTGGCATCCGAAGAGCAAGAAGTCAATCACGCTTATTCGATGGCACTATGCGACGCCGTACGTGATTGCGTCGTGAAGGGAGAGGTTTACGAGAAGGAAATCCGAGAGCTCGGTTCCGAGAGTCAGAGCTCGAGCGAAAACACGAGAATGTTCAGTCCTCTGTCAGCGCACATTGTTTCGGTCGACCACGAACGATATCCAGTTTTCACGGCGGTAATGCGCGAGATCCTCCACAGGCAGATCGATTATCCGGTCTACATAAAGTTCCTGCAGAAATATGGAAACGGGAAGCTGGATCCGCATTTTGCGCATTACATTAATTTTCTGCTGAAAGGAGAGAAGCCCTTCGTGGGCAAAGGCTCGTTGAACGTGGAAAAATTCTCCTCTGCCAGCGCCATGCAGCTTGAGACCGCCTTCGTAGCCTCAATGACTGGTGGGCATCCGAAGTCCCTGGAGCGAGTCATGGCCAAAATAGACTTCACCGGCGAGAACGCCATCAACGTATCGCTGCTGAATCAGCTCATATTTATCATACGCTGGTGCCATAAACACGATCAAGTTCTCTTCGTCAATCCAGTGGCATCGTGCCTGAATAATCTGGCGGCAGTTTGTGATAAAGCGACCATAGAGAAATTATCGGACTTCATTAGGTGCAGCGCACTCCAAAGCAGATACTGTGCGCCCGGAGAATCTGAGATAACTCTCCTCGTGCTCACCATAATCAGAAGAGTCATGCAGCTCGGCATAGATGTCGGTTTCGACATCAGCTCGCTGAAGCAGAAAGCTCTCGCAGCTGTTTTTCAAGGACATATGGAGATGTCACCGTTCATCGAGACCTTCAAAGATCTCTGCTCGAGGGAGGAAATTTCATCCCTGATCGAGCTTGTGTGCACGTCGAAACGGCTGTCGACGTCCGCGGCGTCGTTGCTGATCATCATGAGTCGACGTAAATGCCGGATCTCCGTACGCGCTGTGAGGTATCTCGTCGAACAGGCCCAACGAGAATCTGAGGTTTCTGCTGCTCTCAAAAATTTTCTGGAGGAATGTCCGATGCACGCGGCCGCTCTTGAGATCTCAACGCTATGTAGATTGATCGAGGCACAGAATCCGCTGGCGCTGACGATCATGCGTGCAAGTCCGTCTCTGACAAGGGCCGTCGAGAAAAATCTCATGAGCCTCGGCGAGCTGAGAGGTAGGCTTCACTTCGCACGGTCAACTCGATCATGACTCACCTCGCGCGATCGCCTCTGTACTCGATATCGGATTTGTACCTCTAGACAGACTTGATTCTCATTCGTGGTTTCAGGTTCGAGTTCTCTGTACTGTCTTGAGCTGCTCGAGATCCTAGCACAGCAGAACACAGACGAGCCCTCGAAGGAAATCTCGGACTTCATCAAGCATTCTTTCCTGAGTGTGATGAAGTCCTGTCTACAAGAGCAGGAATCCGACGAGATCACAGAGAAGATAGCGGACAAGGCTTACGCTCTGCTCCTCCATCTGAGACACGTGGTATGTTGATAGAAGCCTGGGATTCCGCTCTTCAGAGCAGGATGATGACCGGAGGAACGAGGCTGGACCGACGCAAGTTATTCCTTTCAGGTCGCTATCTTCACCAAAGACTTCAACAAATTGTTGAAAATCGTCCTCCCGCACGCGGAAAAACCCACGTCGATCGTCTTGGTCCTACTGAATTCGGTCCTCGAGCACGGCGACGTCAGCGAAGACTGTGTAATTGCACTCTTCAAGTGTCTGACGAAATTGAGCGCCGAGACTGAGCACAACGGTGAGGAGATACCGCGGGACGATCTTCTCGGGAGATTTCCCGACAATCTGCCCTAAGCTCAGACCTCATATCTCGGTCAGTGCGATATATACAGTGCAATAATCAGAGGTATGTTATTTTCGCAGAGAAAATCTTCACTCACACGTGCACTGTCCTTTCCGGGCTCCCAGAAACCTTCTGGAAGTTGAACTCGATGCGAGATATTTTCGAAAAATCACTCAAGGGTATTCTGAAGAAAGCGTTTGTGGGTCGGGGAACTGCTCTGAAAGTGCTGCGTGTAGTCTGCGAGAAGTCATTCGGCTTCACCAACCCGCCTATCGCGGCTCTCTCAATCGTTGAGATGATTTTCGGGCATTCTCAGATGTTGCCCGTCCTCAGCGGAAAGGATTGTCCGATGAAGCAAGAGCTCGTGCACCTTCTCGTTTCCGTCACCGCCGTCGAGCCGCGGAACGTATGCAAAACTCCGCATGTTCCGATCCTCCTGTCCGGGTACACGGCAACTCTGTCGTTGAGTGATCAGCACATCTTCCATCTATTGACAATATACGAACAGAATGGAGCGAATCTCGCTCTATTCCGACCCCTGATCTGGGGCGAAGCGGCCCCAGCCTTCTACACCGTCGACAAGGGTACTGCAGAAGTCTCAGTGCTCAACAACGCAACAGTGAATCAAGTGCTCTCCCAAATTTCTCAAAAACGCACCTTGCTCACCGTGGAAAAATTCCCCGGAGACCTCCTGAAGCTCGATCCCGCGTCTGTTGTTGCGGTGCCTTGCGGCGAAGAGCTTTACGACGTGAGATTCATTCTAACGACCGTTTATCATCTGCTCGACGACCTGACGGAGGTCCAGACCCTACGACTCGTTGAGGAAAAAGTGCCGCTCTTGGCTATCGCGACTCTCAGCGCGGAGTGCTCAGAGCTCCGGGCGCTCGGATACACGGTAAGAGTTCCTCTCTCGCTTCTGACGCTGGACGAATCAATGATTGATGATTGATTCATCGGTCGGTCTGTGGATAATAGAAATCCGCCTTGAGGAGGATCTACGGAAACCTACCCGGCGAATTCCTTGGCTGCGGAAATCGGAAACAGGTTTCTCCGACCGGGTCCACTCGGGAGCGAGCGTCTCTGAATCACGTTCGATTCGATTCCAGTTACTGAGCCGAATTTACCAGAAAATGGAACGAGTCAGTTCGCATCCTCTTGTTATGTACATGATCGCGATGTTCGATCTCATCCGGAACTCCCTCGGCTCTGGGGGGACCCGCAGAATCAACTCGATAACGATGGGATATCTGACAAGGAGTTGTGATATAATCATCAGTGATCCTCGTAAGTTGTCGTTAGGATCCGCCAGGCACTCCTCTAGAGATCAGTGTCGCACAACAGCCCCATTGGCTCCCGCTAAGGAATTAGGTTCATGAGTCTCCCCCTGAAAATCTTGCCGCTCGTTGCAGATAACCCGCTGTACAATCAATTGATAAGGAATACCCTGTCGTATCCAGCGATGAATTTGGATCGTTTACCCCTACTCGTGCAAAATTTCTTCGCATCGTCGACAGCTCCGAGAGAACGAAGAATTTGGTTGGAGAAGCTCATGAGCGACTTCGTGAGCACCAACGCTGACTTCGATCTCGTATTCCGCCAGGGACTTTTCAACCACATCACAATGTTCTCATTGTCGGCCATGAGCGACTGTGAGGAAACGGTCAGTACGGGTTTCTGCCGGTCGCCTCGACATGGCGTCATAGCGATGGGCCTAATGAATATTTTCCTCCGTATCCTGGGTGCAGGTGAACATTCTACGCATGGTGCAATCGTGGCTTCAGAAGAGGAAAGGCTTCAAGAGGTTCAACCTGCTTCATTTCTGGCTGACCAATCTCATCCAGAGGCCTGAAGTTGTGAGTAAAGCAGACCGGAGTATCCCCTCGGATCTCCTCGAGGCGTAATACATTTGAGATCAAATTGAAAACGGAAATTTTGCCTTCCCAGAAGCAAATTGTCAACGACGAATTATTGAATTTCCTGGATGCGCTGACCCTTCGTCTGAGCGAGCATAGGATGCGCACGAAAGAGGCTCTGCTGGGCCAGCTGTTTGCTGTATTCCACATCCAGATCCTACAAATGATCAGCGATGTGACTCCATCCGTCGTGGAAAAATTCACCGTTTCATTCGGAAGAGTGGTCTCCTTATTGGACGACGATCAGATCTGGTGCATCGACGAGCACGTCATCCTCATAATTCTTCGTATGATCAAAGAAGTCGGCTCGGCGCGCGTCATCGATCGCGGATTGACCGTTCTCCAAAAGTGGACACCTCATAAAGCAACCCGTAGCGAATTTTTCCCGGTCTCCATGAAGGAGCTCTGGTTGGAAACGTTGGAGCTGCTGTTCGCTAGAAAATCGAGCGATGTCGCTTGGAACGTCGGCTCTCTGGAGATGGTATATCGGTCCCTAGAAGCTCGGTCGGATCTCAGGAGCCATCTGCTCGAGAGCACAGTGCTCCACGACGTGGTTTCGGCCATGGTCATATGTGCGGAATCGGCCCCGCTGCTCGTGATTGAGATCTTCAACCTATTGAAGACGTCATCTAATGCCATGCAGGAGCTCGAATATCAAGAAGCGGCAGAACACCTATCGACCTTGAAGGATGGTAAGCCTGGACCAGGATTATTTCACGACTCCCAGACTTGAGTTTTTGCGGATGATTTACGAGAGCTGTCAGCTCTCAAACCTCGATCCGAAATAACGTCTCGTCCGGCGGTCTTCCGCCATTCCTGCATCTTATGACTCACTCCCTCAAATCATGTCAATCTTTCCAGAACATCAAGCGATCGGATACATTTCTCTAATTCAAGAGGCATGGCTAGGCGTACCGAAACCACAAACGACGACTTTGTTATCGACCTGAAGAATTGAAGCTCCAATTTCTCAGGATGTACATAAGAATAAATAAAGATGACTAGATGCTTCAATTTCGGACGGTTGATCGCACGTCGGTATTCGTCTTAACCTCTGGATCAGAGCTCGATACGCGGCTGACGAGAGGGTCTGAGGAATCTTTCTTTTATGGCAGGCGAGCAGTGGCGTCACAAGCAGAGGGGAAGAGCGAGCAAGGGGTAGCGGACCGCCCCCGGCGGCATTGCAGCTGCCGGAGGATCGTGCTATTCTGCGAGAACGCTCAAACACTCAATTTTTCCAGGAATAAAGTTGTTCTGAATCAAGGTCCATCTTCGGCTTCCTCCGCATGCGAATCGCTTAGCGAGAAGTTCGAGAGCTTCCGACTAAGTTCCTGGAGAGGCATCGGGTCGGGGTCTTTGCCATAGTATCGAGGAGCTCTGCCACGCGCCTCAAAGAGGCTCGTTACGCCTCCTCTATCGAGTCTCCTTTCCCGGGAGCGAACGAGTTCCGAGCGTTGAGACCTGGCACAGGACAGCGGAAAGCGTAGATTTGTGATCACCGCGCTGTGCCTTGAGCCGCTCAACGCCCTTATCCCTCGGCGGGTCCGGCAGTCTTTCCGTGCCTCTTTCAGAAAGCCGGCATCTGAGATGGCGCACCATACGGCGCTCGTGAGTGTTGTTTTGGCGGAATGATGTCAGTTGCGTCAGCGGCCGAGCCAGCCGATCGAGGGAAAAACGTCAACCGTGCAGAAGTTTTCATGTAGCGATAACGGTGCGGATACTCACAATAGTTTCGGAGTCTTCTTCTTGTGAGCATAGCTTCTGAAAGAGTGAGTCCCTGGATGTTGTCCAATGCCACTACCCGGTCATTCTGGGACATCCCTCCCCTCTGGGTAATCAGCTGGTGACTGTCACCGAAAACTGACAGTGAACATTATTGCTCTCCGCCACGGTGGAGAACACCGTGTATGCCAACCGTACCGCAAGTTTTTGTCCGGACGGCCACCGGAGTCTCCAATATGTCAACTTCACCGCGTGTCGCGGTTTGGAGAGCGTTCCATCAGAGACGTCACTGAGCGCATCTGGGCAACTTGACGAGTCTTCAAGAACAGTGGTTCTCAACCTTCTTTGCTCTGTGGACCCCTGAAGCGACCCAAGTCCCTTCGCGCCCCCTTGCGCGGAGTCAGTCAGCCTCTATGGGAGCCGAAATCAATCGATATTGCGAATGTCCCCCGGCCCCCGCTCGCCCATGCTCCCCGTTCCTTCACGAGCGACTCTCGTATGGGAGATTATTCGAGAATGATCAGAGATTGAGGATTTTCAATTTCCCTCGATTCCCCCTATTTCTCGCCATTCGTTTCTGCGGCCCACGACAGAGACTCCAAACAGCACAAGCAGCGCTGCTTGTCCGTGGAGAGCGCATACGATCAGCGATACTGCGGTCGCGCTCGACGGCTGGTGAGTCGGATTTCCGGGGCACTCGACTTTGTCAGGCGGACCATTTTCGTCGTCAGTGCTGCGATAGCTCCGGGCTTTCCGACTCCACGTTCGTCCGCCTGGATGCTCGATTATGCCAACCGAGAGGATGCAATTCCACGAGTCAAAGATCCCGCCGAGCGACGAGAATGAGGGCATGGGTGTCGATGCATAGGGACAGTATGCTCCGAAAAGCAGACAGAGCAGGAGATAACTTCATCAGCTGTCTCTGTTCGAAGCGCCTGGGACGGGAGAGAGCAGGTCTGAGGGCGGGGGCACTTTCCTCCCGATCGCCAGAAACTGGAAACTGGGCGGCCTCTGATTCCTGTCAAGAACTCCGGGAAGCTCCTGACGCAATTACGATGTGGGGAACTTGGAAGGAGCCGGAACACCGTCGGAACACCTGCCGAATCACACAGAGCGCCCCACTGTAATGCGGCAATGTCCTTGGGCGATTCTCCGAGTGAGCCGCTCTCCTCCTTTGGCCGATGTCCCAGACTCCAACTTGAGTGAATCAGAGCCAGTCTGTAATTCCTTCCTTTCCAGGGCTCTCTGGCATGGCTCTCCCACGACCAAACTCACGCACAACGGTCTCGTCTTCGCCAGGCTCCCAAGAGCGGACGAGGTATCGCTACCTACATGAAGTTCCCTTCACGGTTCTCCACGAGCTCGCCCAACACCTGAATGCCGATAGGAAATGGCCGCTGCTGGGTGAGTGTGTCCTTCGAGAATGAGCAGGTACGCGAAATCGCCCATTGGAAGACAGGTCGTTCAAAAGTCCGCTCTGACTCAGCCGGATACATGAAATTCACGAACACCGAAATCGGAAACTTCGAGATCGCAAGTCTCCGGGATGGAGGACCGGCTCAGATGGTGCTGAGAACCTACGCGCAGCGATTAGGCACGACGAGCAGAATCTTCAAATACCTCCACAAGATGCAGTACTTCATTGGGATGAATATCATCAAAAATTACGGTTAGTGAACTGACAATCAAGATGAACGATCGAGCCGCGAGGTTCATGTCATAGACACGATGAAGAGGCCGATTTAGAAGTACCTGCCTCAAATCCGATTATCGGTGGATAATCACAGCTCGACAGCGGGGGAAGTCATGTTTTTCCCGCGACTTTTCGCAATTCTCGTCTTCCGATTCCATTATTTGCTCCACGACGAACCGGATTCATGGAAGCATAGGTACCTAGCCTCGGACCATCAGCGGGACAAACTTCGCAGAAGGGCTGTGCGTCGTACCCCGGATGCAGAGCGCCATGGCGCTTCAGCATTGAGTCTATGGGGCTCGCGATGCTCGACGCGGCGCACAGCTCTGATTCGGAGTCTTGGTCTCTGAGCTTGAGTACGGACGACTGGTCGAGGGTCAGCATAAAGCCTACCGACATATGAGCAGAGCGGAATGGACAGCGCGGGCTGCTAAAGAGCGTGACAGAATCGTTGTCTGAGTCATCCGATGCACCGAATCACCGAGGAAAAGGAACGGCTATAGCTGCTCACTTTCGTCGATGCATAAAGAAGTCCAAGAACGTCGAGAGTCGTTTGAATTTGCATCCAATTTTGTGGTCTTCGAAGGAGAGGTTGACTACTGTAACTTCTATGTGGCCGAAGTTCGTGGTATGAATCGACATAATTGGCGCTCGTGGACATACCCGGAGTTGAGCCGGCCTGCCCACCATGTCCGGATTCCGGGCAAGTCCCCGATCTACGAGGAGCCACGGAGATACCCGGTTGAGTAGCACTTCGTACACCGACTGAGAGGAGGAACAACACCAGAGTCCAACGAGCTCTACCAACCTGAGTGGAGGCTCTTCATCGACGCTGCGCTTTTTATGTCTCTGTGGCAGCCGGGTGGACAGCCCTCTGCACTCGGTTGCTGTGAGCGATGAACGAAGAGAGAACTTTTCCTCCTCGTTCTAGAGGGGGGTTCCAGGGGTGGGCAACTTCGCGCGGCCCGCAGGCCGCAACCGCGGGCCGCATCCAGCGTGTCGATGGATCATTCAGTAGCTAATTAATTATTCGAAAAACGCGAATTCCGGAAGGGGCCGCTTGCGGCTCGCAAGCCGTGAGTTGCCCACCCCTGTTCTAGAGAGTTTTCCAGTCACAGGCGAAAATAAAGTCGACCCCCGTATTTTCTCTAACATTAGACACGTCTTCTCGCCCCAAGTTTGGAGACCATGACTTCGATTGCAACGAATTTCCTGCCAGGCATGGTCCGAACCTAGGTCAATTTTCTTGAATCAGGCTCGGAGCGGTCGAAAAAACTCCGAAACTGAAAAATGCGAAGACTTGCCAAAAAATCAAGAGCGAGCTCTACGAGGAGCGGACCGGGTGCGGGACCCACGTCTCAGCTTCTCCGACCCGTCAACAGAAAAAATTGCCGGGCTGTGTAATATTGAACTCTATTCCGCAGTTGATCCGAGCTTGTGGGGTCTGCTCGAAGGCGATAACAGCTCCGAAGTGACATCTGGCGTCTCGGAAAGATACCGACCAAGCGCGCCTCCTGGTGTAAGTTCTCATGCTGCGACCAAATACGTCCATCGTCGGGGCGCTTTCGCTCTCGGTTCCTAAAACCGAATCGTCTTTCTTGTCCGGGCATCAGGGTCCCCAATCGAAAAAAGAGCCTTCGGGCACGAGTTGGGATTCGAGAGCTCGCGATAGAGACCGCCCTGATTCCCTCTCCCGCCGCTGCCGAGGAAGCAGCGATAAAAATCATAGAAAGAAGTTACGGGAACAGACGGGATCGGCCGAGTGCGATGACGTGAACAATGCGCAACCCCATCAATAATGAGATCTTCTCCCAATAAGATGTCGAGGGCTACAGGACGCGAAGCCGAAATCAATAATATGAATGGACTCATCCAGTTGCCGAACTCGAATCGAATAAGAGTCATGTCCATGGCCGAAATACTACCGCGATCCGGGAGTTTGCTCCACGACAACGCCCAGAGATTCAACTTTCTAGGTGAGAGGTCCGACGTCGAGAGCGATAGCTGCTTTGAGATTTATTTCGCCCTCCAGCACCGGTCCTGGCAGGATCAGTCATTCTGAATTTCCTGTCATCGCCAGATATCGATCTCGGCTCGATCGAGAAGATTCCCCACGCTGACCTCGCGGAGGCCACTCAAGGATTCAATGAGCAGAAAATCCTCGGAAGAGGCGGTTTCGGCATCGTTTACCGAGGGTACTGGAAATACACTGATGTCGCTATCAAAAAGTTGAAAGTCAGTGCATCGCGGAGTCTCGAGCACGTTCGGCAGGTCTTCACTGAGCTTAAAGTTTTGGAGAAATGTCGTTTCGACAATATCCTCAACCTGTACGGCGTTTCGATTGACAAGCCTGACGAAGCTTGTCTCGTCTACCAATTCATGCCGGGCGGAAGTTTGGACGACCGTTTGAGGAGAAAGGTGAATTGATGCTACCGAACACATGTATATCTAAATATATATATCTCGATCAAAGGTTCTGGCCGACACAGTATCATAACATAAGGACCTTAGCGGGGAGCTTCGATCTGATTGTGTTCAATGTGATTGAGCGACAATGTTTCAGACCCCTCCATTGAATTGGTCTCAAAGGACGGTCGTAGCTAGGGGGACGGCACGCGGTCTGAATTTTCTGCATACACTCCCCGGAACCCCCCTGGTGCACGGTGACATCAAACCAGCGAACATCCTGCTCGACATTAACCTCGAGCCGAAACTAGGTACAGGAGCCCGTCGGAAGCTCGGCGAAAAATGACGAAGAACGTAGCGGACTCCCCCGCTCGTACCTGAGGTCCTTCGCTGACTGAGCATTGATGTCTCGCAGGTGACTTCGGATTGACGAGAGAAGGACCCGCAAACGACCAAACTCACCGTTTCGTTTCAAGAGTGCACGGTACCCGGTGTTATCTGCCGGAAGAGTACGTCAAAGACCGAAGACTGTCGCCAAAAGTTGACGTTTACAGTTTTGGATTGGTGAGCCTCGTTTTAATTGGGAATGAATTCATGATTCAAATCGGAAAAGACTTGAGGAAGGGTTGTTGCCATCGAACCAGCCGCTTCTCGAACATGGACTTCCCAGGTCTGCGCTGGCGCCGTGACGCCATCGATAGTACAACGAAGGAGCTCACAATCGGTCTAAATTTCGAGTCGTTTCCTCTTGCTCCTTCAGGTTCTCCTCGAAATGGCGACGTGTTTAAAAATCTATGACGAGCGTCGTCCGATTAAGAAGCTCAACGAGTACATCCGAAGTCTCCGAAATGATAACGAACGTCGGGAACATAAAGATCCCTACGGCGGTGAGGGAGGCCTGCCGACCTTTGACATCTTCGTCGAGTTGGGTCTGAGGTGCTCCGCCTTGGATAAGAAGGACAGACCTGACATGGACGAAATACTCGGGATACTCATGAACGAGCGCCTATCCCAGAACTGTGAGGGCTTTATTCCAGGATATCTCTGCTACGATCCCCAATGTGTTGTTATCAATGGCGCCTATGCTAGTTGGAGCTGCGTTTGCTCAGATTCCGTGATTATGACGATTCGCCTTCCGCAGCACCCTTGACGATGCCCGCCGGATATTCTCGGAATCCCACCGCGACGTTGAATCAGAATCTCGGACCGATGAACCTTCCGGTAGCGACAAGTCGCTCTCCGCGTCTTTCCCCGACGGATAATCTCCAAGTACCTTCTCCAGTACCGCCTTCAGCTACCACGAATCTCAGCCCGGGCCCCGACGCCCCGAACACGATGGGAACAGAACCGACGGCCCCTCCTTACATGAGGAAGGAAACGATAGAACTGCCTGATCTGAGTGTCCTTAACGTCTCATCAAAAGATACCGCGAAGCCCGAAACTTTTTCCGATACGTCGCCAAATTGAGTGCAAAGTCTGAGGGTTTTTGCCTGGAGACAGCGCGTCATGATCGTCTTCCTCGTCTCCAAAAGTTTCATCACCTGAGCCTTTCCGACAGCCATCTGGCTTGATCAAGTGCAATACTCTCTGACGAATCTTCTCGTACTTCTTCACAGCGCGTATGCTGCTGAGGAAATTTCTTCCGGAGAAAGCAGCTGCGAGACTCGTAGCAATGGAACATGGGGCATTTGGAATGCCTGAGAGGAGGATAATGACGCTGATTTATCCAACAGAGACTAGAACCGAGCGTTTTCGTAAGCATGGGAGGCTCCCTCTGTCCTCGGCATATCCATAGGAACCATCTCGCCCTGCAGGCCGATTGGAGCTCCCGATGCCAGCTAAACACTGTCGGTTTTATTTTCGAGACCAATATCTTGGATACCACGAGATGCAATGTCTATACTTGTACACGACGCGTACCTCTTCGAAGTACCTTCTCATGACCTCTGGATCTTTGTTCATTGGTATTCCACAATCCTCCGGGCAATCATTGCGAGGCATAGGACAGCCATAAAATATACTGTTCTGAATCGTCGAATATACGCATCCAGATCGCTATGTTCGTCTCATTTTTCACTCTAGAGCTGACCTTCCTCCAGATCGGACCCGAGGAATCTTTCCCTAAGGATCACGTCCGATAATCCTAAGAGACAAGTCCGAAGGGCGCAGCTGTTGACCGCTATGCGCCTTCCGGGATCCCCGAGACCTCAAACGCTGATCCCTCGCAGTCGAAAAGTCATGCTTGTGCAGAGCTTGGCTTCTGAGTGAGGTTCTTCTCCTCCGGTGGGAACCCGTATCTGCAGTGACGGCTGAGGGGAGGGTCCTCGGGTGAGACGGAGAAGTCACAGCCCCAAGCTGATGGAAGACAACTCTGCGGATTTTATGCAAGTTTGGTTGACATATCAGCTCTCCACTCCTACGTACGTCACGCACCTACGTATGTCATGGAAATTTCGCTCGAGTAGAACCCCTCTCGGGAGGAAAAAACGGGGGGCTTCACACAAGCGGGGCAGAAGGAAACGGGCTCTCCGAGCCTCGAGGCAGGAGGAAACGCGACCGTCTCTCGCAGTGTGGTCGGCCGTTTGCGTCCATTTGATAAAATGGGTATGCATCTCAGGCAAGAAGCTAATCGAGGGTATGTCTGTTTATGCGCCATTCGTCGACAGGGGTTCTCGAACCCGCGAGCATATTTTCGGAATTCTTTGCAAATAAAGTCAAAGCGGAAATTCGCGATCTCATGATGAAGTGATGATGAAGTGGCCCATTTCAGATTTGAGGTGAATCGCTCCAAGCGAGAATTCCTCCTAGAGCAACAAGTTATAGCAAGGCGATAGGGCTCATCTACGGCGGAGCCGCTTACTGCGCAGCCGTCCCATCAGGCAGACATAAATAGCAGCTGCCGGCAGCAGGTAGCAGCTGCTGTCCTTGAGACCTTCCAACGGAGTAGGACCGTCAGCTCCGGAGACAGAGAGAGAGAGTACTCGCAATCCGTTCCATGGAAACATGTACGAGACGGAAACGCGAGGGAGAGATTTTCACCAGCATGTCTGCGAAATTAGCGAGATCTCGCTAATCATGGCACAGCCTGACGAAGGTTCAAGTTCTACATTGGTCCTCCTTCCATGATGATGTTAATGATGACTCCTGTCACCTGCTTGCAGCAGCCAGCAGCGGCAGCGAACGCAGCAGCCATGACGGTTGTTTTCGGAGGGCGCGTGAATTCGAAAACAGCTTGTTGGACCTTCAGATGCTGGGGGATTGATTCGCCAATCTTGTGCGGTCAGAGGCGTCGAGACGCTTTTTGTCAATCTCTGAATCGGAATCGATCGCTCTCATATTCACGCAGCCATTTCACGCGAGGTCGGCTGGCGACGGGCGCACGCGCCTCCGTGCTGACCCTTTCGGCGCGAACAGAAAACCCCTCCGAAGTGCGTTCCGAATTCTCATTCTCACATCCTTGAAGCAACAGCATAGCGTCTCCGGTGTCTCCGATCGCTCCCTCCCGAATTTTCCTCGGGAATCTGCCGCAACCCGGGGGAGAATCGGAGCAGAGCGCGCGTTTTTTAGCAGGCAGGCCCCGTTGCTCGACCGCCCGTCACACTTATAACGCAGCCCCGAATGCGTTCATTTCTTTCACTTCGGGAACGACATTTTGGTGCGTTTGATTTGGCTGTGTTGAGAGTACTTGAAGTGTTCCGAACGAAGAAGAGCAATGGACTAGCAGCATGAAGTCGAATTTTCTACTCCCGAGAGTTGGAAGTCGAGAGTATAGCCACTAATTCATGGAAGCTTCGCCATTCCGCCGCTGGGTTTAGGCTGCTGCAGGGAACGACTTGCAGCAGCAACGATACGGTCAGCCATCGGGCTCTGCACTCCTCCGCGGGGAGGTAAGTTGATTGCAAAGCGAGCTTGACGTGTTTCGAAGCGAGAAGTCACTTACGCCGCAATCGGACTCAATTCCGTGCCCGCTCGTCTTTGCTGGAGGACACTGGGCAGCTGGAGTCGGCAACTCTGCCACTCGACAGGAGCGGGGCTCCATTTCTATCTCGTGGGCGCAAAGTTACTTCATCGAGGTGAACGGATTTCCGGGGGTCAGATGGGTCGTTTGTGTTTTCTCCCGGAGTCGAAGCTCTCGAAGTGCTGCTCGTCGAAGGCGATCTTACGGCTCGAGGGCCTGTAGGGAGTTTCCCTTTTGAGCTCTAATCTCCCAACTCAACCTTCCCTCCGTCTTGAATCTGAACTATTGAATAGTCGTGAGCTCGACCGTCCGTTCAATGATCCGTTCGGCGACCGAAGAGCGCCCCGTATGCCGAGATCCGGAGTTTGAGCTGTGGATTCCGAGCTCGTTCCCAGAATAGGTGGATGAGGGAGCGATTGCAAATCGCGAGGACAGTGACGGCTACCGTCTACGCAGAGACTTCATCGCCCTCATCGGAAGGAAGGGACCGCGGAGTCGAACGAGAAGCCCCGTTGATGACAGGAAAAAGCAAATCCGAATATCCCCGGATGATCCCGACGACAGACTCATTGCGATAGAAACACCCGAATCAATGTCGGCAGATCACAAACTTCGGCGATTCTCACCGTATTCTTTCGTTTTCAGTCATTGTGCCGGAGTCACCGAAATCTGTGAGGCACTACGGAGCTTGACAGAGAATCAGCAGCTAAGCCAATCTAAAGTGAGTGCTGAGAGAAGTCGAATCCTTTCGGTCGTTCAGGTGTCTACGCGAGTGTGCTCTATTGGTCCCCAGTACATTGTATGCGTAGAGGTCGAGTGAGTGCGCGTGTGTGTGTGTGCCGCAGCTCCTATCTCCAATCTACGGTGTTCGACTGTCTTCTATTCCGAAATTCTTCTCGGGTGATCACGTGTGGCCCGTGCCAATCGAACGCTCGGTACCGTCGGGTCGGGTTCCGACTTAGTTGCGAAGGGGACAACTGCAATCGGAAAACGACTCTGCGGTCGAATACTTCCCTGAGGATCCGATTGTTATCGAGATCACTTTCCCAAGGCGGCTCGCTTGAACATCCATTATCTTCTTCGAAGGGTTTTTTCTGTTATCGGCGCGCGCGCTCACTCATTCGATCATACGCAGTTAGGGGCGACCGCCTCCGGAATGTCGTCGGATAGACGGCGGAACGACACTAAAACAGGAACAAAGCTTGCAGAACTCTGGAAGCTCGGAGCGTGAGTCGCCGGTCGTCTCTTTCGATCGATGCGAGTCTGTGTATGACAATGTCTCAAGCTCGGGAGATGGCGGTCTCCGTATAACCGCAGCTGATAAAGCTCGATGTGACATTTTAACGGGCCCGGAGATAGCTCGCATAAAGCAATGACGAACCTTGATTCGTCGCATTTAGATCAATCACGCGAAATCTTAGGGTACGATATAGCGTAACGAGAGCCGTCACACGTCGGTTTCCAGAGAGTAAGCTCTTTTTTTTCCTCGGCAGGCATCTTCTACAGGGGTCCCGAAGGGCGATCAGTCAGATCGCGGCCCCGTATACGCGGTCTGCCATGGAAGGTGGCCCGACAATATCTCAACCCCTGTGTAAGTTGAATTCTCGTTTCTCCTTTCGAGTGCAACAATCTGGAGACCGGCGAAGGATTCGGGGTAACAGAGGGCCGATAACAGGGCGGTTGGCCCCACGGCCGATCATCAGACACGCGAGCGTCGAAGATCGAATGAGTACCGCGCGTCTTGGGAAAAAAAATCGAAGCGCGAGCTGTCAGGGATCCGAATGCCGGGGCGGGAAACTTCATTCCACGATATGGAGAACTTCGAGGGATCCGCGAGCGGAGCTGGTCATTGCGAATTCCGTCCGGTCGTCTGAGAGTCGTTGTACGCGGAAACCACCTCGAGTGTGAATTCATTGATACGCCTGGCTCGAAATTCCGTGTGAAATGTTACACCATCTCGGACGCAACGGATGAACCAAATGATACGAAACTCAGCAAGGGGACTGCGTATTGTCTTCCTCGCGCCAACTGAGGCTGGAATCAGATACCCGTGTGTGTGTCGATGTACGGTTACCTCTCGCGTTAGGCTCAGAGGATGATCCGATCATCGGAAGGGAATTCGTTGACGTCCGTGGCTAGTAGTTCGGGGATATCGTCTCCCCGACTTGAGAGTGCCGCTTAGGTGGCTCATCAGTGTGACTGACGATCATACGATCCCAGAGAAGCTCTTTCTCCCGGTCCTCGGACGGTTTCCTGGGAATCCGGACTCATTGCGGCGGCATCACTCTCTCTTGTGGTTCTTGCAGTCCGACCGGACTTTTACCGTTCGGAGCTGCGCCTCCCTTCCCGAGTCTTTCCGACGCTGCGCATAGCAGTAGTTAGTAATGCCAGAGTGGATTTCGGGGAGCTGTGGATTCGGGTCGAGGTCCGCGATTCAAGATCTTCATGTTTCCATTGCAGCCAAAGACAGCAAGTGCACGTCAGTACAGGCTTTCGGAGCGTCGGAGGATCGCTCTGTAGAAATCACTTACACAGACCCGAGGGTTATCGGCAATGGATCGTTCGGAGTGGTCTATCAGGCCCGTATGGTGGACAACAATGATCTCGTCGCAATCAAAAAGGTTCGTTCAGAGCACCGCGGCAGCTCGGTGCATGCGCTCGACTTCCCCGAATTTTCCACCGAGGACAGGTGGTTTATAGAGGAATCAGGGCTTCCCTCGTTTGCTCGGTGACGGGAATCGTCACGTGTCGAAGTTGAATTGAATTGAATCGATGTTACCCCAAGAGTCCGAGCGGCCAAACTCAGCAGTTCTCCATATCGATTGTAGGTTCTGCAAGACAAGCGGTTCAAAAATCGCGAGCTGCAGATCATGCGCAAACTGGATCACTGCAACATCGTGAAGCTCAAGTACTATTTCTACTGTGCGGGAGAACGCAAGGATGACCTGTTTCTCAATCTGGTTCTGGAATTCATTCCCGAAACAGTTTACCGAGTGGCTCGTCAGTACTCCAAGTCAAAACAGACGATGCCGATCGCCTACATACGGCTGTACATGTATCAACTGTTCCGCAGTCTTGCGTACATCCATTCATTGGGGATCTGTCACCGCGACATCAAGCCCCAAAACCTCCTCCTTGATCCCGAAACGGGAGTTCTGAAGTTATGCGATTTCGGCTCGGCCAAAAATCTTGTCAAGGGAGAGCCAAACGTTAGTTACATTTGCTCTCGTTACTATCGCGCACCAGAGCTCATCTTCGGCGCGACCGACTACACGACCATGATCGGTGAGCATCTCTCCCCGGCAACCATAATATTGGCGAGGAATTTCCGAATCTCGTTCAGATGGTGCTCATTCGCAGAATACTGAAAATATTCACTTCCCTCAACAGATGTTTGGTCCGCCGGCTGTGTCCTGGCCGAACTCCTCCTTGGTCAGCCGATCTTCCCTGGGGATTCCGGAGTCGATCAACTCGTCGAAATCATCAAAGTTCTCGGTACTCCAAGCAAAGAACAGATTCGGGAAATGAACAAGAACTACACCGAGTTCAAATTTCCACAGATCAAGGCTCATCCCTGGGCCAAGGTGTGTATACTTCACTCAATTCCCGTCCATCACGCGAGGAGAATTGGCGAATTTCCCTTGGGGGCTCGCATCGTAAACCGTATATCAGCGATTCTGTACTGTCTTCTCTTTGAAACAGGTGTTCCGTTCACGAACTCCGCCGGATGCAATCGAGCTCGTGTCGCGCCTCTTGGAATATACTCCGTCGACACGTGTTTCACCGCTGGAAGCGTGCGCTCATCGATTCTTCGACGAACTTAGACAACCCGATGTGAAACTCCCCAGTGGAAGAGGATTGCCACCGCTTTTTAACTTCACTCAACACGGTGAGTTCTTCTGAAAATGTCTTGCTCCCCTCCGAGCGTGGTTGTCGTTGTTCTTGATGGGGGTCCTCCACCGTTCCCGGAATCCGACCGCTCGTGGGCGAGAATTCTGATCGGCAGGCAGGCCTCACCCCGTATCGACCGGTCGTCCGAGCGCTCGCAATGGCTGATACGCAATGGTGCGGTGCTCCGGCACGGAGATATTCCTACTCCGATCGAGCAAGCTTCCCATGCTCGAGTGGTTCACCTGAGCGTTGTTGACAAATTGCAGAGCTTCAAATCCAACCACAGTTGAATCATGCGCTGATTCCGGCTCACATTGCGGCTTCGGGTAGCGGAGGTGGCTCCCCATCGGGTGATTCTCCTGGAGCCGGGGCCCAGGCCTCATCGTCGAACTCTTCTAACTCGGGCCAGGCGAAAGCCGCTACTCAACGTCAAACCAGCGGAGCCAACGATTAAATTCCGCCCTGACAGAAATGATGGAATCATTCAGCGGATCTCTCCGCAGGGACGGCAAAGCAAATCTGCGGGAGCAGGGGGAGCAGTTGATGCTTTATCGATGGCGACAGTCAGTTTCAATCGTGGAGAAGAGGAAGAAGACTACCGCGACGACGACGACGACGATTAAGAGGAGGATTACGCGATGACGGAGTCGACAATGAGAATGATGATTGTATAAACGGTAAAACGAACGATAGACGGAAAGGGATAAGCATAGGTGAGAGACGAGCATCAGCAGCAGCAGCAGCAGTAGCTACTTCGACGACATCGAGGTGATGGGGAACTCGTGCGAGAAGAATGTTCCCCGGTTGATCTGCCTCAGGTTGATCGACGCAGCAGCAGCCGCAGCCGCAGCGGCTGGGAGAGAACATCCCGGCAAGCAAGAAGGAGAAAAAGAGCGTTGGCCATCCACTTTTAGAAGAGAGGAAAGGAAAACACTTTGTTGAACTGAGTTTAGTTGAACGAGGACGACGAAATCACCGCAGACGATGATGATGATCAATGATGATGTGCTGCAGCATTGAATAGACTGTATGCGGATTGGTTGAAGGAATATTTGGTTGTATTGATTTATTTTCGGAGAGCGAGAGGAACCAGACGAGAGAGAGTAAAAGCAAGTCAGAGAACAATTGAATGTGAGAGAAACACTCAGAGTTAAGCGAGCGAGTAATCGTTACGATAAAAACAAAAAGAAATTACCTAGTTCCAAAATACCAAATTATTACATCGTCGAATCGGGGGCGTGTAGTTGTGATGGAGGACGGAATAAAATATTCCTGCGGATCAGAACTACAGACGGACCCGTGAAATGTTTTGCAGACCCCTCTCGGGGTCTGAACTTCCAGTGCGGGTTGGCCACGTCTTCCGGGTCGTAGCGCAGCTCCACTATGCGCTGGATCCGGAGACGCCGTCGACCTCGTCGACGGGCTCCGATTCGGAGTAATCAGGTATGCAATCAAATACCGTGCTTCTTCTAATAGATGGGCATGCCCGTTCATTTTTCACTCCCCGGGAAGTGCTCGTTGATTGGAAGTTGCCCGTCTTTTAAGCGGTACCCGCTTATTCCTCGATCCTGCTCGATTCCACTAAATTCAACACTCTCGATTCGTCGAGATGTTCATCTTTGCATCAATTTTGATACCCACGTTTGACACATTCACATCCCAAACTGGAAGTTTCGTCGTACCATCACAGAGTCGTCTCAATCGTTAGAGTCGTCCCCGAATCGCATTTAGTGGGTGTCCATCCAATAGAAGGTGCCCGTTAATGATTAGAAGGTGCCCGTTTAGAAGAGCCCGTCTATCAGAAGAAATACGGCATACCCCATTGAAAACGGATGAATGGCCTTAATTAAGCGTCTTCCGATGTTTGGACAAAGAGTGCTCGAGATTCAACTAGTTCCAAGCGCGAGCCATTGCGGCCCGACTTCCTCTGCTCTAATGTGTTAGATGGCTGGCAGAATAGCGTATCGTCATAGATCACTATCATCAATAAACAGTTGTTGTGCTCGCGCCCGCGCGAGACTCGCACGGTAGATCTGAGCTCCGTAATGAATTACGTATATTCAATCGTCGGCATCTTAACATGACTCAGTTGCAAGTGAACCAATGCTCCCTGGAATCGATGAACATCGAATGGGTCCGATGAAGGGACGTTTTCAAAAAGGACAGAGAGTGTTCGGCCGTCGCCAATGCAGGTGCTCGCGGGAGAAGATCAGACTGACAGATAGATCAACTTCAAGGAAAGTTTCCAGGATTTCGCGCTGCTCGGGAACATCTACTAGGCATGGTCTGGGAGGCAGTTGGCAACCTTCCGCACTTCTTTCGGTGAAGAGAACAGGGGCTCCTGCGGAATCTGATTCTAGGGACCGTCATCGAGAAGGACATGGCAAGTCCCGATAATGATCCGATGTGTCGGACGTTTGAGACGATCTTCGCAACTCTGAACGCCCGGTTCGAGGAGCATGTCAATATACTGCATCGGCGCTACGAATTCCATGAAACAACTCGAAAGATAGCGGAGAACACCGACGACTTCTTCGATACGGTCGTCATCAAGATGGATAGGCAATGCTGCTGAGGAGGCTCCGAATCTCGAATTGTCAGAGATCAACTGGTGCTCGGCACGAACGTGAACAGGGCCAGAGAGGCCGCTTTCAAGGAAAACGAGGAGCAAATGCAGATCTTGAGGCTTCTCAAAGATGATCGCAAAACGCTCAACGAAATCAGTGGCAATGCCGGTCAAGCAAGTCTGGGTACCGTGAACTCTGCGCGGAACTTCCGATAGCATCGAGCCGTCCGGTCTTCCTGGGAAAACGAACTCAACAGAAGAACAATCCGAGACTGTTTCAAACTCGAGGCAACTGCGGCACCAGGCATGAGCCAAAGAGCTGCTCGGCTTTCCACTTCAAACGCTCGACATGAGAGAAGTATCGTCACTCCTAGGCTATGTGCCAAAAAAACTAACCATGCAGAACAGGTTGAAGAGGCCTCGAAGGCAAACTCGGAAGAGGACGAAGTGTTCACCCTGACGAGCAAGCCGCCGATGAAACAGAGATTCTCGGTCTCTCAAAAGGGAAGGAGCTGCGCGGTCAGATTGACGGCGGGGCGACATGCAATCTCGTCGGGCTGCCGATCGTCAAGAAATTAGAAAAATCAGGCGTCAGGTGGAAGCGTACGACGGGCTACAGGGTGTCTTCGTGACCATGAATCTTATCGACGAGACTCATTTATGTCATTATGAGGGTTTAAGACTAATTATAAGCGAAAATCTGACGGATAGCCGCTTCCTTCGTCCCCTACCCGCCGGAGAAATGACCGCTCCGGTCGCCTCTCCAGCCGTGATCTTGTCATACGACTGATCCTGATCCCCATACACGCTCACTCCAATAATACTTGCAAGCAAGCTCCAAACAAATCGTGTCGGAAATTCGACGCTCGGTTCATAGGAAATTCATGAACCATCTATGTGCCAAAAAAACTAACCATGCAGAACAGGTTGAAGAGGCCTCGAAGGCAATTTTGAAGGCAATTCTCCAATGTTTTTTGCGAGAGGAACGCGCTCTGGGAAGTCATCCGGTTTGGCTACCGAGCAATTCCTGCTCAATTTTTTACATTCATTCTTCAGGCGACAGATTCCGTGCCCCGCAGTGAAGATGTCACGTGCACGTTGATACTCAGACTGAGAAGATACGGTGCATTTTTTCTGCCTCCGCTCCGGGATGAGCTGGATTCATAAAATTCCGGGAGCATGTAAAGCCGAGTAACTCGAAATTTCTACCGTAGATGGTCCATGTGTGGGTGCATATTCCCCGGAATCTCCATGACCCTAGCTTACTCCGGAGCAGGGAACAAAAAACTCGGCATTCGAAAAATTCGGCGAATCCGAGAAATGGGCGTGACTCAAACATCAGAGCCGGCTAGAAGATTCTGACGCTGGATCCGGAATCAGCGACCCTGATCTCTCCCGACCTACCACGCTTCAGATTTTCCGTTATACATAAGATCCGACGGGTTTCGTAATCCTTCATTCCCGTTTAGGATGGGAGCGCTCTACATCGCGTCATTCCTGGCTCACTTATTTGCTCCTGTAAGAGTTCTCTCGATTCTGACCTTAATGGTATCTTCAGCGCTTCATTGTGCCGGATTTGTATTGTCCTTCCTCCTAGAACCCGAGCAATCGCTTGGAAAGCTAGAGTCTCCCATCGGTTAGCATGGGATGATGGGCAGGATCTGATCAAATATGGCAAGATTCGGGCAGAGGATTCTGGTGTGCCTCGAGCGCTCCGGTGTCCTTCGCGGTGATATGCTCCCTGTCTCACCTCGCCTGAGCCCGGCGTGATCTTGGGAGGAGGACACGGAGGACGTCAGGAGAGACAGAATGCTACTAAATATTGCAGAATCGTCGATCAGGTTCCTCTCCACCACAAGGTCTCTGTCAATCGTGCAACTAAAGGCTATCATCCTTCCTCCTTCGGAGCCTATCACACACTAGCTGTAGCCGTGTCTTGTCCTCCTAGTATCCCGGGCTCTACACCGGGGAGCTGTATGTACATGAGAATCGGCAGTACACATATGTACATCGAGCAGACATTTCCGAATAATCGACGTCGGTGTCTGAGAGAGCTTCTGTCCATGGAAGTTCGGCCGGGACCTAGGGTGCTGGTGAATGCTTCTAGCAAACGTTGAGGTACATATGTATCTACCCGATCATGAGTATGGAACTCGATCGAGACACGGTCGGGTCTGAACTCCCGACTGGAACTAGACATTCGTAGACGAAATCAACTCGAAGAATGCGATACGCGCAGAATGCGGTGCCTTGAATCGACAAAGCTGGATTCAGAAAGCGAGTCCGCAGAAGCCCCTCGCGGAATTTCCCGCTTTTTTGGATCAGTCGCTTTCGCGCAACTCACATATGCTCCGGGGGATTCCGTGAGACCGTGACGAATTTTGAATTCCGGTGCTCTCGAATCTCAAACACACCCGACGCGGAAAAAGGCAAGAACGCTGAAGATCCGTCAGCGGATCCAACCAACGAGACGAGTAGAGACCTTCTTTCAATGTGATATAAGGCTTGGGGTAGGAGTTCTATCGAAGTGATGACACAAGCGATCATGTTCTGGAGGAGCTTGATGTCTCACGGACGGGCGGGTTGACGTACTGACGGACTAAATGACCGACTTACTGACGGACTGACTGAATGACCGACTTACTGACGGACTGAATGACCGACTTACTGACGGACTGAATGACTCGTTTTTCGTTTAGAAGCTGACTCATGACTGACTTTCGATGGCCACAGATCTTGTCTCTCCCACATTCAAGTGAAATCGCAAGTTGTTACGGTTGGTGAGTTGACTCTCTGATGAACTGAGGCTGCTGCGCTGCACTCTCCCTAGTTGGAACCGTGGCCCGAATAAAACTTTCATTGATTGATTGAGCGATTGATTGATCGAGTGGCTGACTGATAATTGACAGACTGGCTGCCGTCTCGTCTGACTGACTGCTCAATCGATGGTTGAAAACGGATTAACTTGGTGAGTAATCGATAGCTCGCTCGCCCTCCTCCCCGAGCTCAGCTGCCTTGAGATCTTCAGATGAGCGGCCGAGCAAGCAACCCAGATGGATGGTCACGCATTCTAGATAACATCAAAGGGTAAGCTTTAGAGACAGCACAATCGCACTCCGGCCGAGACTTTTATCGGCCACACTGGAAGGCACACGGGAAGTTTCTTCGATGGGTTCCTCTCTGCTCACGACGCGGTTAGCTATTTTTGACGTCCACAGAGAAGAAAAAAGAGGGTATGTTGTTGTTGTTGTTCGATGAACGACGGCGGCAGACCTATGATTCAGCCTAGCTGCCACCCGAACGAGCTACTGATAGACCAATTGACTCCTGATTCTCAGACCTCCCCCCCGCCCTCCTTCAGCCCAACCCCGTATCCTCTGTCCCGCGATTCCTCATTAATCATTACCAATGCCTCAAGTCCTCATCCACGCCTTCTCGGAAGCAGACCAAGCAACCAGTTGACCATCCAACGAGAACCCACGTCTCCCCATTTTGAATAGCACACTATCACATGCGTTCGTCGAGTCACGACGCGAAGTAGTATGGGTTTCCTTCGACGAAGCAAGGGGTGAGAGAGAAAGTTATCCAATCAACAAAGATTGAAAGGAGGACCGTCTCGAAGGAACCAATCGCAGCAGATGGAAGGAATGTCTTGAAAGTAAGGCTTATCATAAAATTGTGTTTCTGAATTATATGAGAGGTAAATAGAGGTACCTCATTTGAACAATATCGAGCCTCTGTCGTTCCTCTTGGGTTTGCATACATCCTACGTATCGGACCTGATCCAGGAGCCAGCTTCGTAGCATCCGCGTCTGGAGCGACGGAGTCGCAAAAAACTCATACTTGTCCGAGCGTTTCTCTTCAGCAGTAATCGGATGTGTTCGAGGCCGCGGCGGCGACCGGGTTCGACTCGAAGTATTCGAGCTCACATCATTTAAGACGCACTGTACCGTTACGGGAAAAGCACTGATGTTCGCGAAAACCTGCGAGCGAGCAGAGACGTTCTCCTGTAGTCAAGGATGCACGACCGGCTTCTCGGCAGGACAAGAGATCCCCGGAAACGAAGGATGCTCAACCTTTCAAATCGCTCGTCTCATTTTTCTTCGCAGAAGGAGTCCAGCCGAAGCCCCGACCATAGAGAGAACTGATCTCAATGGTGTCCAAAACCATGATTTGGATCATAATTCAGTCCCACCTAAAGTCCCGCCAGCCACAATGCTCAAGATGCAGGTTTCGCTGGATTCATCAATCGGAGGCAAACGCGGGATTCCGTGTGGAAGCATGCATTTCCATTTCGTGCGAAAATGTCATTCATTCTTGATCGGTTGTACCTTCTCTGGTTTTGGCAAGGTCGGCGTCTTCATATCCATCCCACTCACTAAACGGTGTGCTCACCGTACCGAATCATCCCACACGATTTCATTCAATGAAGTGTTGCCGCGGGATCGCCGCTCGCGGGACTTGGAGCTACCTTCCTACTCGCCAGCGAGCAAGGGCTGGCATGTTCACGGCTGGCATCAGTGAAAATCTCAACTCCGGAATACGAACGTGTAGCTTCGAGGTGAGAAGCGTCCCTTGAAGAAGTGCAGCCTACTGTCACCATGGCTTCAATCTGAACGGTTTGCGAAACTTCCATATAAGGATCTCCTCGTAAGACAAGCGCCGCGCAGACGGTCTTCTTTCAGAATGTCAGAAGATGGGAGTTGCGGTCGAGCAACTCATGCAGGGTATTTTTGCCATATTCCTAATGCTGACCTCGCGATCGTAGAGGATAATATTGGACCTCGATTATGGAATGGACGACAATAATCGTGCTCTCGCTGTTCCTTGGCCCGGCTCATAATTTCCGAAGCCAGGATGCGTTCTCCAATGTGTCGGAAGCTTTGGGGCAAAGTGAACCTGTTCAATGCTCTGCTGGTGATCTGGTGGATCGGTTTGTGTGTGTTCTATCTGAGCACATTTCCGGAACAGACGAAGCTCAGCATCGAGCAAGAAATCTTCACCGAGCAAGAGCGGACGCTCTTGCAGCAGCAGAATTGTGTACGGAATGCGAAACCGTGTCCCCGCTTGGACCTGAATCGGACCGATGAGTATCTCGTAGACTTGCCCGGTTTCGAATACCTCCTCAACGCACCGACCTGTGATTCGAAAGAGAGTCTTGTGGTTCTTATACATTCTGCCTGCCATCACTTCAATGAGCGGAAAGCCATCCGCTTCTCCTGGGGTAACGGATCGCCCCGCCTGAGGGGTTTCACCATCAGATTGATATTCCTATTAGCAATGGCTAGCGACGGCGAAGTCCAGGAGCGGATTCTGAGGGAGCACGAAAAACACAACGACATCGTGCAAGGTGAGTCACCCAGAGGTCTTATGAGCTCACTGAAACTTTGTGACTCCCGGAAATAAAAGAAAGAAGTCCCTAGACCAAAATTTCAACTTCCATCTTTTTGAAGGTGTGAATTCTCTCCAGGAAATTTCGTGGACGCCTACCGTAATCTCACTTATAAACACGTCATGGGTCTCAAATGGGTTTGGGAGCATTGCTCTCGAGCTCCTCGGGTCATGAAAATGGATGATGACATATTTGTGCACTTATTCAATTTCCACCGATTGCTACGGAATACGGCAGAGAGCACAAACTCGCTCATCTGCTACGTGCAACAGCAGATGCCAGTCACCAGAGACAAGGGCAGTAAATGGATGGTCAAAACGCCAGAATATCCTCTGATATACTACGAGGATTACTGCTCGGGTAAGAGCGGATCCCCGGAAGATTTCTCTATAATTCAGTGCCAGGAGAGAGCCCAGGTCCCACTTAGTCAGGTTCTCGGGAGCTCGTCGCTAGGAAAACTCGGCCAGGCGAAGAATGATGATGTCAATAATCTCCAGGTTGGGCTTATCTGATGACTCCGGACATCGCCCGCCGACTATATCTGGAGTCGAAGTACCGGCCGTTTTTCTGGGTCGACGACGTGCATGTCACCGGAACCTTAGCGAAGATGGCAGGTGTCCAGCGGACACGGATCAATGAGAAGTTCACAACGGAGGCTGAATCGACAACTACGTGGAGCAACAGCGACGCTCAAAAGGAGTGGAAGTAAGGCTGAAAGCTCACTCAGCGGGAATCCCTTCGAGTGCGCCCAAGCAACATTGGGCGAATGTTACGGAAACCTGACGCAGCCAATCGAACCCTTCTTTCGCCCCTAGATACGTTTTCGGACCAACCTGGGGGGATCCACAACTCACGTACAAAGCTCATCAAAAAGCGGTAGAGTGTCAGAAGAGAAAGTAAGTTGGAATCCGCATTTTTTTCGAGCTTACGAATGGCTTGACGAAGATCGCCGTACCCTCCGAAAGCCTCCTCTCAAGAACGGATCGACTTCCAGATGCTCCTGTTGTTTCGATCTTTTCACCCTGCAGATTGAAGAAACGAAAGAAACGCTCAACTCACCCCGCAAAGGGAAAGCCAAAGTCATAAGCTTGAATTAATGTCGCGAGTGATTGAGGGTGCGCTGGCGAGGAGGTGATCTCCTCAGACTGACGAGACGGTGTTCAAGGCCTCTCCGTGAAAGAGCTAAGATCCTTGTTCTCTGATGCCCGTATCGTCTGAATTTCCGCATAGAAATAAAAGGCTCGACAAAGAACCTCATCTGGAGTCTGCCAAGAGTGAATCATTGATGGGGCCTAAGCGATACAGGAATGCCAGCAACGGCGTCGGTCGGGAACCTGGGATGTGAATTTGAGGCGATCCGATTTCATGAATCGCGTCTGGGTATAATTTAAATTCCGAGACAGTAAGGCCCCGCTTTCAATTCGAGAAAAATCCGTCTTCCGTTGGAGTGGTTGCGACCGATGACATGTCCCGGAGCACTTTCAGATGTCCCCTCAAATCCCAGGTCGGAGGAAGAAGCTCCTTGCCAGCTTTTGGGCAAAGAGTCCCATCCATCGTTAGGAGATGATAGCATCATGCTCACGGTAGACGCGCGGTATGTATCATTAAAACGATGCGACAAAAACAGAACTTTGTGGTGGAATCATCTCCCGAAGTCGCTCATGCCCCGCGGTATCGAACTCGGCCATGGACTTCCCTTGTTCCATACCGAAATATTTCTGCCGCCTTATTTACACTTGGAGGATATCGTCTATCATTGGAAAGTAAGGTAGTTGGACCCAAGGTAGCTGGGTGATAATTAAGAGCGGGCAAACCGAGGCGGATCGCAAGACAAGGGATCATTCTTCGGTAGAAATAGCTTCAATTTTTATCTTCTCCCCTCGGACCTTCTAGGATACAGCTCTCCGTGAGCTCATCGGCTTCTGTAAGCTCCGTCCGTTGAGCTCAATAAACGCGATACATCGCATATATAACTCTGGACAATGAGGCAATATTTACACTCACATCAGTCACTTATTTACATCACTCTGTAATGATAAAAATCCACCAGCGTTCGACAAAGGTTGAAACCTGCCGTCAGCGACATCAGGTAAAGGACCAGCAGTGCTGCCATCGGATAGAGGAAAACTTTTGTATTCCTCAGAATCGGAAGAGCTGGAATGAATTTCAGGACTGAGTTGATTCTGTGATGGGAATGAGTCAATTTTGACGACGAAAAGCGGGAAAAATCGATCCACTCACCACTGTATCCGAGGAACGTTATGTACACATAGTAGGCGCAAGCAATCAAAAAAAGCGTGTCGCCGAAGAATCGACTCACGAAGGTGTCGTACCGTATAACGACTGGAAGCAAGAAAATATCAATGTCGGGGATGATCGTCTATTCTCGGAAACCGATGTCCGCACAGGAACACCATGAACTGACCAGAAGATTCCAGTAAACCATTGATTCCACTCACTGTGATAGAAAAAGAGTTGGAACAGGTGTAGAATTATCAACGCGGGGAAAAATGCATTGAGATGAACATCGAAACAGTATCCCCATTCAACGTCTTCGGTGAGACGGCACGAAGGCTTGATGAGGTATTTGTTGCATATTATCCACACGATCGTCGCGACGACGAGACCAACCCCAACGCAATCGATGAAAATCGTCCATAGCAAAAATTTGAAGAAGCCCAAGAAGTGGATGCCGAGCAGGACGACGAAGGCAACACACGACACGATCATCCACATCAAGAGGAGCACGAGGAACGCTGGATCATCGCGGGCGAACTGATCTTTTGTCTGCTTTCGATATTGAAAATTCCGATAGACCTTCTGCGGGGAATAAAACAGAGAGGCCATTTGCCAGGTCGCGAACTGGAAGTCCATGTGCTGAAAATGGAACAGTCGGCGAATGTACCGCGTTCCTTTGTCTCTAGCAGATCTGCGATCTCCTCCGGGAATCGGCTTGGGGAGACCGTTGATAAGACCTCGACGGTCCATCCTGGAATAGAGTTGAGCGAAACTCAGCAAGGCTGTCATCATTTCAATCTCCCTGAGAGGACGGTGGGTCATGATGTGGGGCGGTGGAATTCGATTTCAATCAGCAGACTCAACAACCACCCCAAAGGAATCAGCAAAGCGTTAAGGCTTCTCGAGCTCGGAGACGGCGAGACGGTTTGAGGCTCCGAGACATAACGTTCTCATTGCCCGCTGGATTCGATGATCGTCGGAATATTCGAAGTCGCTCCGAGAACCCCCGAGTTTTCGAATGAACTCGCTCTCTGATGACGTTTGACGTCGCTTCAAAAAACATCAGGGTTCCTGATTGTTGGTGTCACCTCGGATCGGAAGGCCCCACCTACTTGGGAATTGAGCACCATTCCTCACCTTATGTCATTTGATAAGCACTCTCCACTCACTTTCCAGGATTTATTCCGGGAAGAGAAGAAACTCCACACTTCGACGGCGGACCTTCGTAAACAAACAGAACTCGCAGGCGTTTGCGACTCCCGGAAGCAAGTAACGACTTGCGTCCAATTGAACGGAATCGAGATGATGAAACATATTTTCTCTATCGAAATCAGCAGATCTAAGCAGATATCTTCGTTCTGGGCCCGAAAAGCATGCGATCGGCCCATCGATGTCGATCGATGAGCGCTCCAAAAGGTTGACCGTTTTCGGATGCGATCACCAGAGTCAATGCGAGCCTCGCGGTTTCCGGGTGCAGTCGAGCAACAATTCTCTAACCGCGCTTCGAACATGGCGGCAACCACTGTCAAAGAAGCACACAGTTAGTTTTATTGCACGCTGAAGCGAAGTGATGCTCCGGAGAAAGTTTTGAATCCATCAGCGTCTCCGCTCCTCAGAGGTGGGATTAGGGCACGGTGTTGAGCTCCGGTTTGTCGTTTCCGATCTCAGCGAAATCCCTCCCCGACCAAAACAGTTACGACCTCTACAAATGTGCGTTATTGTGTCTACTCGGCACCAGAGCGCTTCGAATTGATTTTGAATTAAAATTCGCTCTCGCACAGTAGTGTGATATCTTTTATGGTCCAGGAATGTTCCGCGAAACCATTCGAGTCCTTCCCGTCAAAGTGCGTCGCGAACTGATGTCAGGAGAGTCAGTAATCTGGATTCTTCTTCTCGCGATTGCGTCTAGCGGCGCAGCTTTCCCCCGCATCCCCATGATTGCGGGGGAAGTTGATGTTGTCTCTGTACCTGTTGTGGTCGAACCGATGGGATTGGGCATAGAGGGCCATTCCCCAAAATCGACCCGATTGTCATCAAAAAGACTTCGTCAGGGGCCGAGGCGTCGCGACCGAGGAGAGCCGGACCCCGACTCTCCGGGAGCCTCAGATTGTTAGCTTTCGTGTTTTACGGAACGAGTTTTATTTCGCTGAATATGAATATCGCCTTCCAGGAGCATCGAACGATGGCGGACGTGGACGAGAGCCACGAGGACATCGATTCCCCACAGAGATCGTGCTTGAAGCTCCAAGAACCGAGCCCGGACGAACCGCTTTCCTGTTGGGGTTCTCTGATGTATACTGCGCAATGGTACACTCAGAAGGTTGTTCGGACGGTGACCAACGTTCACAAATCGGTTGTCGAACCATACGAAATCTACGACTCGATCGTCAGAGAAATCCTAACCAGTCGCCTGCTGCTCCCTGAGGATCGAGCATACGTCGAATCCGTATTGACATCGGAGGTCAACTTGGCCACCGTCGACGAAGAGCGGAAATGGCCAGAAACGTATCGGAGGCACTGCTTGGTGTCGACGTTGGCGGTATTCGCCATACTACTCTGTCTTCGTAGGAGTTCAAAAATCCAGCTGCTATCGTTGGTGACAGCATTGGGTTTGACAGCGTCGAAATTCCTCTCGGTGTCCATGTTGAAACTGAGCGTTCTCCAGCTGACGCCGATCCAGTCAATGCAAAGCTGTCTCCTGAAGTGGGCGCTGGTCCAGATCAAAGACGACGAATCTCTTCAAGCGGGCGGGAGCCACGGCCACGCGAGTAGCTCACGACAGCCCGAATCCACCGCACTCGTCGAGATCGAGACGATCGCGCGAGCCGATTCGAAACTCTTCGCTCGCACCGTGTTCGAGACCATTCAGTCGGAATGCCTGTTGTGGCAGGCCGTGACGCGGGACATCCGCACGGCCATTCTCGAAGACGACGTCGAGCTGATCATGCCGGTTGGCCTGGACGACTGCCGCGTTTCTTGTCCTAAGCTGTTCTGTCAACCGGAGAGCATCGAAGAAAGCACCGACAACTACAGTTACGGAGCCGTGCACTCGTTAAAAACGCTGAACGATCTCCATCGTTCCGAATGTCTGAGGAATCTCTGTCTGGGTCTGGTGCAGAGATGCGCCCTGAGCATGAAATCGGTGTTTCTGTGCAAGAAGGCCTTGGAAAGCGTCGTCGCGCTCCAAGGTAAAAAATACGACTTCCTGTGCAGACAGTACTCCGAGCTGAAAGCGAAGCAGAGCTCTCTGTTCACTAGACTGAACACGCAGTTGAAGAACGGCAACATCAAGTCAAAGTATTCCGACTGTGATGTGTCCGTGCGAATGCTGTGCACAAATCTCGAACGATGTCTCCAGTTGGCGACTGCGATCCATTACGAAATCCAGGAGGGGCAAGACCAGAGCAGCGCTCTGTCGGTGGACGCCATAAATGAAATGATCGAAATCCTCAACGGGAACCTTACCCAGAGCGTGAGCTTCAGCGCCGATCTCCAGGTACGGGTTACTTCGAAGAGGACACCGAAGCCAACCACGCCGAGGTCGGCCTCGAGGCATGCCAGCATCGAGAGCCATCCGGAGACCCCGGTTGTGGACCTCGCAAGTCTGCCGAGCGAGCCGGCATTCGATGAAGTGTACGTCGGCAAGTCGGATTGTTCAACGAGAAATGATGAAGTCGACTGCTCGAGGGATCTTGACGACAGAGAAGCGTGCGGTGCATCTCTGGCGCCACCGGTTCTAAACCAGCTCAAGGATGTTTTGAAGGTGAGAACCCTCGAGGGAGTTTTCCAGAAGTTTTTCGAATATCTGCGCCCCGTCTTCCCTCGGAGCACTCATCATTTGTTCGTTCCCTAGTCTGATGGGGTCTAATTATCTTCCAGTTGAAAGAGGCGGAACGAATCACTCGGGAAGCGGCGGCGATGAAGCGATTAGGACTTGAAGAACCCTCGTCTTCTTCGTCGGAGGACGATGAGGACACGATAGAGAACGAGCCAATGTTACGCAGTGTCGGCCACACTGGGTTCGAAGCTTCGCTCGCGGCTCAGGTTGCGGCTCGCGCCGCTCTGGCTGCTGACGATTTTGTTTACGATAGTGATGAAGACAATGACTGAAAACCACCATGTTGTTTGTTCATAAATCGTGCGCTATATACGGCATACATAAAAAGCTATTGTACATGAATGGAAGACGAGTTTCCCGCATAAGCACGTCGTTTTTCGCAACTCACTCACACCGGTTCCTTCCTGTTGAGAGTTCAGGAGTCTAGGAGTTTGTTTTGTTTCTAGCGCTAGAGCCGGACTTTCTGTGCATGAGAAAGTGGGGGGGGGGATTTCTGGGGTTTTTCCGCTTGAATGAATTCGTGCTCGAATCGAGTTACTTCGATCCCGAATTCGGTCCCGGTGTCGTTGAGTATAATGCGGAACGAGCTCTTGTTCCGACATGAATTGATCGATGCGTTCCAGTTCTCGAGGCCAACTCCCTCCGTTGATAGACTGAGGTCGGGTCCCAATGTGTGGTTCATTAAGTCTTCTGTGGGAATATCCTTTTTCGCGAGCGCCATTATCGCGACTCTCACCTTCAGCAGATAATTTCCTCAGATAATTCTCTGTCCTCGGGGGACGACAAGGAGAGCGACATGACATGCGCGATTCCATTTCTTTCGTCCACTCGACTGGTCGATTCTGAAGAGCGTGCGCTTCGAAAATCTTGCGTCGGGCCTTATTCAGGTGCTACGAACATAACAGCTTTTCTTTTTGTCATTTGGAATACGGTCGCGGTTTTCGAGTATCTCAAAAGCGGAATGATGACCGGTGCTCCTGTCCTGGAATTTTCCCGGGAACACGACGCGATTCTCGGCCGGGAATCCCGCAGTGAAACTCATACCATGAGCGTCATCAACGCTGAATCTCAAATTGTCGTTAACAGGGTCCTTTGTCTGGATTTCTTCGAGCAACGCTTGGAGAGCAGTGTCGACCGTACATCCCTGCGGAAAATGTCGAGCGACTCCAGGCAATGTTCAGTCTATCGGCGGAGCACCGATTCGTGTACAGCCCGAGTCTAGGAGGGCCACCTATAGGCTAGAAAGTCCAGGAGAGCCTTCGGTCGAAGATAGAGAGAGCGCACTGGTGTCCGCCCCCGACTGCTGCTCTTCTTCGTCTCCTCCCCGGAGCATTCTCGGCGGTCGCGCAATGATTCAGGCTTCAGACTTGCGACGCGGCGAGAGGACCCCACCGCCTTCAGACGCTCTCCGAGGTCGTATGCACTTCTCCAGAGGGGCGATGGCTTCCTCCCTCTCGAAAAGTTTGTCGGCAAAAAAATATTTCTTTCTTTATCTCGCTCCTCGCTTCGTGTCTTTCCGATCAATAGGTTCCCCTCCGGTTCGAAAATGCGTCTCACAAATTTGCTCCACGGTACACACTAATATTTCGGGGCGAGAAATCTCATGCGGCGGCCTTTCCCCTCTCCGATCGGGAAACCCCATCTGGAGCGCTCCATCTGGAAGTCGGCTCCAGCACTCCCGATCTGGGATCCTACAACCGACGATATTCCCGATAACTGGTTCCGGGACGGGAAGCAACTTGGATCGGGGAAATTTCAGAGGTTTCGCTCGAAGGGGGGCGCAGAAGGTTTTATCGATTTGTGTCTGCGAACTCTCAGGGGCTCCGCTTCCGGAAACTCCATGATTGGCGTTGCGTCATGAAGACTGGCGATGCGAATCCCGACCTCTGAACATTATACCCAATCAATGAATTCTGATGCCTATTTGTCGTCTCATCAATCGCATCATCGAATGGTTCGCGCGGAAGACAGTGCCGCGATACCGCAGGTCGAAGTTCTGTAAACCCCGAATTCTCACCGCGTTGGGCTCGCCGATCGAAGCTGTAGAAAGTAGTGGAGGGGACGCGAGCCTGCCGCGAGCCAGAATCGACCGACCAATCAAGACCGCCGCTCGGGCAGGCACAGACAAATGCACGGGATTTTTAGGAGTGGGAAGCTGTTTCGTAGGGTGTGGCGGAGAGACCGCGTTCTCCCCTCAATCCACGAAGTTTGAAAGCCTCGATCGCGGACTCGATATGGGTTCTCGACGACCAAGTCCAGTCGAGCAGTTCCGCCGTTCTTCAGCCGACCCGAGGTCTAGGCGCTAGTTCAGAAAAAATTGTTCTCTGTGAGCGAGGAATCGTCGTCGATTCTGAGCGCCGGTATCGTTTCCCGGACATCCTCTCCCAAGCCCTTAGAAGTTGCCACTATACGACCACAGTGGGGACAACTCGCTCTTTCAAGATAGCGCCGGTCCTTGTAGAAGCGAATGTGAAAACTTGAAACTCAGCAGAAATTTGTCGAACGTCACTCCGCGCACAATCGTCGTGATGCTCCCGGATCGGAATACACCGTGCATAGGACGCCAAGAATTCGAAAGCGCCCCCTAGCGCCGACAAGTCCGATCGGTCTACAAGACGGGTGCTTGTTGACATCGAGCAGTTGTCTGCACTGTGTGTTAGCCTAGGTACGCTGGCCCTTGCCGCCCGAGCGGATTCTCCACATTTTGGCTAATATTCTCCCGAAACATCCGCTTTCTGCCCACCCTCTAGCGGGACCGTTAGGCGGTTTTGTGCAAACGTTTCTCAGCGACTATCCACTGGACTGGAGAAAGGTCAGTTCCCCGTTTTTTCACTCGGCATGGACCGCATATACACACATATAATGTTGTAATAGTAGTTAAATAGAAGTGCACTACTTGTTGTCAGTTTGCTAGAAGCCATGCATGTTCCATCTTTCGATATTACGGCTGGCATCGCGTTTCCGAATTTACCCATCGATTCGGTGGGGTGTTAGCATGCGGGGGAGGGAAAGTAAGTTTCTGGTTTTCGTGTGATCGCTTCCGCTGTTGCGTTTTCGTAGTCCGTGTGAGCGTGTGTGCTCTCGACTCGAGGGGGGCCCAGTTCCTCACTGCATCCTAATCCCGCTCGGACGCTGTCAATAAGGGCCCGCGTCGATGCCAACCTGTTGACTTGGCGCCAAAGAACCCCCGGGTCCGCTGGCCTCGACCCCCCAACCCCATCTTTTCCCTCCACCGGGGTTCGAGCTCGACGAACCGCATTGCCGGTCAGAGCATCCTCTGGAGGCTCTCGGGCGCGAAGTTTTCCGCTGGCTTTGACTTTCTGGTTTCTTCGAACGACCCCTCGAATTCCGCAGTCACGATATCGAGCCCCTCGCCGTCGACGCTCTCCGAGAACCGATGGAGCAGAAGCTCGCGGGCGTTCTCAATTAACTCGGTGTCCCTCGATCGGTAGATAATTCCCTCATCGGGACCGTTGATGTCACTGACGTCGTTGCCGTCAGCGTTGTCATCCTGGCTGCCGGGGCTTCTGCCGCCGCCGCCGCCACCACCGCTGCCGTCGTTGTTGTTTGCGCTGATTAAAGTTCGCGTGCAATGGCGGTCGGCGGACGCGCCGGCGGCGTTGGTTTCTACGAAGAGATTCCGTCGCCATCGACGTGCAGCAGGCAGCGAGCGACCGACGGCCCACTTGCGGGAGCAGGAAGTGGAAAAATAGTCGACTGAGAGAGAAAAACGACGGGAAGAAGAAAAGGAACGCCATCGCCACACTGGCTGCGAGTTGGGCAGCCGAGCAGCGGCGGCGACGGCCGCAACGGCGGCAGCAGCGGCTCACCACCATAGCTACTCACTCACCAGATGCACGAATAGAGAGAAAGTGCTAGCTAGCGAGCGAGCGAGAAGAGAGGAGTCTTGGTTAGCTGACGCATACGGGTTCTCTTCATGTGCACTAGCGGTACTTGGATATGCGGCACGCTCCCTATACCGGAGCACCGAGTCCGTTGTTTTGGTCGCACTCGTTTGCGTGCTCGCTCCCGCCGCGCAAACTCCGAAGGAGCTCCTGCGTCGCGTCGACGTTCCGCCAGGTAGCCCCAGAGCTAACCGCGTCACGCTTGCCGCGTTTTTCGACAAGAAGTTGTCTTCGTCAATTTTAGATCAAGAAAACCCATCCTAAAAACTGTTCCCCCCGTTATTCTCCAACTTCAGTCAACGCCGGTTCCTGTGCCTTTAGGCTAGCAGCTATCCGGAGCGGCTGAAGCGACCGCCCGTCCGCCCGCTCTACCGCCACCGTCAAGATAGGCCGCACCATGGCGGAGGACTTGGACGACTCGACTCAGGACTCGGGCAGAAATCTCAATGGAGACTCGAAGAAGGAGAAGAAAAAAACCTGCATGCAGTGCGGCGCGCAGAAGAAGAAACTCAAGCTGAAGATCTTCTACAAAGGCGCGCAGGTCACGCTTTGCAACGAGGAATGCTTCAAAGGTGAGCGTCAACCGGTTCATATTCTTGGAATGCTCGCTAACGCAGACGGGGAATGATCGAGTCCGAAATTTTCCCCGGTGCCCGTGTCCGGGGCTGGCCCCGGCAAGCCAACGGATTCGTTGTTTTCGTCGCGCCGAACGTCCGCTGGGAGCGCGGGCGCACTCAATGTGCAAACTGATGTCGATTTCTATTTTGATTTGCAGCATTCAAGGAGAAACAGCCAAAGAAAAAAGAGAAATGCGAAGCCTGTCATGAAGAAATCGAAACCGGAGGATACCTCTGCTCACGTCTGGGGACTCAGCAGCCGCTGTGTTCTGCGAAATGTTTCGAGCTCATGGAGAGGAAACAGGCGCCCAAGAGAAACTGTCTGGTTTGCCAAAAACAGCTAGGATTGGGCAGTGAGTATCCGAGGAATTGAATAGCGTTGGAGAGAATCCCCGGAGCATCGTTGGGGCGCGGGCGTCCTCGGCGAAGAACAGTGTCGAGACCTGACAGACTTCTAAAACTCTCTCTCGATTCCTTTTCCAGATGCCGACGCACTCCTCTGGGAAGCCATGGAATTCTGTGGAGTACCGTGTTTACGCAGATATCAGCTGCAGATCGGATCTCTGTGCGCCAACTGCAACGTTGTTGTGCAAGAATTGTCCTTGGGAAAATACTGTGTGCGGTTCGGAGCCGATATCCGGCAGTTTTGCACCGGGAAATGCCTCGAGGAGTTCAAGAAGGGTCTCAAAGTCTGCGCCTACTGCCAGAAGGATCTGACGCGGGAGAAGATCGATCCGGTGGTCGCACAAGTCGGCGAGAAGGGACTCTTCAAGGAATTCTGCTCGCGGGAGTGTGTGAAACACTTCGAGAATCTGAGTCCGAACCGGACCGTCGATCCCTCCGAGAAATGCAAGCAATGCACCATGAAGTGTTTTCCGAAGCAGCTGCAGTTCAAATACGGCCCCGAAGAGAAGCAATGGGCCTGCGTTTGCAGCGACCAGTGCCTATCGAGATTCCGATTCGACAACAAGCTCGACGGGGCTTACTGCGAAAACTGCCAGTGCTTCCGGATAAAACAGGACCAGTGTGTAACATTGCAGCTCGGTCTCAAGGGTACCCGAAAAAAGTTCTGCTCGAAAACCTGTCTGAACCTTTTCGTGTTGGGTCACCGAAAAATCGTGCCTTGTTCGTGGTGTAAAGTGAAGAAATATAATTTCGACATGATCGAGAAAAACGGCGAGAGCGACGTTGTGCAACTCTTCTGCTCGATAAACTGCCTCAACTCTCACAAGACGAGATCGTCGTCGATTCGTCAGACAGCTCCGCCCACAGCGGCGATTGCCCAAGCTCCGCAGATACAGACCCAACAGAGACAGGTCGTCAATCAGCAATCCTTCCTCCAGAACAAAATCACAGTGCAACAGCAGCAGCAATTACAACATCAGCAACAGCAGCAGATTCAACAGCAGCAGCATCTTCAACAGCAACAGCAGCAGCATCTCCAACAGCAACAACAACAGCAGCAGCAGCAACAACAATTCAGCAGCAGCAGCAGCAGCAACATCATATCTTAGCCAAGACACCACAGGGTTTCCTAAAGTGAGGATTTCAAATCTTCCATCCCATTGTCCTATGGAGATCCGTGAGGAATTTGGGCAGGCGAATTACTGATGATTGACATCTTCGATTCTTCTCTTCCAGATGCGACCAATGCTCGAAAGTCTCGCGTCCGCAGTTCCACTTGACTATGAGCGACGCTTCGGTACGGAACTTCTGCTGTTACACGTGCGCTGTAGCTTTCCAGAACATGTTCAAAAACAAAACGCCGGCCGCTCTACAACAACAACAACAGCAACAGCAGCAGCAGCAGCAACAACAGCAACAACACACCGCCCAGCAGCAGCAGCTCCATCTTCAGCAGCAACAGCAGCAGAAACAGCAAGCACAACAACAGCTGCAGACGCCAGCGGCGACCGCAGCCCAGCATATATCCGTGCAACAAGTCCTACAACAGCAGCAACAGCAAACGCTACTCCGCAACAAAGTCGTTCTGACGACCCAAACAGTCTCTGTTCCTCAGCAACCAACGGTGAGGAAACTTCCGGCCGTCACACAGGTCCCTGTCGTCTCACCGAAACCTCCGGCAGCTGTGATGACAAAAATGTTTGGGACGACGCCGCAGGCGCAGTACACCGTAGTTCAACCGCAGGTTCAAATTCCTCAAGGGGTCTCGTTCCTCAATAACGGACCCATCGTTGTAAGACCACCTCCCCCCAAAGAAGTTCGCAATAAGTCGATACAGTGTAAGCCACCGGATTCAGAGGATGAGCTGGATAAGGAACGCGTCGAGGAGACGATAACTGGAAAGAGTGAGTAACCTCCTTTCTCAGGATCGGGTCCAGCCGGAGCGGCTGAGCCCCCGGTAGATGAAACATGGACTGACTGATGACATATGAAATATGGATGATGATACGCATGATGTTCTGGAACTGACCGTTCGATTATTATCTGATGCAGAGAAACCCAGCTCGCTCATCAAAGCAATGCTCTTGAACGTGGATCACGTTCAAGCGGGAAGCGATCCCAAGAGGATTGAGGAAATGATCGGCGATCTCCACGAATTAGCAAACAAACTTTCCGAGCGTTTGAAGGAGCCCAAGATAAACGGCGGACTAAACCATCAATCGGGAGGAGCCGTCAAACGAGTCCGAGACGATGCGGACAGTGAAGACGCACAGGAAAACGGGGAGTCTGACAAGAAGCGATGTAAATCCCTCACCGATCCGCTCGATGAGCTCGTCGACGCGGCTTGTGATCGGTGGAAGGAATGGGTTTCCAATGTTGGCGAGAAGTCGAAAGATGAGGATTCGGAGAACAATGAAAACAACGAGCAGATCAGGCCGCCCCTCGAGGAGTTTCTGAAACTTTCGCCTGAGAGCATGAATTCCGCGCTGTGTTCTTTCGGCAAAGACAGTCAGGGCGATGCGCAGACGAACGACGTCGTCCATCTCGTGAAGGTCTTCTTGGGCCTACAGCTTTATTTGACGCGGAAGAAGAGCACAATCAACATTTTCAACGATTCCGCATTCTGTGGATTCAATGATTATGTCAGTACTCTCACTTCGGCGCTGGAGAATCCCGAAAAGGTACGCTGCCAAACGTTGTTATCGCATATTATCGCTCGAGGGCGGGCATTTTCGGGCAAATTCGCCTCAGTTTCTCCCTGCAGATGTTTTGAGGTCGGGAATGTTGAATTGCAGGGATCGGAACTCATCGAAGAAGAGCTTTTCTGGAAAACGGGTCAGCTCGGAGTGAGCAGTCCAGAAGTTCTTCTCAATACAGTTGCGTATGTTCTGGCCAGATACGCGAAACTGACCGACCCAGACCTTCACGACGAGTTAACTTTCGACAAGGTGAATACCAATACGGCTAAGGGCTCCGCACAGCTCGTTGAATGCTGTTGCTCCAAACGAATGCCCATCCGGGCGAAATTCCCGAAGCCTACCCCAGAATGTGCTTCATGGTATCCTCACCAGTTGATTCTCTCACTGCCATTCCAGGTGACAGTCGAATGTGAAACTGTTGAAAACAAAACCATTAAAGTCTTGAAGGTTGATGATAAAGTCATTTCACAAGTGCCCGATTTGAAGAGCCGCTGTCCGGTCGCAATCGTTGAAGCTTACATATCGAGACGGTGAGTTCATGTCCCCAATATTGTGCGCGGCCAAACGGTGGTATCCCAGAGTGAGTCTGGGGAACGTCTTCCCTCATGACTGCCGGCTCAGAAAAGAGAAATCGTCTCAGTCGAACTCCAAACCTTGCAGCGGTGTCCCTCAGAAACCAGCGTCAAGCAGTTTCTACCTCGAGCCAAGACAAGGCTGGAACGAACACGACCACGGCGTGGAAGAATGGTACAGCGAGGATTCTTTGGAAATCGGCGGCCTAGCTCGAGCTTTGAACAGATATAAGGTTCTAGAGTCGTTTCACCGGGAATAGGATATATTTTGTATAATAGAGCGTCACTCGTAAACTTGTTTTTAACGACAAACAGGGCGATAGGTACAAGTCACCCAGTCAGTAAGACGGACAGACAGTCAGTCAGTCAACCAGCCAGCCGTTCTCCACCCACTCATCCACTCATTTGTCGGCCATCGACACAGTGATTATGAAGTCACTCAATTCTTCCTTCATACGTTTCATAGCTGCGTTCCACGTTGCTCGTTCAGAAGGAATTTCCTATGGCACTTCATCATTAGTCTGAAATCATCTACATAGAACGCCTTAGCTTACACCGATCGATATTCAGTGACGAATGTTCAAGTAATCAACCAGCTGACCGAGAGAGCTGCGGGCAGAGCAAGAAAGGAATATGAAGGGTGTGGAACAAAGTTGAGAGTTGTTTCGGTAATCGTTGATCACTTGGAATTATACGGTCATTATTGATGATGATGATGATACGATATTAATGTATGAACAATGACGGTGTCGATACTGCAACTGGGATCTCCCCGGAGGCGGAGTGAGTCAAGTCAGAGGTTTATGACGCCCTAGGCTATTATCGTCGTTTGAATAATTATTGCTTGTTCGTTCATGTAAAATATCCGAATGTTTGTACAAAAGACTTTAAAATATAACAAATCTGAGCAAACGATATATCGATTACAACCAAGACTATCGCAGGCACAACCGTTCTCGAAGACTTTTTGTGGGAGGTCGTGAAGCCAAGTTGATGTACGAGTGTAAATGTTCGAGTTGAATGAATTCGCATGGAGACACGAAAGTTCTATACTAAGGAATAAATTCGTCATTTCGTGGGGTGAGCTCCATATCACGGTAGCTATATGCTTCTCGAATATGCTCTGAAGAGTTTACGTTCCTCCCCACTGGATCGGATTAAGATTTGGGGTGAGACTCCCGGAACGGTGGCGGTGAGGGAGGAAAGGGAAAGCAGGAGTGGCAGCCCGCAATGAGAAGTCGGAAGTAGAACTACGCGGCCAGTTCTCTCGGCATCAAAATAACTTTATTCCATAAATGATGACTTCCAGAGTAGGTCAATACAACTCACTCTCGAGGGCGTTCCACAGCGTTCGATAGGGCAGCTCGGTGGGAAAGGAAATTTGGCTTTTTTCCACCGTATCACATCATATCCACGGGAGAGCCTCAGAGAATAGAAATTGCCCTGGCCTCGCAGGAGTTCACACTCGACAGCGACGGACCGAATCACGCTGATCAGAGATCGCTCACACGTTCACGTCACAGCTCAATCGCACAGTCGGCCAACATTCTCGCGAGCAGAGAACAAAAAGGAAGACCTAACCGCATTCGTCGATCGACGATACACTCTTAATCATCGTATGATTCTCCTTTTTCCTAAACGGATTCGCTTTCACCCGACGTATCGAAAACATATCGATTCATAGAAAACTTCGAAAACAAGCTATCACATCTAGTACCAACCGCTGGTCTAGAGTTACGACCTTTGACACATGGGCGACCATCCACGACAAGACTATATACAGCTATTCAACGTGCCTACATCGACCGCTCTCCGGGTTACCGATGTCTAGCGTCAGTACCATCACAAATGCAAGACTATTTTTTTACGCTTTAGTCCTCAAGGCTACGAGATAGGATCATTCCTCCTGCTTTCTCGATCGATGCGATGCTTCCGGTAATAATAATGCTTATTATGATAAAAGCCCTCGAGAAGGAATCACGACTATTCTGCTGAGTTTTGAAGAAAGGAGAACTCTCACTAGGATTTCCTTCATCCACAGGAAGGAGAATTCGATCCCCTCGAATGTTCGGTCTGTTTGGAGCGTTTGGAGTGGCTTGAAGTCATTGCAGCCTTTCGGACGAATTCGATTTCGGCGAACGGGGGAATGTACTCAGGGAGCGGAGGAAGGTTCCGGAAACAGGAACAAAGGGCGGGAAAAATACCGGGATCGGAAACGTAGATCCGTCAAAAATATCCATGTGTCGTCGTTGCCAACACGCGACTCTCATTCAACTCCCAGATCTAGGCTGCATAATGCCCAAGGCCCAAGTGAGGGAAAGTGGCTGGGGAAGTCTAAAACCAGGTCCAACGGCGGATTTTCCCTCGCTTGCTCGATGGCGACGAAAATTCTAAGAACCTAAATGTCGATTTCCTATTTCTCCAATGCGAAATTCTCACTATGTAAACATACGGGACAGTTTCACGGCTTTGATGTGATTGGTCGGGACATGAATGTTCTCCGTGATGTGGAAATCTTCACCTGGATGAAGATCGGACAATGACGTAAATTGGGCATTCTCATCGAAAACTCGCCCGAACAATGTTGTCAAGTCCATGCCGGCATCAGTAATTTGACACACTTCGGTGGGTACAACTTCACTGCATGAATAGCCCTCATTGTGCAACGTCACCAAAAACCGAGGCTCGTCGGAACTACTTTCGAGAGTGCGAACGTTTACCAAATGCAAACCGCACGGCTGAAGGGTCGACGAGCTCGAATACGAATCTTTCCCGATTCCGTTCACAACGAGCGGCAGGAGGGGGGAAGTTAAGGCGTGATACGATAACAAAGACAACAACGAGGGCCGGGGATCCTCTTCCTCTTGGGATTCAATTGAAAGCCTGAACGAACTCAGAGCTGGGACGTTGTCGGTGACCGTCTGTCCGAGCCCTCGGTTGTCGTCCTGATTCAGTCGTCTGTCGAGGAACACGTAAAACGTGCCTTTTTCGCCTCTGTCCGTGACTCCGAGCGGCTGCGCCGAGGCCAAACTCAATCGAGTTTGGGAGTCTTGCAAGTAAAGCATCGATGACATCGGATAGACATTCGCTTGGACCGGCAGGCGGTGTTGATATTTCCGCTCGACGTAGCTAAAGCCGTTCAGGTCGGTGAAAATCGATGACGAGTCGATCAGGGTAGAAACTTTCATCATCAGCTCGAAATTGGTGTTCCTGCTCAGGTCAACGATATTATGGATTTCTATGGATTGTCCGTCGATCCCCGGCGACTCCTTGATCCTGAAGTGCGTCGTTATGTCCGGGGTGATCGATATTACCTCGCTCAACAACGATCCCTGGATGACAACCACTGTGCTCGGATTGAATCGGATCCCGGTGGGGGCGTCTTTCTCAGGCATGAATAAATAGGCACCCGAACGGTCTCTGTTCGTATTGCCTGATCCCTGGGGTGTGGAATATTTCCAGAACGAGATTTCCGTAGATGCCTGCGCGGCGTTTTGCGTCAGTCGGGTCAGCAGGCCGGTGTATGCTGAGAAGGTGGCCGTGATTCCACTTGTTTGGATTTTCATGTTCTTCTCATCCGAAGAACTAACCTGAAAGACGCCCCCGCCACTATTGGAGCAAGACCCAATTTTATAGAAGTCGATGCTGGCCCTTAAGGGTGCGGTTTCCTGACCTCCGCGAGTGACCACAAACGACTTGATTTCCAACGGACGGAGCTCGACTTCGAAGCTCAGCTCGTATAAATCATCCCGGATCCGGCAATCGTCGAAAACGGGAGACAGCTGCGACACAGCTCCCTTGACAGTAATATCCGGCGAAACTGTGTAAATCGAGACGATTTCCCGTCTGTAGCTGGTCAATGTGTTCACGACGGCCACGTCATACGAGGATTTTTTGAAATCCAATACCACTCGCGACGAGTATCCCTCGGTGGTGCCGTTTAGGTTAATGACGAAGTCGGAGTCACAGCTGTTCGGGTTGCCGAGCAGGGACTCGGTGGATAGGTGGATGATCTTCATCGAATCTGAAATCGCTCTGTTCAGCTTGGCCCCGTAGTCTCGCATGACATGCGTTTTGGCGGTTCCCGTGATGCCGTCGTGATGCTGGAAAAGGGAGAGACCTCTCCTGGCGGCGTCGAGCTCCGCGTCGATCTTGCACTTCATCCCGTTGGCCCTGGCAAGACTGGACGTTATCTCAGCGATTCTTAGAATCGACTCCGCTCTTCGATCGAGGAACTTGTAAAACGGTCTCGACGTATAGAAGCCGGACCAGTACTCGTCGTTCTTGTCGGCGTAGGTGAAGAAGTCACCGCTCAAACTGGGTATCGTTACCGCCGATGTGCGCAAATCTTCCTCCACAGAACGGAAGTAATCCTCGAGGGTGGCAAAATGGATCCGAGCGTTGAGCTTCGTGTTGTTGTTCACGTAATCCATGATGGCTCTATAGTTGGTATACTGGGCGTTCCACTCAGCGGCTCGATCGTAACGGAAGTCGTCGCCGAGAGGGATCAAGATCGAGTTTGTCTGGTACAGCTGAGCTTTTCGTCGGTACTGGTCAAGGAGAATTTGTGACCTCGCGGCCACGTTGTTTTTATCGATTTTCATCGGAGGCTGTTTCCAGGGGCAAGACATCCTCGATGATCCCATTCGGGCGAAATCAAATTGGCAGCATACCGCCGGATCCGGACCGCATGTATGTGGGACGTCGTAACTGTAGAATGGCATCGCGTGGCAGAACATGTCCGTGTTCCCAACGTTATCCCACGGTTGCCGCCAATGGAACTCCAGAGCCTTCGAGCTAGCGAGGTGTTTCTTGAGAAAATAGTGCAGACGCTGAATGACCATATTCTTTAAACCGAACTCTTTCAGCAGGAAAGCCATCGTCGGCGATAGCCCGAACGGATCGATGGCCCAACCATTTCGAGGCTTTGGCGCCTTCGGGAAATGCGTCTCAATCCACTTGTGACCGAGCACGTGTTGCTCAATCATCGCATAGTAATGAGTATTGGCTTCATCGTTCATGACCCAGCCGCCGGTCACAAACTCCAGTCGACCGTCGTTGATCAGTTTGGCAACCTTATCGCGTTGGACCTGCGGCTGGTCGTCGTACCACCGGGCGAAAAAAGACACCTCGGCCCAAATGAATCTCATATCGGGGAATTCCATCAGTTTGCTCACGGCTATGGTGAGTATGTTGCGGGTCTGCTCTGTGTAATACTGGTCGAAAGTCTTTATCCAACCGGGATCGTTGTGTGAATGTGGCACAACGAAAACTTTGAGAAGGTTTTTTTCGTGCCATTGCGTTGCATCGTATTCGATGTTCCAACCCTGCTTCCAGGCCCCGCCGTCTTCGTTCGTGAACTCCACATCTTGGATCACCTGCCACAGATTGTAGTCCGTTTTGGCTACGGTCGGTGGTTTTTTCACACAGATCATGGTGCTCGAATCCAGCGCTGATTCCGTCACAGTTCTGACTCCGTTTCGCTTCTCGACTTCGTTGAGATTCTGTTTCAAGGCGGCGAGTTCCATGCGGTTTTTCTGTACTTCCAATTCTATGCTCTGGAGTTCCGAATCCATGTTCAACGGCCTAGGTTCTCTAATCCGCGGGGAGCCGACCCCTCGCAGAATCACCATGTAGCATAGCCTGAAATCGGGAGAATGCGACTTTAGTTCCGGAAATATCCACTGTCAGTTTCCGACGGCGAAACTCGCTCATTCATCTTAGCTTCCGTCGGTATTTTGTCGCTCGCTATGAGATCGTCACGAGAACCAATCGATCTCGGAATCGCTCGTCACGGAGCGCCGAAATTTTTGAATTTCGATATAACATAGCGAGATAGAGAGCACCGCTTCGGCCACAAGCCCTGCGGTAAGAGTGTCGCGAGATTCAAGGACCTGTTATGATCCATAAATCATCATTCGTGCTCTCCGCGGGTTATTGCACTACCTAGATGATATCGCGCAACGCTAGAGGAAATCGCCTACCCTCACAGCTCATTCAACACTCGGGCAAGGTCAGCGCGGCAGCAGTTTCCACGCGTCCGTTTTTCATCAAGAGACCGCCTATGTCTGACTGTGTCCCACCACGTTTCCGATTGGAACTTCGTTCAAATTCAAATGATGTTAAAAATGGAGCGACTGTTACATCCTGCCGCCAGTCAAGCTCGTTTACTAATGTTGAAACCAACAAAGACTTCGCGCGAGGCTCTACCGTCGCTGTCGCACATGTATCTGTGGCTCAGTCAGACGCGACGTCCTCCATTCGTTCAGAATCGGCCGGTCACATAACGGGAATTCGTCAATTTCTCTCATTAAACTTTGGGATCAATCATCTCCAATTTTGAAAGTGAATGTATTTTACTTCCCGAGACGGCACATCACGAAGTTCTATGCCGAGTAGATTTAATGCAGAGCAGACACTGAAGATAGCAGCAAGCGTGGCCGATCCGAAGGAAAGACTCCTCTCATCGAGATCTTGAGGCGGTGTTCGAGTTTGTCCCTCGAGGAACGAGCGAGCAGTTTACCTTTTTGGATGGAAATAATATTTGGGCGCAGGGAGACTCACCCGATTAGAGCTACGCAGATGATTATGTGGGAATAGAGTTTGATGAGTCGCCACATCAGCCCGAAGGCCAGGGTTCGTCGCATTTTCTGTGGAAGAAAGTCCTCGTTTCTTATCGATGATACTCTCCTGCGACACTCTGGATGACTTCTCCAAAATAAAAGCTCGGAGCATTTCCTCCGAGTGCTCTGAAGATCTGTACTCTTCTTCGCGAAAATGTGATCTGAATCGAGATCATCCCCCGTGCTCAAGAATCGTTTAGCTTCTTACACACTCCGATCTTCACGTCGACGGTCCGAAGGGAAACTTGTGAGCCATGCGACGACTCGATCATGAACAGATTCTGGATTCCGGACGCTGACGTCGCCTCGAAAGTTCCGGATGCAAGGAGGAGGACCCAGACGAAGCAGGACGAAGCGATCCCGAGTTGATTCAAGCTTCGATACAGGGCTCGTCTGCGCAGCGGTGAACCAATATGGTTGACAAGCCCCGGCTCCGGACTTCGGCATTTAAACATTAAGCCATACGACACGTCAAGTCAATCCGAGGCCTAGGGCACACTGGAGCTGTATTCCGAAGACACGGAAAGTCTGCTCGAATATCCATATGTACGAGGTAATGGAACTAATGGCGTGCTTTTCTGTCTCCTCGAATTCCCGTCCGCTCGCAGCTGTCGCCAGAGGGAGAGTGATCGCTACACCACTTGTCTCTTCAAAGCTACACAGCACGATATCATTGCGCGAGAGTCCTCCTCTAGAACACCGAAATGCCCGGAAGCGAGCGTTGACTCAGAACCCGACCTCGAGTAGAATGATACGCGATAAACTGTACGTTCAAGCATGAACGAATCAATACGAAGTCCTTGTGAGGGCATACCCCGAAAATCGAACGTTACCCCGGTTTTTCCGTGCTGAGACCCGCTGCCTGTGGTCGACTGCGACCGAGGTTGCCGTACGTCAGCAAACTGTGGCTCTATGCGCGTCAATTCAGAATGAAGTTCCGAAGTTCGAGCTCAATCGCTGCGATCGCTGAGAGCGACGATTCGGCACAGCAGGTTAGTTCTAATTCAGTTGCCTCGCACCGAAAAAACCCGAGACGACAGCCACAGTGCCCCAAAGATAAGGGCAGGCTACACGACTCCGACGTAGTGGTCACGCAAGAGTTCGAAAATCATCCTGCACCCTGTAGGAAGACGAAGTTTGGTCCGAGCGGTCGAGAACGACGATGGAACTCGTGAACCGAAGCTGGTTGTGTTGGTTGGGAGTAAACTTCAGCCGTCAGCGCAGGATGCAATGGCTCGATTCAGCCTATGTGGAATCGGGTCTGGTTCTTATTCTGTGAATCTACCGTTCCCAGCCTGGAGGCCAATGAACAGTACAAATCATCCGCGAGTCATTTTTCAAGTCTACTCCGATCGGAAATCGCTTTTCAAGGCAATCGCTGGTGCTCCATAAATCTCTTGGCTGTCACAGATGTGTCCCTCGGAGACCTCGAACGGTGCAAGGGAACCAGCGCCCACGTAGTCCGGTAATGGGGAGCTCTCATGAGAATCCTGACGAGAATATCGAACCATAGAACATCAAGTGTGAGGACATTGTGACAGAATGAAGAAAAGTTCCCTCGGAGAGAAGGTGTGATCGAAAGTCTTGGCCGGCCTGATGGAGCGCTGAGACTGCTCACTCCTATGGTGAGATCGGAGTGAACTACTGAGGTGGACCAAGGAAATGATTTCCGGATTTTCGCTGGGTCCACCCCCAATCGCAGGCAGCGCGATATTCTAGAGAGAGACAAAATCAGCGAGAAAAAAAACAAAGGCCCCAGGGGACATCCTCGCAGCTCACTTACCCCACAGCTGGTGAGTTTTCTCGGGAGCTCACACCATTTCAAAGTTTTTGTGCCCCTCTACGGGAGACCCATTACGATTTCCCAATCATTCACCACTTGCTCTCTGAGCTCTCCACAGTCAACTGCGCTAACTTGTGGCCTTATAGCCTGCCTGCTCCGTGGTCAGCCTGCCACTCTGCTGCTTGCCAGGACTCGCTTTCTCTAGAGTTCCGCTTTATTGGTCGGAAGCTAAACAACAGATCGTGGGGCGAGCGGAAGCTGCTGTCCGCCTTCGTGGTGGAGCTGGTGATGCAGACATGAGCTCTTAGCGCGCTGAGCGATGGGGTTTGGCGGAGAACGAAGTCTGAATTGTACGTCAGGATCGGCCTTGGTGCCCCCTCTACCCTCCACGATTGCCCAAGAGCGATCTATATGAACGAACTGGCGGGTATAATGACGCCAACGAATCGCTACGTATCTCGTAGCTCCCGAACCATCGCACTCCGACGAGAGCAGTAAGGACTCCGATTCTGTTTCTCCGTGAGATTGCACAAAAAGTGTGCGATCTGAACGAAAAAGATGAGGATGGATCATGGAGAGCTCAATGTGCTGGGAAATTTCACCCATCGCCCCCCCTCATTTCTGAACGTATAGCTCTTCCTCGAGATAGGCCGGCCCTCTCAGAGCGAGTCTGCAAGCCTACCTCTGGGGCCTGAAGATCTTTGAGGACAATTAGTTGGTATTCTCCCGAATTCCTTCGACCTCAAGGACCATTCCTTCGACCTTCGAATTCCTTCGACCTCATGAGATATGCGGTCTTTCGCAAAGCCAACTCGCGATGCGCACAGCTGTATAGGATTATGAAGATGGAGATGCTCGGAGGGAGCCTTCCGCGATGAACTGCGCTGAGTGGAGAACGTCGAGGATTGGAGGGGAGTCAGAGGTGAAGAGACGGTTGATCGTGGAGTTCTCCGGAGGGATGCCTGGTGCGGAGAAACCATCAGGTGTCTCTTCCAATGAGAGTAGCCTCGATACGGCCGCTTTTCTCCTTCCATTCTTGGGGTAAATCGAGGAAGAGAACACGGCGCATATTGAACCTCGTGCTGGACTCGTCCTCTAGACTCTAGACTAGACAATAGCGCTATTTTTCCCAATTATACTCCGTTTTATTGAAGGTTCTTCTGTCGGCAATAGATCCACTGAGGGAATTGACACTGGGGAAATATGCATATCTGCTGAAAGCAGTTCTAGAGTCTACGATTCTACATTTTACCTATATACCTAGAGATACCTAAATACCAAAAGTACATATATACAATGAATGACCTCCACATGTCATTCCGATGTGCTTCTAATCAGCGCACATCGCGCTACTTCCTTTCGACCATATCCTGGAAAGCGGCCAAAAGCGAAGAGAAACTCGGCCTCAGCTCGTCTTCAGAGGCCCAGCATTTCTGCATTATTTGGTACACATCGGGAGGACATGCTTCCGGGCAACGTAAGCGAGCTCCGTCCATGAGCGTCCTCCCTATTTCCGTGGCATTGGCCGAGTACACCACCACGGGATCCTCTCCGAACGTGAACATCTCCCACAGGGTGACACCGAAACTCCACACGTCGCTCTTGATCGTGAAGATGTTCCACAGAATCGTCTCCGGAGCGTACCATTTGATCGGGAGACAGCGATCCCGTGACTTGGCCGAATGACTCGCCCCGTCGTGCAGGTGATGAGCGAGTCCGAAATCGCTCAACTTCACCTTCGACTCGGACTCGACGAGGATATTCCGAGCGGCCAGGTCACGATGGACGATTTTCTCCCGCTCCAGATACTCCATGGCGCTCGCGATGTCACAGCTGAATTTGATCAGCTCACGGTCGCCGAGGCTCCTCTTGTTGAGCTCGAGATACGCGGGTAAGGAGCCCAACTCGAGGAACTCCATGACCATGAGCGTATCGCTGTCGCGCACAACTCCGACCATCTTCACGATGTTGGGGTGGTCGAGCTCTTTCATGAGCTCGATCTCCTGCTCGAAATCAGCCAGAGCGAGAGCCCCGGCGTCGGGGTTAAGAGCCTTTGCGGCGACCGTTTCGGTGTCGCCGTGGTCCCTCGTCAGCGAGGCTTTGTACACGGCTCCGAAGAAGCCCTCGCCGACAGGATGTCTCAGCTTCAGCTCATCGCCCTGTATGAGCCAGTGGTGGTCACTCGGCATCTGTGCCTCGCCATCCCCGAAACTTTCGGCCCATGTCTCTGATGGGTGGGCAGAACCGAGCCTTGCCTCGGTGTAGGCGCATCCGACCGATATCCGGGTCGGCTGTACGGACGACGCCGGCGGCAAGTATCTGGAAAATTAGGAATCCGATCAGACATGGATGCAGGAACTCTTCTAGAACTCAGCTTAGAAATCTAAAAGTTCACAAGCGGTGATCGATACCGAACAGGAGCGGCGTGGCACCGCCTCGTTTCTCGGAGCGGGAACTAATTCAGCCGCACCGTACAAGGCAGCACAGCGGATATGTCCACATCGAGCACATTGATGACATTGAAATCATGAACGGCCGTGCGTCCGCAGGCTTCGCCTCTGGTGAACTCAAGGTATCAGCATGCTACGGCGTTCAACTTACATGAGTGACGCCGGGGCTTTCAGTGGTTGTACCCCGAAAGCGATCCTGGCGAAAAGATAGTTCCGGGTCAGACTGTGGGTGTCTTGCTGCGCTCCTTCGGCCCTGCGGAGCCTCTTCTCAGCACCAGTTTCCTCAGAGGAACCGTCATTTTTGCGTTTCCTGGATGCGACGATCGACGAAGTTGGCATGTCGCTATCAGGAACTGTCTCTGGACTCACGGAGAACAATGTGTGTAGCTTGCACACTGCTACGAGCACATGTATTCTCCTGAATAGTCGCTCCATATATATCAAGATAAAGTGAATGTGAGAGAGAGTTTGAGTCCCACCCATCCATATAATTTTCGAGCAGGTCTCGCATTCACGGGGTGGCGCTCGCGGGGTCGAGAGCAGTAAATTCCTGGGGCAGAAGGTATTCCGGAATTGAGATGGGGCTCCCGCTTAGGCTCGCTCGCTCGAGCGAGAGGGTCGATCTCGCCCCATTCAAGGGTTCGTCATCAAGAATTCGACGGCACTCATCATTAGTGAGTCCTGTTCAGATGATGAGAGAGTCGAGTTTTCAAATACTTGTGAGTTAATCCGTTAAATCAGAAGCTCCTCAATGAAGCTTGTCCGATCGAAAAGCGGGTCGAATTCGATATTCAGGCTCAGGTTTTGGAATTTGGGAAATGTAACGAGATCGATCCATGAAGAGCCAGGCGGACCGTCGGAAGGTAGGTTGATTACAGAGCGAGGACTTCCGGGGCTGAGCATGCGATGGGTTTAGGAGCGCCCACCGTCAGAACAATGAAATTCTCTCCGCATAACTGGAGGAATCAAGGCGTTCCTTGCGCCCACCACGTCGGGCGCGTATTCCCCTCGAGGGACCTCCGAGATTCTGATCTTCAGATACCTCCCAGTTTCCCGATAGGGACGGCCTCAAGAATCATACCCCTCGGCCTCGTGATAATGATTGAAACCCGCAGCAATGGACGCTTTTGTCAGCGTGTTCGACCCAATGTATACCGAATATCATATATAAGGTAAACTAGTGTCTGGGACGGCTTATGGACTGACCGTTCGCCTGTCCAGCTCTGATGCCTAAGAGCCGGCTTTCGATGAAGAAAAAAGTACGCAGTACTTAATCGAGTCCCAGATCCGGCTTGGATCCAGAGGTGGAGTATGGACCCGCATCATCCTACTTCCTCCGTTTATTGGGAGCATTTCCTATCGGACGTGGGAGCAAGAGGCTCACGGCTTTGCTCGCGTCGCCTAGAACACGGACTCGACAAAGATTTCTGAGGGATAGGGTCACCGGAACCTTCATTCGCGAAATCTAGAACCACGAAGTGCTCGAGTCGAGCGGAGAATCCGCCCGGATGATGTTCGAAGTTCTCTTATAAGTTAGAGGGCTGGAGCGATGGACGAGTTCCCGAGCGGGAGCTCGCTTAGAACATGATGCAGTTGAGGATGCGGGCTCGAACACTGATCAGTGATCATTCCTCCCGGCATCCCGCGAATCACTGACCAGATGTATCCGACGCTTTCGGACAGAAGGATTGCCCAACTCATCCAAGTTTTTGAATCGATCCTCAAAGTCTCGTTCCCCTCTTGTGATTCTGCCCTCCGAGTATTCCCGGCGATCTAGCAGTTTCAGAGCCTGGTGGAGACAGCTTTGGAGGATCGAGAATCTTGCCGCCAGCTCGAACGCCAGACTCTTCTCCCATCCCGTTTCTGAGCTCAGCCTCAGACCCCATCTCTCCATTCCGGGGTTTACAGTAATTGGATTCTCATGGATCTGAGAGTGGAGGAAGCCTTGGTTTGCTCAGCGACCTGTTAGTGCCGCATAGGTCATCGGCGTTGATGCGGGATCGAACCTTAGCTCGTGAGTGTCTCATACCACACCGGCGATTCGAGTCACGAGCGGTCTCGACTCACATCGAAAAAAGCGACGAGCAGCTCGAGAATCCGCGTTTACCAGCGCACCGCTCCCACACACGACCCAGAGGTGGGAGGCTTCTCGATACTAGAGCCGAGGAAGTGCTAATTCTGAGACGGAACGAGGGAAGATTTCACCAACTCCTGCATTGAGTCTCCTCTACCGGACCGGGAGAGCAGCCTCGTTGCTCGATTTCGATATCGGGACCTCAAAGATGTGGCATCCCGACCTAGAGCTCCGTGCAGAATCCCTTACCCTTTGTTTTCTGCTTGCTCAGATCTTTGGGCTCCTGGTTTCGCCACAACCACTTCTGTCTTTTCGCAAGACTCCGCCCGAGTTCCTAGTCCGCTTGAGAGCCCTCGATGGTTGTTTCCCCACTTTGTTATGGATTGGGACAACCATGGAGAACCTCGGTGTTATCGTCTGCGAAGACATGCTCGACATGTCTCGTACAGATTCGAGAGAAGCTCCGCATATGGTCTACCCCCTTGTTAATTGGGTCTTCCCGGAGCTTCTTCAAAGACCTGCCTGCCGATGACGCGACGCCGAAGGTCCGAGGGCTGGAGCCTCGACGTCTGGTATATGAAAGTTCCTCTGATTTGCGAGCAAAACTGGTTATCCATGATGAAACTTGCCCTCCTGTGAAGATTAGACCGGAAAGACTGGCGACCGGTCCTTCGACCCTGTCTCTGTTTACTCGGCCTCACGATTGGGAGCTAATGCCGTATACAGCCTGGAATACCATCTATCCACATTCCCGAGGCAATGTCTTCGCCGAGGTCTCGTCTACGGTCTCGAGGAATAATGTCAGCTTCATCTTTTCAAGCGAATGACTTCCCACACCACCCCTTTCGGAGTGATATCTACAGAGCGATCATGGGCCACACGTGGAATATCCTGGTGTTCTTGGAGTGCGTCAGCTAGCCAGGGTCATCAGGGAGGGCAAAAATCCTGCATGCTCTCCATACTGTCTGCGATGGTATATGCCGTGAGACCTCGTCACGAGAGGATTTCCGAGAATCGCCCCTGCTAGTCGACCGTAAGTGACTGGCGCAATCCCCCCGTCACAATGGGTTGTACCACACTTTGAGAGTCGTTTTGGCAGATGTGCGAGCGAGCGCGACGGCTTCGCTAGCGAGATGGATGCATTTGCTGCGTGACGCTCCCCCCACGCGGTTCTCCGCAGGTCGCCAGCTCTCCGCGAATGATATGAGAAGCTGCGACAATGGCTTTTAGAGCATATCAATGATTTGTGATTGTGTATGTGATTGTGAAGAAGGGACCCGCGAGCGATCCGACACGGAATCCCAATAGATATGAAGAATTCCAAGAAGCGAGAACGAATTCTTAAGTACCGATTAGAATGACGGACAATTTTATTGGTATGAAGCGGCTCAGTTCATCTCATCATCATCTTCATTATCATATCATTCATCGTCTCCCCCTGTTTTGAGTTTCATTTCGTCGTATGAAGGGATTCCTATTGGGAAAGTGTCTCGATCGGGTGGTCTGTTCTCATTTGCTTGTTAGCCTTCAATTATTAGTCTTGACTCGTACAATTCCTCCCTCTGATTTTCTGTATGATTCTTGCAGTTCCTTTGTTTCATTTCCGGTAATAATAGGATCGGGATTATACGTGACGAATATCAAGCATGAAAGGAATGATCGGTTTTTCTGTCTTTGTTGTCATCTGCTATTCCATCCAGTGGTAAATGATCATCGTCTTCGCCTTGTTGCCTAATCGATTTGGGCATTAACGATTTCAATTTGTTGTTGCTTCCGCGCTGTACTGTTCGCGATCTTCGAACATTCCAGCTCTAGTAGTTGTTGCTGTTTTTGTTGCTGTTTTGAATTGTTTATGATACATCGGCCCGTTGTCTCCTTCGCTCATCGTTGGAAGTATTCGCCAATCGTGGGACCCCTCACCCTGTCAATCAAACAATCTTCAATCAATTTAAGCAAGCATTTTTAACATTCGTTACAATCATCATCATCAACGTCATCATCGTCGACGACGACGGCGACCTCATCCCCTCCTTCCTCAATAATAATTAATTTTCGAAATACATTCATTGCAAGACAGACCATGATGTGATCATGGATTTCCTAGCTGACTGATTTAGTTGAGTGGCGTCAAGCCTCGGTTGGCGAAGCTCGCGCTCGTAGTCGCCGGTTTCCATTTCTGCTGGTTGCTTGCTGACGATGCCTTTTCTAAATTCCAACCGCGGTGGCGATGGCAGCTGCAACAGCCTTGGACAGAGTGGAATATCATCTCTTCTCATCTTCCGTGGTTCGAGCCGAGTTGGAAAGATTCGCTTGATTTTCATCAACGAGACGTGTCGGAAAGGACTCAACTAGACTTCCACGTTCGCGTCGATTACTCATCCCGTTCAAGGGTCATCAGCCGGAGGGAGAGCGTCTCGTCCAGCTTGAAGACGTACACACGGTATTGAATGAACTATCACGATTAATTTCAATACGAGTTCGGAGTTTCCCCGGGACATCCTGCTAATTCCTACGGAATGTCTCCGTCTCGACCATTGGCGGCGAGAAAACGTAGAACGAAGAGATTGATTTCCTTCTCACTCAGACCTTGTGTCGTCGACGGCGTTGAAAAAAATCAGATTCTTGTAATATGACAGGAAAGACGAGTTTACGAGAGTTGCGCAACAGAACAGTTCCGAACCCAACGAATGTATAGTCAGTAGTATATCTAGAAGTCTTCCTTGTCTGTTACAAAGTTTGTTCTTCGTCATTTATTTCTTCGACATTCTTCATCGATTCCACTACTGAACAATGGGACATCGGTCCGAGAGAAACGAGCGCGTGCATGCTAGGGCGAGCGCACGCTCGATGCCCCTTATCAAATAAGGTTCTTGCATTGTCGTCATAATAAATATTAGGAAAAAGAGTGAGAGGGCTTCAAAGGTGATGGTGGAGGGCGGTGGTGATACGCTGTAGTTGTTATTCTTGTTGGTTCATTTGAGTTGTTCTCCCTTTGGTAAAACCGCGTATTATAGTGGAGGGGTCCCATGTAGCAGGATGCTGGTATGTTGTATGACATTCTATCCTCCATAATCATAAGAGTTGAGAGCGAGGCGCCGCGATACGACGCGACTTGAATGGGTTGAGCTGAAGCTAGCAGGCGTGCGCCAATTTTTTTCGAGAGTACCGGCACAACTCTTTTTGTTGATGTTATTACGGACTTCAACAACGACAACAACTACAACAACGAGGCTGTCCCCGTCGTCGCTGCCGTCATCGCACAGTGATTATTCGTGGGGCAGAGAAAAGGAGGCTGGCGAAAAAAGAGATGAACACTTTTCTGGAGGCGCTCTCGCGCGAGAACTCCGGGGCTGCTGGCCGCGAGCCGACAGACACCGCGGCGCTTCTGATCCAGATATCAGGAGGGTAATAATCGATGTAAAGATGTTGTAGAGAACCGGAATTGTCAGGTTCGGTTGTCGGTATGATGAGAGTCGTTATGGATTGAAGGAAAGGTTCAAGTTCTTGTTGTTGCTGTCGTCGTCGCGGGAATGGTGAACACAGTCATGTATAGCCGAATGATTCTTCCATAAAGTCGCCTGCTGCTTGCTCTATATATATATATTGTTGTGTAGGGTTGTGGGTCTGTTGTGGCTGCTTTTGGGAACTCTATTTCCAATTTTGACGTTTTGATCTCGTTTGTGTCCGGAATTTCGTGATGAGTTCGCTGATTCCCATCATCGGATTAGCGTCAGAAAATTTGGTACTCAAGATGCATCTCCTCCTTTTAGGCGGCGCTGTCGTCGACGTCGTCGTCCTGGCATCCTCTTCGTGATTTCCTGGCTCAATTAACACTTTTTCCTCTCAGGTCCGATTCCGAATGTGAGTACTCGACGGCTATTAGCAGTAAAAGTTTCAAACCCGGCTCCTCGGCGATTTGGTGGATTGGGGACCTCGCCCTTCATTTTGATGTCATCATGGTCACGAACTCTGTCGAGAGAAACAAAAAAGGGCCTCATAGTCTGCGTGCGCTGCTTAATTTAGTTCACCAAGGATCATCGATCAAAGACGGGAGCTATTCTGTTGAATGCAATTCACGCTGAACCTGAGAGATTCCGCTCAGAGAGGATTTTCCTCTCCCAGGATAAACGGGAAAATCGTCCACGACGAGGTTTCGAAACACTTTCATGCATCAGCGGACTCGCTATCTGCGTTGCGAAACCTTATGGCGATCCTATGAGACCCCACGGTGGTGGATCGATCAAGCGCGCGAGGAATCCGAATACCAGTTTCCTCTTGCACGGACGAATGTTTGATTCATCGCAATGCCGAACGGTCAGATGGAGCGGAGCTGTCGAAGGGCCTCGTGTAGAAAGACCAAGCCACCGCCACCACCGCCGTCCGACATCTTTCGTAGGTAAATTTAGCCCTACAGGGGGTACAGGTTGCCGAGTTCTACCGCACGCATGTATTGCACGACAAGGCTTCGAATTTGACCGCCGCTCCAGTCGATAACTCCCGGGAAGGCCGACCGAGGCGAGACGGCGGAAAGCGGCAGCCAGTTGAGAAAACGAAAAAGAGGACTGAACATCAGCATCAGACCTGAGCGGGAATCGATGGAGCCTTTGTTGTTATTTACCTTCGTAGTTGACTTGGCCGTCTCCGTCGATATCGGCCTCTCGGATCATTTCGTCCACTTCTTCGTCCGTTAGTTTCTCACCGAGGTTCGTCATCACATGCCTGAGTTCGGCGGCGGAGATGAAGCTGCAATTCAGAGACACACAATATAAATTATTATTATTCCACTGAATTCCAATTTCGGGGATCAATATGGGTGCTTTTGCTCAGCTCTAAACGGTCGGCATAGCTGCAGGACAGCCCTACACCGACCCTGAACCGACAGTCTATCACTTAAGGATTATTATCGATGCGTCGACTGCAGACGCATTCTCGATCGAGCCGTGAAAATCACGGACTTGCGCATGTGGTCATCCTCTAGAGCCGATTATACGGAGTCGATCCGAAGCTTTCATTCGGGAAGATCAACTACATATTCAAGGCCGTGCCAATCACTCATTTGGAACGCTCGTCATCTCAAACGAGTCCACGGTTTGATAGTGACATCAGGAGGCGTCACGTCGCCAACGCCCGCCCGAATTGCTCGAAATCAGATTATTCAGAGTCGTCTTCCTCGACATCACCGGTAGTGATATCGTCGTTATCCCTGACGTCATTCATGCATTCAAATCGAGAAGAGTGAGCATCGATGACGAAAGAACTGAGTCATTGGCTAGCGTCATCGGAAGAGGGTCTCGCGAGCCTTCTGCACTGTGACGGACGGAAGAATATATTCTCCTCGATTCCACAGCCCGAGAAGATGAGACGTGTCAAAACATTCTCTATTCGCTGAACCCTTTTTTGCATCATATGAGGTCATGAATCCGGGCATGCAATGTGGAACTGGCTCGCGGACCGGAAGAGGGGTGATTCCATCACTTGGAGGCAGCATTCTGGACGATACAATAGCCGCTGAGGACCGACGACGGGTTTGCCGAATGATGAGCGCACCCGACTGTCCGAGCTCTAGATACAGTTGATAGCTGAGCGACTTGAAATTCAAAGACCGCCGGGGAAAACGGGAAAACCTCCGATCTCGAAGGAATCCATTTCAGTCAGCCCGACAGGACTTCGATGACTAGCGACCGGGAGCGGCAAAACTATCACCCGCCTCGGGCGGCGTTTCGACAAGAGCCGCCCGTGGCAGGGTCAATGATTATACCAACGACCCTGATGCTTGCAAGAAATTTTTAGAAATTCAAGGAGTATTCGAGAGTCGTCGCTCGCGATCGCTCCTCCGCTCGCTCGGTCGAAGGCTTGATTCGCTTCCTCGACCCCGAATGAGAGATCAGACGAGTGGGAAGGGCGAGTCTCGGGGGATAAACTCAGATCACGATGGAGAACTACCGCGGCGGACGTCGTCTCGTACAGGCGGATGTGCTTTCGGTGTTTTGAATGCATAAGCTGGCCAGCTAGCGGGCGAGGTGCTCTACGTCCGAAGAGCCGTCGAGTCCGTCTCTTCCCTCGCTGTCTCTGCTGCGAGCACCTTCTTTCCCGAATAGGAAATCGACTTGTGAGCGGAAGAATCGTTCAAACCACCAGTCTCGGACATAAAAATAGTCGTATAAATGCGTTGTTCCTACTCTCTCCTCGTGTCTCTTTGTCGTCCGTGTTGTAAACGTCATCTTGGGCGATAGGAGCGGCGGCAGCGAAAACACTATAACGTACGATTCGTCGCCCGTCGCAGGCTCCGACTAGCTATTTGTCGACGAACATAAATTCCGTCTTTGTTCCCTGCAGCTTGCCAGGCAGCAAACTGCTGCGACCGTGTGAGGCAACAGTGAAGAGTGCAACTTCTGAGCCCTGGTCAAGGCCGACTGCTAACGAGATCACGAAGAAGTAACGCAGATCGTTGACTATGATTCCTTTCTCCGCCCTCCGGCCGACTTCGGGACTCGGCGATCGCCGCAGGTTCCCTAAGAGAAGGCTTCGGGAGGTTTCCGTACATTTTTCGGGTGTGCCTTCAGGGAGGTTGAGAACCGGCGCGGCCTACCTCATCAGATCCGCGCGCGGATTGGAGGCACGTAACACGACTATGGGGGAAGCTGGTCGGGAGACGACCGTGTCTATGTCCAGATATCTCTACTCTGATCGTCAGTCATCCTTACCCGTTTCCATCTTTATCAAAAACTCGGAATGCTTCTCGAATCTCCTCCTCGGAATCGGTGTCCTTCATTTTACGAGCCATCATGGTAAGGAATTCCGGGAAGTCGATGGTTCCGTTTCCTGCCGACGGGAAAGAATAAAGCTTTAGAAAGGAGCGGCTATTAAAATTTCGCGACGAATCCGTCCCCCACGCGTTCGCATCCCGGCGAGCTCCCAAAAGCGAAAACGTTGAGCCGCCAGCCGGTCACAAGTTTCACCTCCCTGAAACTCGGCACAAATTATGCTCGGCACGATGCTCAATCCACGCGAGTCCGCTATCCGAGCTGTGAAACCCTGTTGCATATTTATGTGGTCTGGCGAAGACAAAAAGAAGGGGACTCATGCAATTTTCTGCGCGCACGATGCAAACCGCACCGAGATCCACATTCGTTAGGATGTGAACAAAAGAGATCCGCGTTCGCGGATTTTCCGGAGAAATCATGGGGAGAACGTCGTCCTCCGAGGGGACCTAGCGGTACTACCTCAGTCATGGCGACCGACTGCGTCGACGTCACAGGAGCATCATAATATATCCCACGAGCGGTCAGCTGATATCCCAAATACATAGAGGGACGCACGCGAGTCAGTCGACAAAGAAGAACGACCGTGGTGCCGACATTAACAGGGCGTTACGGCCACAATTACCCGACGGAACGGCCTGACAGGTGTTGCCAATCTGACTGAGGCTTTGTTCTGCAACCCCGTCCCTTAGAGCCTCACATGAAGTCTCGTTCCGACTGCGAGGTAGTGCTGGCTTCGATGGCACAAATACATTCCGCCAGAAGAATGTGTCTCCGAAAGTCGAGGGCGAGGCGTCGCCGTCAAGTCCAGCTGGCGACCCAATTTAAAACGGATCATACCACATCCTCTGCAGGAGCATGTTTACAGTCAGGCGGAAGAGGCCCAGGGTCAAACGCGATATCTCTCGGTACGCAAACATCGATCGAATTGCGGTTGCCGACGAACTTGCGGTTACTCCTCAACTCCTCCGTCAGACATCCGGGCGCTTTCTTCACGTACTGCTCCCTCCTCGTCTACCACATTGACCTTCCGACAGAGTCCCCTCAACTCTCTCGGATCCGGTATCGAATCCCGTGGACCCGAAATCCTCGGGTCCTTGTTGGGCTTCCAACTCACCGTCAGCATCGACTTCGTTAATCATATCTTGCAGCTCAGCCTCTGTCGGGTTCTGACCCAGGGAACGCATGACAGTGCCCAACTCTTTGGTGGTGATTGTGCCGTCTCCGTCCTTGTCGAAGAGGCTGAAAGCCTCTTTGAACTCAGCGATCTGCTCCTCGGTTAGCTGATCGGCCTGAAATGGGAGAAAGAAAACGTTTAGACTCGTGGAGTTAGGTGATTCTGCCTAATTGAGCGCCGAACGACGCAATCGAAGACCGGAGTTGGAACACTCTTGAGCAGCGACAAGGGCCTACGCCTGTCGTGACGAACATCGAAACAGCTGGTTGCCAGGCTATGAACCTGCGGCAGCGGCGACGATTGACACCCACTCCGTCGCCTTCGGCGCTCGAAGCGAAGCAAAGACAAATCGAAGCCGTCAACCCGTTACTTCATTGCTACGCGACGGTTGGGGCATTCATTGAAGCATTCATTCAGCAAGGCACGGGCTCAACCGACCGGCAACTACCGAATCAGACACAATGTCCTGGAGCACGCCGGTGACCATGGTCGGACCAGGTCCTGCGAACTTCCCCCTAGGTCCGATGGTCAGTCGTTGTTTTTCGCATCGGATGAGAACAGGGACGCTCCTGCAGTCTAGCCGAGGGAAATTTTCTGATCGGCTCAGAGAGCTTCGAATCGACTCATGTTAACTCGAGGGAGCAGCCCCGGGCGAGATATCGAAAGTTGCAGGACCTTGCGAGCCCTTCCGGGGCCAATTGTCCTCGTCGGGTCTCGATCGTGTCCCCTTTCGGAATCGCGAGCATCAAACAAAAGGGGGAGAGGAAGATGGCGATTGTTGCACTTTTCTTCATCATTGCCTTCAAGGCAGTAGGCGCTATAGTTGGCGGATACAAGTCGGCGGACAACAGTGTGGCCATCCCGGGGGAGCTTCATTCGGATAGTTTCTCTCTGCCGATCCTTCCGGGCACAATGCTAGAAGGCAGATTCATTCTGATCATGTGCACATATCCGACCGGGAAGAAATGGCGATGGCAGCGGCGATCATGGAGGCGATAGCTCAGCAAGTCGTCGGAACAATCGGATTAAGCTCGAATGATCGTTGATGGACTAGCTGGTCATATTTTCCTTGTATATAGACAAGAAGACACTCCTCTTGTCGCGAGATCTTGGCGACTGCACTATCTCGCTTAGTGCGGAGCGCACCGAAACCCAGGATCGTTCCTTCTGACTCCTCCGAGTTCATTCAGCCCTCCGGAGTCCGAAATCCTCCCATTAGGGGATTGCGGGCATCGGGAGGAAGAACCATTGAGGATCGCGATCACGCGAGTCGAAAGAAATAACGTTGAGACGCAAAATGTACCACTAGGAAGTGTATCCGCGGACCACTGAAATCTGATCGCGAGCACTCAGGCAGTCGGTGAGCCAACGACTCCCACCGTCAACAGTGGAGCAGACTCCACGGAGAATTAATCTCCAACGAAGACGACGAGAACGTCGACGACAGCGTCTAGGGATCGTCGCGGACGAAATCACGAATAAATCATGCAAGCTCGTTCGAGCGACTGATCTGAGTAGTTTTTTCCTTCAGGGCGATCCTCCAGCTTCCAGATAGCAGCGGCGTTGCAGGGGGGATGGGTTCAAGCGAGCCAAGCAACCAACCCACCCACCCAGGGACCAACTCACGCCAAAGGAGCCTTTGAACCAATCACGCGACCCCTGTTTCGATAGCCTCGCGCTCATCGCGGAAGCACATCCTGAAAGTTCGGAGCACGTCTCCAGCTCTATTCGCATTCGGAATTTTGTAGCATCGTATGAATTCTTCAGGATTTCGGTGTTTCTACGGCTTTTTACGTCTCCGAGCTACGTTCCGGCATGGAGAATCGCATCTAAGTGACGATGTAAAAACGGAAACAATGGTTCAAGATTGAAAACCCCGGATCAAAGAGCTCATTTGGAAAGGAAGCTCCGAGGAGGCAACGAACCGCGAGCCGGGGGCGGGCATTGGTGCCGACAAGAATATCCAATCCGAGTAACGGCAGTAGTTGCTCGAGGGACGATTTTTCTGTCGATGAATGGAAGATCGAATCGCAGCCATAGATCGCGGTCTAACGGGCATATATCGGAGCATCATCGCGCGGAGCGGCGCGCAGACACGGCGAACGGAGGACGGATTCCGGGGACTTATGCGAGCGTGTGCGATTTTTGTGGGAGAAAACCGAATGTGGTGACCGTGACCAGAATGTGAAGCCCATGAGTCAGCGGAGCGGAACCGAGGAGATTGTACATAGAATTGCAGTCACAGTCGACGCACTTAAACTGATGCTGCTGCTTCTGCCGCCGCCGCCGCTGCTGCTGCTTAACACAGCAGCTCGAAGGGAGGGGCTAAGCCGCCCAGCTAGCCACCTGGTCGCTCGGCCAGACAGTTACTGAGCTTTTGGATTAGTGCTTCGTCGATTGTTCTCCTGGTCAGTCTCCCGCTCAGGCGTTCCATCCGTCAGTTACATTGTTACTCGAACGCTCGTCCAATCGATACCGCGATCGGTCGGTCCGTCGGTCCCACTACCACTCGTACATACAGCCAAGCATTCGATCCATCCAACCAAGCAGCTCCTCCGGGATGCAGGAAAATCCAATTTTCCATGGAGCTTGGTTTCCTCTGGTTGGACTGTTTAACAATCAGTTGTTGAGGAGCTGACCAACGAAGCGACTATCCATCCATCCATTGACGCAGCCAGCAAGCGAGCGAGCGAACCAAGGAGACCGAACGAACGAATCACCGAAGCCTCCCGTCCGCTCGCTTACACACTCACTCATTCACAACTTCACTCTGGCTCGAGCACGGGAGCAACAAACCGCCACCACCACCGCCGCCACCACCACCACCGTCAACGAGCCACCTACTCAGGCCACCTATCCGAAAGCTCTGAGCCTTGGAGCCCCGTAGGCAGCCCAAACACCAGGGCTGGCTCGCTTTGCGCGACTCGAATCGGGGGTACGAAGCGAATCCGAAGGGACGTGCCTGAGTTTTCGCCTGAGCCGTTCATAGGACGTTCCAACGAGGACTTCGGCGAACGAGATCGACGTCGATCCACGAAGGATCCACGAAGCACGAATAGCAGGGACACCACATCGCCCGGAACGGTTTCAGCTCACTTTGACAGGCGAGCACAGTGACAGCTGATGCTGGGCTGGTTTCGGCGTCGGATCTCTGTTTTGCGTTCCCTTTCTAACGATCAATCCATCTTCGAGGAGGCCTGGAATTTGCGCGAAGCGCGAAATTCCATTTTTACTCACCATTGTTAACGATTACAGTGGATTCAAAATCACCACAATCAACGTAACCTGCGGCAGCGAGCTCACACGACTCTGCTGGCAGCGGCAACGGACAGATAGACACTTGTACCCGACCGACCACCGAACTGCAGTGGCAAGCCAGCGCCCTCTGGTTGCCGCGCCACGTTAGGAGGAAAGGGAGGGGGTTATCTGCTCGGAGAAGGAATGCGTATAGTCCCGCTTTCCTATGCTGTCATTGCTTCTGCCGCCGCCACGCCGCCGGCCGTAGCGGCGGTCGTCGTCGGCGCCGCGCGCCGTCGGAAGAGAATGGCGAGGAGGCATGGACAAGGTTTCGACGGCGCGGCGGTCCCTCTTGACAGTCGGTCCGGTGCGCTCGTTCCGTCAACATTGGCATCGAGTGACATGGAGTTCCGATTTCCAACTTTCGAGGAAGTTCAAGTTCCCGCAATATTCGAAGGACCAAAGAAGGATGACGCCCGAAGCCGATCCTCCACGAGTTTCACGGGTGCCTCCCAACGACACAGAGGATCGTCGGAATCGTTGAGCGGAACATCAACAAGAACGTAGTCATTGCGGCTCAAAACTCACAACCTACGGAGAACGATCGGAAGAGGACGTTCTCCGTTTGAACATCATCGAATTCCTAGTCGAAGGGGCTTTGATATCATTATGACTAGCTGGAATCGATGATTATAATTATTGATTACGACCCCAAGCTATTGTAATATATAGGTTCCCTATGCAGAGGTCTCACGTCCGATCGAGAGAGCACGGGAAAGATAAAAATTGAGGTAGGAACTCGATCCGATACGCGCTTCCCGAGCACGCTCGAATGAGACCCAGGATCTCAAGCGGGAGAGCGAGACTCAATCGCTCGCATACTTCTTGTGCGCGATTGGATTGAAGGGTCGGGCGAATAGATCTTGGAGTCCCTGTCAAGACAACGCACGCTTTCTCGAATCGTACTGAGATCGATTGTGCTCCGACTCGGTTATGATCGTGGAATCGAGAATCGGGGAGTCGAGAATCGGGGAGTCGAGAATCGGGGAGTCGAGAATCGGGGAGTCGAGAATCGGGGAGTCGAGAATCGGGGAGACGAGAATCGGGGAGTCGAGAATCGGGGAGACGAGAATCGGGGAGTCGAGAATCGGGGAATAGAGAATCGGGGAGTCGAGAATCGGGGAATAGAGAATCGTGGAGTGGAGGATCGGGGAGTGGAGGATCGGGGAATGGGGAATCAGGGAATGAAGAATCGAGGAATGGAGAATCGGGGAAAGGAGAATCGGAGAATGGAGAATCGGGGAATAGAGAATCGGGGAATAGAGAATCGGGGAATGAATGAGAATCGGGGAGTCGAGAATCGGAGAATAGAGAATCGGGGATTGGAGGATCTGGGAATGGGGAATCGGGGAATGAAGAATCGAGGAATGGGGAATCGGGGAATGAAGAATCGAGGAATGGAGAATCGGGGAAAGGAGAATCGAGGAATGGAGAATCGGGGAATAGAGAATCGGGGAATAGAGATTCGGGGAATGGAGAATCGGGGAATGGAGAATCGGGGGATGGAGAATCGGGGAATGGAGAATCGGGGAATGGAGAATCGGGGAATGGAGAATCGGGGAATGGAGAATCGGAGAATGGAGAATGGAGAATCGGAGAATGGAGAATCGGGGAATGGAGGATCGGGGAATGGAGAATCGGGAAATGGAGAATCGGGAAATGGAGAATCGGGAAATGGAGAATCGGGGAATGGAGAATCGGGGAATGGAGAATCGGGGAATGGAGAATCGGGGAATGGAGAATCGGGTAAGGGAGAATCGGGGAATGGAGAATCAAGGAATGGAGAATAGGGGAATGATGGATTTGCTGAATACTATGAGATCCTCATCCTCGTGAGAATCTGAGAAGAGGCAGACTCCTCCGGATAGCATTACTCCCTTGTCTGCTCCGAGGTATCCCTTAGGTCGCGGCAAACATGTGTCCCGAGGAAGCGTTTGAGTCGCGAAGGAATTGACCGCCTCTCCTCCTCATGGGTTACGGTAGCGACATCACGCCTTCCGAGATGTTGGATCTCTTGCATAGTTAGGCTTTTCTTGTTTGCGAGCTGTTCTGCCTTGAAATTCCGAGGAGAACATCGAGACGGGACGCTGGAGAATGGCAACGGATGTTTCCAGTCCTGTATCGGTAAGCTTCGTGTCACAAAGATAATCAGCCTCCGGTGAAAATGAATCTACTCGAGTGACTACCTAAACTTGACTGGATATCAGCCGTGGACGATTGTCACAGACTGTTGTTTCTCTCCCGACGAGCGAAGGAGAATCTTCGAGAACCTGTCCGCTACGGGCCCTTCGTTTACGATCTACAGCCTGAATGTCGAGCTTTCCAAAAACTGCGGAGAAGGCGCGCGATGAGACAAGCTGACATCGCTGCTTGCTGAAGCCGTGCAATGCATGTTCATTACCATGAAAAGCCTAGGAGAGTTTCGATTTCCCTGTTCTTGATTTTCGAACGATCAGGCTTTCAGGAGACGAACAATCATCGAACCGAAGGCTCCGCCTAGGTACAGTACAATGAGAATATAGGTACACTCTCGTTCAGCACACGGAGCCGTATCGGAAAACTCTGTTATCACCTTGATGCGGATATTTCGCCGTATTTTGAGCTAGTTCATGATGCTGATGTCGGCTGTTCCGCGTCTCATAACGTTTTGGGCGTACTGAATCTGTGGGCCCCGGGGAATTTTCAGTGAGTGAGGCTCGGCGGCTAGCTCGCGTCCCATGACGGACACATAGGGGAAGAGATCAGCGGGACAGCTAAGGGGTTTCGGGCCGCGCCGAAAACCACTCTCTCAACCGTAAAAAAAAAAGCTTCAAATGACAGGAGCATATCATACGAAAGAGCGGACTGGAATTCAAATTCGGGTACGAAATCCTCGGAGAGAAGCGCCATTCTCGAGATCCAGACCGGGCGCCGCCTCGCCTAGCTACGCTGCTGGAAGAGATCGATCTGAACCCCGCTCGGAGCGTTCATCGACCAGCGGGCCAAGCAAGCGAAAGCGACAATCAGGGACGAACAGCAGAGTCCACGCTCAACATGGAGCCGCAACCGGTTAAACGGACGGAGACACACCAAGTTGGGTTGGGTCTGAGTTCCAGGTGGCCGGCTCCACGAGTCAGCGAGCTGCGAGTTCATCGTTTCGGTCCCGGGAAAACAATCCAAGATTAACTGGCCTAGCGGTGACATGAATTACTGCGAGCTGCCATTTTTCGGGCCGACCCGGTTCAATCCTCTGGGGGCCGCCCCCACGTCTGAGGTAAAGTATACATTAGAGCGGATAGTGGGCTCGGAACTATGAGAGAACTAGTTGTCAGAGGACCAACTCCTAGCACACCTTGATAGCGCGCCGGCCTCGCTACCCCGCCGTTGTGTGAGGAAAGACACGGTCGGGGGAGCGACGGACGCGCGCACGGTCGGATCTTCCGACAGTTGGACAGACAAACAGATGTACCGACAGACGGCTGGTCGGTCGGGCTCTCGCACGGACCGACGAGCCGGCGGAGAGAGCTGAGCCTGCTGCCCGCCTGCCGTCTGCCCGCCAGGCTGTCGGAGTTAGTCAGGATGAGGCGCATGCGCTGCACGCACCATCGCTCGTTCCCTCAGTTGGTCGAAGGGTGCTCTGCGCGCCAGGCTGCCCTGCTGACGTTGCCGCCAGCGGCAGCTACTACCGCTGCTGCGACGGCGGGAGGGATCTCCTTTGCCTGCAAGGCTCCCCTCCTAAATGCTTGGTCTTCGGAGCAGCAGCGCGAACGGCGGGAGAAGCGGAACTCGCACGCGGAGTGTGCTCACGGGCAGCTCACCTCCAGTTGCACCTACGAGTACGCGCAGAACGCACTCGCTCGGAGCCGGTCCGCGCGTACGGCGTGTTCAACCTCTCACTTTAGCTCGTGCCAGACCGTCTCCCCCCCCCTTTTTTGTCCCATCACGACCTCCCACCCCTCCCCGCTAAACTATTTGGCGACGGTTGTGGATGTTCTTGTTGTTTTCGTTGTAACGATGGTGGCCGTGGGAATGGCATTTGTGATGGTGACGGCAGCGGTAGCGAAGGTGGTGCAGAACGAACAGCATCCGTTCAGCCTGTCTCGGCCTCATGCGTCATTTCACTTTCTGACAAACGACGTAAGCAGTGACAGCGATTCCTCTGCTGAGGGCCATCTTCTCTACGTTCTTCGACGCGCTATCGAGCGATGGCCGCCCGGTACTTTTTCTCGAAATTCCGAGACAGGGTACTTCTACTTGGAATTCCGCATTTCTCTCCCTCAAATGCTATAGAACTATAGACGACCTCACTCTGTCCATGGACGGATCCTTCAAAAAAGATTCGCTCTTCTTCCTCTGAGAGTGGGAGGGGAGGGGGTTCCGGGAAGGTCGGAATAAAGGAAAATAAAAGCCTCATATGGATACCGTTCTCTATCTAAGTGTTCGCAGGTCCCGCTCGCGCCAGAAAGGCTGCATTCAGAGTTCGGAGTCTGCAAGCGAGTCCGAGGAAAACTAGACGCAACGAAACTCAACCGAATCTTCAAACGATAAAGGACCTCCGATCCCATCGTCGCTAAAACCCATTATCGGAGCCTATCAAAATAGCGCGGGATTAGGCGAAGTCCGGAGCTAACCGGGGGATGCTCGTTGGCTGAGCCTCAACCCCGGATACTCTGAAGAATCCTCGGAGTCAACTTGCTAGTCAGAATCCCAGGACCCCTCACGGAATCTCCTGCGGGAACACGTGGGAATTTTGGGGAACCATAACATTCTCCAGAGGTGCTTCACCGACGAACAGAGAGGAGCTCTCCGCGTGACGCAAAACTTCTGTGCTTCCCCACCAGCTTCGTTGGGGTTTGCAAGAGAGCCCTCCTTATATTTCTGGCGTTCTCGAAAGAGCTTTCGAGTCTCATACTCGAAGATATTCGATTCCTTTTAATGAGAGCTAGATCAAACCAAGGCATTCGGTATAATATCTGGCATACGCAGAAGCCCCGAAGTTCTCAATGACCTATTCCCCCCCCCCCCGTCTCCTGCGAGTATTGTGCTCATGTTCCTTTTCCTGTAAATCAATCCTACGAATGGAGCGAGCATCCTGCGCCGTCCAACTCT